TAAAAAACCAACAGGCTGTTTGCTTATGAATATACTTTTCTTTCCCGTCAATTTCGACGCGAAAGCATGAATTTGATAACGATGGAGAGACTGTATCAAACACTCTCATTGCATTGAATTCAGATTTGCCGTTCGCTTCTACCATAGGTGTACTTCCTTTATCTTCTTTATATTCGACTTTTCTGAACTTTTTCGATACTTTCATGAGTAAGATTACTACACGATTAATGAGAAATATTCTCTTTCATATCATAACAGCACTCTTTCGTCGCCGCTTATGATGTTTTGGAAACTTTTGTCGTTGAATTTTATGAGACATTTACTCGCGTCGATATTTTCGAGATATCATTACTGAGTAATTTCTATTTGTATTGAATTATTTTTTGCTGATTCTCCTGTCGACAATGGTGAGTTGCAAATGTAGATCTATACAAAAATATTTCTATTCACAGTTAGAATCACAGGATGTTACCTTTTGTTTTCGAATATATCTCTCCATATTTTTCTTTATATAAACTCAAACTAATCTTTAGGAATCCATACTCTACAAGCTACCTTGAAGTCGATGACTAATCGAAGGTAACCACTTGACTAACTGAGTACTTAGCCGCTCAGATCAATGCGATTAACTGTATCCTATTAACAATTTCCTTCACAATTTTATCTCATGCTATGCGCCGATCCGAGCGAGAGAAAATATGTTGATACAACATAAAGATAAGTATGCTTTCAAACAGTACAAACACGAAAGATCGCGTCATTATTTTGCATACGTGTTCCACGACATCACTGACGTCTTGACCTATAACAAATCAACGTTTTTCTTTTCAAGAAAATACTCTGCACAGGTATCATAAAATATTTTGACATCTTTTAGATTACTTCAATAAATGAATTCTACAGTCGTCAGTTATTCCGAAAGTGACTCCAGATTCCAACTTTAGAAACGTTGAAGAAGAATGAAGAAATTGAATTTGACCTATGCTACACATAGTTATAAGAACCATAATTCATCAATTTTTATTTATCAATAAGAAAGTATTTTAGAAAAACCATCAGATATCTTGAGTTGAGAAGTTGCCTTCGAAGAGAATTGTTCTAAATAAACGGAAATGAACGAGCGCGTGTTTATCATCAATAATCATTCTTACTTTAATGTTGAGATTAATTTTGGTGCTTGATATATCAATCGATGACCATAATTCGATCGATGATACGATATCATATCAATGGTGAAATGAAAGAATTTCTTTTTCTGTTTGTTATCATTTCGAGCATTCATTCCGATTTGTAACAATTGTTTCGAATGGATGTATGGAATAATAAAATCGTCATCAGCGTGGATAAGTACACATGGACAATTGAGATTCAATAGATGATGACGTGTTTCGAAGTAAAGCTTGTTTTTATGTAAGGCTTTTTCTGTTAAGCTGTAGTACCATGGTTGCCAACGAAAAAACTATGTAAAGAATTAGTCAGGCACACAGAAGTCAAAAGGAAACTTACTAAAGATATCCAATGGGTTAGAAGAGCTTGGTGAACATTGAGAAATGGAGCTTCTAAGACAATGCCAGCAAGATTTTTATCTGCAGAAATAGTATATGATCAGTAAATCAGAGAAGAAGAGAATCGTACTGTCATGTTGAGATAATTCGGCAGCTAATTGTGAAGCGACTGCTGAGCCGAGTGCATGACCCCAAAGATAAATTTTTCGTTGATGGTTATTCAAGTTCTGTAGCCAATCGTAAATAAATTTCGCATCTTTGACCAAGTCATTCTCTGTTGATTCACCAGTTGAATCGGCGAAACCTCGATAATCAAATGCAATAACGTCATAGTTTAATTCATTTCGTAATCGTTGACAAAGTTCACGACGATGCATTAACGCACTGAAAAATCATCATAGAAGACATCAATCGAACTGATACAAATGTGTTACCGATTAGCACCACTTCCATGGAAGTAAATAACAACGGGAATGTTTGAAATGAGATGTTTTCGAAAATAGTCTTCGTCATCGTCGTAAATTTGATCTTCAATTAATGGTGAACGAAAATGCCTGAAAAAGAATGATTTGTATGAGTAGTTAATTCGATTGAATAACAGACCATATGCCAATGGAGACTTGAGATTCAACGTTCAAGTGGAAATTGTACACTCGATCGAGATTGAAATGTTCTGGATGAGTCAAATTCGTTCGTGTTTTGACTAAACATCCAAGAGAAATTTGTCAAAACAGAATCAAAATCAGCTAAGAACACACCTTTGTTCTGAAAAACCAGATGCTTTGTGATGGATGGATACGTAAGAAGGACGACTGGAATGAGAATGGAAGCAAATATGTAAACACCACCGAGAAATAATCCGATTTTGATTGATAACGACCTGTTTTCAAGGAGAATCTCTCGTTATAGAAGAAACAAAGATTCTCTACTTACGAAGATTTTGATCGTTGATGGGATCTTTCAACATCGACTTTCGGTTCGAGATCAGATTCATCCATTTCAATTAACTTTATCTGTAAAAAGAATTGCATTGACATTCATTTCTGACGATGAAAATTACAAAAAACAATTAAGAAAAAACACATTGAAAATTAAATGACTATTGTATCACATTATGAAAGACAAACAGACTTTGAAAGAAATCAAATTGCATTCAAGTTGGAGGCGAACGTTTCAGGAAAGAAAAATCACTAAAAGAAAATCGTGTAATAGTCGAAAAAAATCAGCCAAGTTCGCCTCTACCTGACAATATCTTGAAATTTCGGATACGAATATATATGATTATGACCACAAGCAGCTGAACGTGGAACGACGACGAAACGAACTTGAGGTAAACTTTGATCACGATGTTGTTTGACATAATCTTGAATTAATTCGATGTGAAAGTACGGAATAACAGCATCGTCTTCGGCATGAATTATCACAGTTGGTAATGGGAGTGAGGCAACACTGAAACGAGGAAAATTAACTGCGATTCAATTGACTCTTTGATAGTTACATTTCATTGTTGGGAAAGTCAAGTTTCACTGTCGTTAGGGCGTCAAGAGCGGCTTGCATAAAATATGGATTGATTTTGAGGATCTAATGAGATCGACGAGACGAAAATCTTAGCGAGAAAAGAAGTGAAATTTACTCGAGTGAGTGGGTAGGAAACTAAGCCTTGTAAAGTATTGTAAAATGGAGCTTCAAGAACAAGTCCGGATGGTTTCTTATAATCTAGAAGAGTAATTTTAACGAAAAACGATTTGCAGTTGAAGTGAGAATTGCGCACTGGTTATGTTTTGGAATAGATAATGCATCGTCCATGATGCAACACCCGTGCCCATCGAATGTCCCCAAATAGTAATTGGGTTTTGTGGACAAGCTTTTCGAATTGATTTAAATAGATGGAGAACATCATGAACAACACCTTGTACACTCGGTGTACCCGTTGAATCTCCATAGCCGCGATAATCAAGTGCAACAATATGATTCCCAAATGCCGTCATCATTCGATAATGATTTGCACGATAGTGTGTTGCTCTAAACTCTCGAGTTTAACGTCTTTCATCAATTGTTCTCTATCTACCTTGTTCCGTCTTGACCATGGAGGTACATAATGATTGGCTGGTCAACAGAAGTAACATAGCGTTTTAAATGGTCACCAAGAGTCGATAAACTATGATCGACTTCGATATCTGATGGTACAATATACCTTAAAAGAGAAAACAGTACTTGAAAATTCGAAAGATATCTTCGTACCAAAGTCCAACCGTAACATTCGGTTCGGTTTGTTCATAAACATTAACTCCATTGAGACTGAACGCACTTGGTTTGGTTAAATCAATCCATGGATAATATCGAGCTGAAGAAAAAAACAGAAATATGTTTTGATTATTCAAACCATGACACAAATCAAACATTACACCAAGTTTGAAAAAGCATTTTCGTTAGAATAAAATCACCATACAACTGGAGTAAAAATGGTGCTAGGACAATCAGTGAAGCTATAGTCAAAACAACACTAAGCACACATCGACCAAGACTAAATTAATCTGGATGAGATCACCTGATTATTAACTAGTTTCTTACATTCTTTTCCACGATGATGGCTTCTTTTTCTTGATAATGACGATTTCTTCATCTTCACTGATGAATACTTCTTTTTTCACTCGTTTTTTCTCGCTCATCGATCTGAAATAGGCAAACCACCGGTTAATATACTTGCTGAGTTTACTTCGAAAATCTTTTTAGATAAACAAGAACAAAGAGATTTATGATTCTATCGAAAATATGTTAAATGGCATTTAAGATTGCATTTGGTACATCAAATGTTTGATCATCACATATAACAATATCATAGGCATTCTTATAGACTTCCAATTTCTCTGGTGTGCTATGATTGAGGTAGCCGATTTTCAAAATTTGCTTCAAATTTTTCATTCCACCTGTCATTCCGATGTCACCGAGTGTATCACCGAGAAGAATCACATTGGGTCGATTAGCAATCGTTTGAAAATATGGTGTATCATGAATTTCATGTTCGTTCTTATTGAACGAATGAATCAATTTCTCGCTGAAAGAAATCACCTTGCCTTGATCGTCATACTGAATAAAGTTCGAAACTATATGAGATGATTCGTGGTTGTGCTTAAATTCTGGAATACGCTCCTCGAAAAAGAATTGAATAACATCACCTAAAATGCAAGAAGATTAGCATCAATTGTGAAAGTTTATTATACCTAAGCCAGCAGAAAATATTAGAATGGGAGTTTGGCTTGTTAACAACTCTGTGATGAACTCACGAACACCCTTTTTCAGTTCCATTCTTGACTCGTGAACAAGATCTCGGATCACAGATTGATTCAAATCCGATAAAACAAAGAGATTGTGCGCGGAATGCCACCATTCAATCATGTAAGGTATCTTCTCCGAAACTTCCATTTGAACATCGATTTCAATTGGATGATATTTTGCATACAATTCCGACGATTTATCACGCAATAATGAACCATCCGGTAGCTAAAGAAGTCGTTATTCGATGAGTGAATCAAGTCGAAGCTTCATTCATCTGAAGATTTTGAAAGATAGTCATATCTATTTTCTTCTTTTCTCGAATATCATCAAACAAGTCGTCAGTTATCAAGATCGAAGTCCAACATAAAGAGGATTTCAAAGTCAAAGAGAAAGCAACATAGTATTTATTTACGTTAACAATACATTGTAAGTGGCAAAATTCTCCCGTCCGCACATCTGAATATCTCTGCAAGAAGCATGAAGGAATGTCAAATCTTATCTCTACTATCATTTAACATTTTAACAGCATTCCGTCCAGGGTTTTTCTTACTTTGATGTAATCATTCGATTCAATCACACCAAATGTTGATGGCAACGCCATACCGTCTTTTTCGTACATTGTTAATGTAAAATCGAAATCTGCGACTACGTGTAACATCTTTCTTCCATCTTTAACCATCGAACGAAGAGCATCGTCGACATACGCACGTTTATCGTCATGTACGTGAACATGAGGATTAGTTTGGAGAATGTTTGCAAGTAAATTCATCTAATCTAAAAACGATTGAAAATATTAGCACCGGAATGAGCGAAAACGATACAAAAAAAATTGCGAGAAAAATGAAAGAAATTAGATTTTTAATGATGTGGTTAAAGCTCGGTTTTCATCATCAGTATGCGATGATGTTTTGGCAGCAAGTGTGGAAAGTAATGCAGTTCGATAGATTTCATAGAGTTGGACACGAGCGAGATTTTCATTTTTGTATAAGCGTGTCATCATTGCATGGAATGTTTCCAAATCGGATAGATTGAATAGATGCCATTGCAAGAGATTATCGCTCGATGATGACGCTTGAGAATAGACGCGTAGGAACGAAGGAATACGTTGTTTGAGTAAAGGATTTGGTGGCACAAGTGTTTTTCTTGACGAATGATAATTCCGATTGAGGAAACTGAAAATAAAAGTAGGATAACAAAGTACGAAAGAAGTGAAGATTTATTTGATTACTCAGCTTGTCGACGACGGCGTCGACGTGGAAGAAAACTTAGCTCTGCAGTCAAATTTAATGATCGACTTGATGTAATTCGATGGTTTTTGTCATCGTTATTGTCTTCGTTGTCATCTTCATCTGAATCAGTCTCGTTTGAATGAGTAGTACCATGACGATGGTTTTTATCATATGATCGACGCGCTTCTTCAACAGATTCTCTTCAAATAAAAACAATTTATATCGATTTCATTCCATCCACCCTCTTACTTCACAGGATCGCTGTATGCTTTCCGTTTTTGCTTTCGACGTCGTATTTTATTTGCCTCTTTGCCGTAGAGTAGACGTGAAAATTCACGATCAAATCCAGCGAGGGAGCTCGTACTGCCCGTAGGTTTGGGTGGCGAAGGAGGAGGTAAATTGCTAACAGATGAAAGAGTAGATGTCGGCGATTGATATTGAGGTGGGGGTGAACGAACTGGATTTGTTAAAGGTAATACACATGGAAGAGAAATACTCGGAAAGACTTCTACTGTCGATAGAGTAACGGATGATGGAGTTGGTGGACGAACGAGACTTTGAGAGCGATCAGAAACTACTGGAATAAACGATGAATAGTGGTGATTCGAATCTGTAAAAAATACCTGGTCGAATTACTCGATTGTTATTTGTGATACTTAAGGTATATGAAGGTGGTGGAGGTCGAGTTCGAGTCTGTTCGTGGAAAGGTAGTGGAGGAGAAGTGGTCAATTGATTACTTGGGGATGAACTCCATTTGAGTACCGACGGATGAATATAAAAACTCGTTGGTGAACGTGAAGAGTCAAGTTCGTCATCATCCAATGGTTTCGTTTGTGAAATGACACTTTGTTCTTCGAATAATTTCTCCAGTGATGGCGAATAGTGTAATTTCGGTTCATCATCTTCGTCTTTTGTCGAAGATTTCGCAGTTTCCACAGGTGGTAAATCTGGTGTGTTGTCCCTGACAAAAGATGCCAATGTTTTCTGTTGTTTTCCTTCGACATGTATCGGTAATTGATGAGAAATCGGTTTTTCCTCGAGAACAGACGCTTGTTTCAATTGCCCAAATGTAATTGGCTGAGATTTCTGTCCGGTATGAGACAATGAAGGATCAGAATTCGGTTTTCTTAATGTCTCGATCATTGTAACAATGCGTCTATGAAATAAATTCGAATGAATCGATGAAGATAAGATCGGCGAGATTTCTTGAGGAGAATTTGTTGAAACAAGTTCATTGTCATTCGCCGACGAAGCTGACGAAGCAAGAAATTGTGCTATTTTGGCATTATATCGATTATCATGCGCTCCCGATGGGAAAACTAAGTAGGAAAGATGAAGAGTTGAACAAATGATGAGAAATAATCGGCAGACCTGATGCAGATGAATTTCTCGGAATGAATTTTCCTGGAATACTATTATGAAATGTGACTTGTTTCTTTCTTGGCATATCTAAAAAACACACATAAATGTGTCTTTCATATTCTTCTTCTTATTTTATTCGTTTTTAGATCTTCAACAAACGAACATGTTCAAAAAAACCACAAAAAACGGAGTTTTTTTCTTCTTCTTTTAAGCTTTGACAGCGAAGGTACGCTTGGGAAACGCCCATTGTCGTCGTTGAGTTTTCTTCAATTGCACAGCACGTTCTTTAGGTGACAATAAACGGCGAAGTGCGCGTGTCTTTCGTCGACGTAAATCTTTTGGTTTGTATTTCTTTCCGTGGTAAAGTTTTCTTAATTCTTCTTTGGTCGTTTGATTTCGAACAATCAGAACATGAGCAATGGATTTGCGCACATTGCGAATTTTACCTAATTTTTGTGCCCCGCCGCTACCTGTGACTTTGCCGACACGTAAGGTATTTAATTCTTGACGTAAATCATCTAATTGCTTTTGAATTTCAGCTAAAATCGAATTCGATTATGTACTTTTCGGTTAGGACTGCCGAGTGGTTAATTTACCTGGTTTTTTACCACGAAGTTGGGAACATTTCACTCGTGTCATTTTGTTGAGAAAGAAAACTTAAATCTGAAATTGAAATTCAACGTAGCATTGTTTTGAAGAAAAATACTTGTATGTGTTTTTCGGTTGGATAGATGGACGTTTGATAAGTGAATGAAAACGGTAAGAAAATACCAGTCGATAGATGGAAGCAGAGTAGCAACTCGCTTGTGAATGGCTTATTTCTTAAGCAGAGGATGAGAAAACATAAACATAAACAATCAAAGCCGGAACCAAAAGAAAGTTGAGAGACAAAGCCGTTGATCGATCGGAAAGATCAAGCAGAGAAGATCGAATCGATTCCGAGAGAAATTGAGACAAATGCCATGATGTCCAGTTGCGCAGTTTAAGAAAGAAACTCTCATTGTTTATGGGCAATTCGATGTTGCGAGAACAACTTTGCGGAAATATTTGCGGTTGGTAAAGGAAAAATTAGAAGGCAATGGATTATAGAGAAGTTCCACATCATGATGTGATTGATAGCTACTGGTAACTAAGATGATCGAAGGAGTTTTATACGCTGGTGAATACATTTGGGCGTGGCACATCACACCTCCGAGTTTTATAATAATTTCGTTCTTGACTTTTTAGATAAGTCGTTGTTTATGGTTTTGTATCCATTGTGTTCTTCAATACTCTCGATTCTGATCGCAATTCTAATCATTTCAAATCATAAGCAATCAATCAATATATGGTTTGAAGTTCACCGGGTTTAACGAGCCAGGAGTTTATTGAAAACCTACATACGAATGGAATGATTACTGATAAACGGAGAAAAAAATGTCCTGTTACAAGTCAATCGAGCTGATTTCACTGATGATAAAACTGGGATCTACAGCGATCGGCCTCAACCAAGTAGTTTGAAAAATATTTACTTTTAAGAAAAAGATCAAAGCTTTTCTTTTTTAGTTGGCTATGCTGTAGGTACATCTAAATGTTCTACATCAGAACTAATTGATTCCTCTTCGCTCAGGTGACCACCAGGTAAGGCGTTGTATTTGAATGGACAATGTTGAAGCTTCTTCTTATCATTAGTGCGCCACATATGCATAGTTTTGGAAGATACACTTCAACCTGGTACTATAGTCCTTTCCTGAGTAAAGTCCTTTTTTATCAATATATTTCCATAGGAGCAAAAGTTCTCTATGTGGGGTTGGGTTCAGGACACTTAACTGCATGTATGTGGCACGCCTAGTTCGTCTGAATGGTAAAGCTATTGGTGTTGAGCACGTCCAAAGGCTTGTTGATAAATTAATTCAGAATATTCCTTGGAGATTCGCAAAGGTGATGGCTAACAGGGTTATCTTGCTAAAGCATCTGATGATGCGATTCATGTAGGTGCATCTGTGCCATACGCACCTCATGAGTTTATTCGACAATTGAAGATCATTGGAAGACTTGATGTTCCCGTTATAAATAAATTCGACCAAGAATGATTACCTACGATAAGAAAGGCGATGGAACATACGTTGAATAGCGACATATGGGTGTGATCTATATTCCACTAAGAGATGACAAAGCACAATACGAAAAATTCGGAGCTCGACAACAGATTTCAATAAATAACTTTTCTTTTTAAAAAAAAAACTTTTCAATAACCGCGCAAGTACATATCAATTTGAATGATTTATCTTTTTCTAGATTTCGAATCTATCTTGTTGGCATGTTATCGAAACGTCTTCTTTCAACATTGATCTCGACATCATCATGTCGGTTCATGCAAACAAGCGCGATCGTTAATTCAAGTCAACAACAAAATTCTCATACGAATTATGATAGATCAGTTTATGATTCAACACGCAAGAATCTATACATTGGCGCCGATACACGTGTAATTTGCCAAGGTTTTACTGGTAAACAAGGAACATTTCACTCACAACAAGCACTTGACTATGGAACAAAATTGGTCGGTGGTGTTAGTCCTAAGAAAGCCGGCACAAAACATTTAGGTTTACCAGTATTTAAAAATGTTCACGACGCCATGAAAGAAACCGGTGCCACGGCAACAGTTATCTACGTCCCACCCCCAGGAGCAGCCGAAGCGATTCTCGAAGCTATCGATGCTGGCATTGGTCTAATTGTCTGTATTACAGAAGGTATTCCTCAACACGATATGGTTAAAGTTAAGCATCAATTGGTAAGACAAAACAAATCTCGTCTTGTCGGACCAAACTGCCCAGGTGTTATTGGTAAGTTGTACTACTATTGCTTTCTTTTCTCAGAGATTTCATATTAATTGTTTTTAGCTCCTGGTAAATGTAAGATTGGTATTATGCCTGGTCATATTCATCGACCAGGACCAATCGGCATTGTCTCACGTAGTGGTACGTTAACATACGAAGCTGTACATCAAACCAGTCAAGTTGGCCTTGGCCAATCATTGTGTGTTGGTATTGGTGGTGATCCATTCAATGGCACTGACTTTATTGATTGCTTGGAGTTATTCTTAAAAGACAAAAATACACACGGTATTATTCTTATTGGTGAAATCGGTGGCAATGCTGAAGAAGCAGCTGCTGAATATCTCAAACAGAAGAACACTGGTTCAAACGCTAAACCAGTCGTTGCTTTTATTGCTGGACAAACTGCTCCACCTGGCCGTCGTATGGGCCATGCTGGCGCTATCATCAGTGGCAAATCCGGTGGTGCCGACAGTAAAATTCAAGCATTGAAAGATGCTCAAGTGAATGTGAGTGATTCGCCGGCCAAGATGGGTCAATTGATGTACAAGTTAATGAAAGGTGAAGACCATCCTCTTAGTCAAAAACAAACACAGTGAGTGCGAGAGCTCATTTCTAGCTCGCACATTTAGTTCTTTTAGAAAAGAAAAAAAAAGAAATTTACACATTATACGTTTCTTTTGCTCCTTATATTTCTAGTATTTTTTCTGTTTGTATGCGTAAAAGAATAGAATTTTTGACTTTATTACCAACACGTTGTTTGCCAAGGTTTTTTTTTCTACCCTATAAAATGAACTGATTGATTTCCGAGTTTATACTTATACGTACATATCCAATTTTATACTTCGATATAATCTAGAAAGAAACCGCAACAACAACAACAACAGCGACAACATTCGATGAAATAATGTACACGAAATCTCTTCTGTTCGTTGTCATTATTGGATTTCTCTCGTCCCTTGTAACACTATAACTGACGAACGATACGGATAATCGAAAGAAACCTATTGGACACCGATTTGATTGTTTTTTCCTTTTGCTTTCATATAGGAAAGAGAAGAGACGAGTGAATGTGCGGAGGAGAATTTGAGACGAAAATATGAGGAGCTCCTTGAAAAAGTAATATTGGTATGCGAAGCGTTTTTTCTTCACTTGCTGTTCGATTTGTGTTTGATATGATCTTGAAAAATTTCTTCTCTTTCATTTTCGGCTCGTTTTCGTTATTTATTTTTCAGATTAATTTCTCATGGCTTCTAATTATACACCATCCGAGTCTCCTGATAACATATCAGAATGCTCATCAACATCTTCAGGTTCGTCCAAACTCAAAGATGAATTACTCAATGAAATCTTAATGTGCGGTATTTGTCTTTCACGTATGACATCTCCATGCTGTCTTCCATGTGCCCATTCGTTTTGTCGGTCATGTTTACTCGATTACGCTCAAAATACGACGATCAATTCCAACACTCCGATCAATTTCATTATGTGTCCATATTGTAAATACCAGTTGAATTTTCGTTCATTCGAACATTTCGAATCAATGTTAATCATCAATCCGATTCTCAAGCAACTCTGCGAAACTTTGGATGCGTCAAAAACCACCACCTATGATCAACAGCAGAATCAAGTCAATGGAATCTATCGCGCACGATGTCATACCTGTGGTCTACTCAAAATGCTGAAAATCTGCAAACATTGTGCGTTCATGCTCTGCGAGACATGTCGTCGGACACATTTATTAGACGTTCATCGTGAAAGTAAATTACAATTAACAACTCTCGAATCACGACTCGAATCAATCAATAAAAAACGGCTGGAGATGGACAAGCAAGCAGAAGAATACGATAAAATTCGTCAACAGATTCAGACCTATGTTCAACGATTCATTCACGAAATCGAACAACAACGTGATCAAGCTCTACAGATCGTCAACGAACGTCAACATGCGAATGATGAAGCATTCTGGACAGGAAATGGTTTCGACAACGGCGAAAAATTAGACTTTTTCAATTCATTACTTCGTACGGGTCAAAAGAAACTCTTCGCTAAAAATATTACCGATAAAGACCTGATGGATCTATCTGATAATTTACAAACAATGCCGGATGTGAATGAAAAACTAATCGGATCTATTCAATTCACCCAATTACTGCTCGAACTCGATGACACGTTTGCGAATAAACAATTCATTCGCGTGTATGATACTCAGGAAATCAGCAAGAAAAATGATAATAATGACCAAACTAATGAGATGAAATCATAGATACGACTCAAGTTTCCTTCGTTTTTGATTTTAGAAGTATTTTCTACCGAATTCGATTTTTTTATCTTAAAAGAATACGACTGCTATAGATTCAATAAATATAGAATTGACTGAACTTTTTAATCAGCAGGAGTTTTCACAAAATGCAAAACAAAGTCGATTTGTCGTACTCGAGTCGGACGCGTCACACTGGTTTTGAGAAAAAAATCTGCCAAAATCGAGTCATACGTGATGTCTTTTATGTCGCGTGACTTGGGCAAAAATTCGCTACGATTGGAGAATCCTCACGTTCTGAGAAAATGTGTGAACTAAGAGACAGAATCTCCTTTTGACTCGTCCTTCAATGCTTGTCAGATAAAAAATTTGCACTTAACAATCAATTTCTCATTCAAGGTGTTCGAATAACATTTAGTTGGTAAAATTGAAATGAATGACCAAATTCAACATGGAATTTTGTCATTTCCTCTCTTGATTCTCTTTCCATTTCGAAGTGGATACCATATAACTGACTTTTTTTTATCGCACATGTCTCTGGATAGACACGCATACTAATAAAAGATGTGAATTCAATCAATAATACTTTACAGAATAAAAATGATCCAAGCACGGTAAGTAATCTACTTGAATCCGTTGTTTTTCTTTGCGAAAAAAAGCTTTTTGCTCTTTGATACAAAAAGATGCATTACTTTCTGCTTACATAATTGATTAGTAGTTGTTGAACTACTTTGATTTTCTTCTTTTCTTATGGCGAAGAAAATTGTTTTTCGTCGTTACGATCACATTTCGTCGAAACTCGTCATCCAATTCGCATTCCGACAACTTCCGATCTTCTCTGACATGAAAGTCGTGAAGACATCCGGTCGTTTCTTTTCAATTACTCTCCTTCACTAGCGAGTTTGATTCATCTGATCTCAGATTTCTGTTTTCTTAGTTTAAATGTTTTATCAAACATCAACTTTCTTTTTCTTCATCGTTTGTCCTGTTGATGTCAGAGGATGAAATCCATCACTTAACTTAAAAGAGCCATTTAAACGTTTGTGTATTTTGCTTTTTTGTTTTTGACTACCATTCGACACCCTTTCGCATCTTTTTCTCTCTCCTTCTCATTTCTCTTTCTCACCGCGCCGTTGAAATTTTTTTAAAAAGATTTGTTTGAATATTTGCAGCAACTAAGCAGCAATTCACTCTTTGACTATCGTCGCCATACACAAAAAAAAAAGAAGCGAGAAGAGAAAAGAAAATTGAGAATTTTGCTTTTTAAATTAGTTTTTGCTGTGCGTGTGCAAACGACGAGAAAAGGAGAAATACACAAAGGGAGGTAGGCGACTTGAATGAGTATTAAACTGAATATTCAATTTGATATGTTTTGATCGTCGAAATCATTATCACAACAAAAAAAAAGAAATCCTACTGTAGTTTTTCGTAAAATCTGGGCTGAATATGTCGGAATATATTAATAGACTTTTGTCAACATTGAATATTAATTAGTTTTGCATTTCCGTAGGTATTGTTCCACATGGCTAATCATATAGATGAACGCGCGGATACGTTCGCTGATCTGGAATATCGTATGAGCAACCCGAAAGCACCACCGCAAGATGTGGTGAATCGAAATGCTGGAATCAATATTATGAGCAAACAGCCAATCTCGAAAGCGATTCAACTCAAAGCAGAAAACTACGATCTATGGTTTCAAAATGAACGTTTAATGGAAGAAAACGGCACCTTGGGAAACGAATTGACCAAATTACAAGATAAACACGATAAACTGATGTATTTAGCACGTAATCGTCTCGGAGAAATTCGCACAAAGTATCAGAAATTGGAGCAAGATAATCTGGCTTTGAAAACCGAACTCGAACGTTTAGCTCGAGAATATGAAGCAACGAAAAAGCTTGTCGAAGATTATCGTCGAATGGAAGAACGGTAATCAACCGAATTTGACACGACAGAATCATTACTATTCTAATTTTTATTAGTTTCAAAGCAGCAGATCGCGAAATGCGTTTGATGATCGACACACTAACTCGAAACAATGAAGATTTGAAAGGACAAAATCAAGTTTTGATTAACGAACTCGAGTTATTGAAAGAAAAATACTTCATCGCCAAGCAAAACTTAGAGAAATCTATGCGTGATGCATCTGCACTCAAAGATGAATACAACAAAACTGTGTACAATCGTGATTCTTCCGAAAAGGAAGTCGCTCGGTTGAATTCGAAACTCAACGAACTAACTGCAGCGAAAAAATCAGCTGACGAAAAAGTTGAATTCCTAACCGGTCGTACAAATAATTTACAAGTCGATTTAAGACGGTAAGTTCTCTTCCTTCATCCATTCTCATCATCTTGACTCTCATTCAGTTCGGAAGCGAATGCCGCCACTTTACAAGAGAAATTTACCTTAATCAAAAACGAACGTGATGCGTTGGAAGCCGATAGTAAGAACAAGATGGTCCTCCTCATGCAAAAACTCAAAGAATTACAAGTTCAAAATAAGTCATCAATGGAACAATTACACGCGCAGAGTAAACAATGTGATCATTTGAATGGTGAAAATAAACAGCTGCTCGAATATGTTGTATGTAGAACGTTAAGAATCAATATTGGTTTGATTTTTAACTTTTTCTCCTAGAATGGTTATCGAAAAGAAAACGATCTTCTCGCTAAACAACTTGTTTCTGTAAATACTAAGCAAAAACGTTTAGCCCTCGAATTAGAAAAATTGAAATCGGTCGACGCGTTCATGAAGAACGAAGAAGCAATGAAAATGCAGGACGCTTTGATGGGCTTAACCGATCAATTGACACAACTACGAAAGAATCATGCGAACACTTTAGCGGAAAATCAACGAATCAAAGAATTGTTAATCGAAAAAGATTCCGTTCTAACCAATCTCGGTTACGAACGACATCAGTTACAAGACAAAATGATTAAAAATGAACATACGATCCGACAAATGGAACGTATGTTGGATAACAATCCCGGACAGAAACGATCGCCAATGGAGCCATTGAGTAGCGCAGGACATGGTGGTTCAGCGACAAATGCATATACATTTGATAATGTTCTCGAATCTTGAAAAAAAGCTTTTCCGTGTGTGAAGCAGTGTGATTCTTTTCTAGAGTTTTCGTCTTCTTCTTCTTTTCTTGGGTACGAATAAAACAAAACGAAAATGTGCCTTGGTATCAATGATGATGCTCCGATTATTGACAATGGAATTTGACCTAATTCTGCCTAGTCATAAAATAGAAATTTAGGGCATCGGAAAGAGAACCATGAAGTGATGACTGAGCAAGACAAAAATGACAAAGCGGTATATCGTGAGAGATAATAAGTTGAAAACACGTGCGACGGAAGATAAATTTGCCGTATAAAAGCTTTGGCGGAGTTGAAATTAAGTCACACATTATATTTTCTCATATCATAAACCAAGGTATGTTGAAAAGAGGATATAAATAGAAGTTTTTTTTTCGATAATTTTGTTTATCTTGCTGGTGTAGATATGCAAACTATTTCGGTACTCGCTGTTCTTGCACTCGCTTTCTGCTGTACATTAGCGCTCGATGTAAAATTGAACCAACACTGGAAATTATGGAAAGAAAAGCACAACAAGCTCTATTCCGATGGGGAAGAACATGTTCGGTAACGAAGTTTTCGGTAGTCGAACGAATTTATGCAATTGACATTTGATTTTAGCCGAGCTATCTGGGAAGGTAACTTGAAAAAAGTTCAAGACCATAATCTTCAAGCTGACCTTGGTGTTCAAACATACTGGCTCGGAATGAACAAATACGCCGATTTAGTAAATAACAGAATCATGAATATAAAATATTCCTATCGTTTTGTCGTTCTAGTCAATCAGTGAATTCGTCAGAATGATGAATGGTTTCAATGCTACTTTACGTGGACCAAGAAGCCAACAACGTAATACATTTAGTTTCGATCCCACAGTCGAATTACCAGACACCGTTGGTATGTATTTCGATGGTTATGAATTTACTGATTTGAATCATGCTTCTTTCTGTTTGTAAGACTGGCGTGATAAAGGTTATGTAACTGCCGTTAAAGACCAAGGTCAATGCGGTTCATGCTGGGCTTTCTCGAGCACTGGCGCACTTGAAGGTCAACACTTCAAACAATCTGGCAAACTTGTTTCACTCTCTGAACAAAACTTAGTTGATTGCTCAGGTAAACAAGGTAACATGGGTTGCAATGGTGGCTTAATGGATCAAGCTTTCGACTACATCAAAGAAAACAACGGTATCGATACTGAAGATTCCTATCCATACGAAGCTGTCGACAATCAATGCCGATTCAAAGCTGCTAATGTCGGTGCTACTGATACTGGCTTCACTGATATCACATCAAAAGATGAAAATGCTCTTCAACAAGCTGTTGCTACAATTGGTCCCATCTCAGTTGCCATCGATGCTGGTCACACATCATTTCAATTATACAAACACGGTGGTACGTAGTTTGAATAAAGAACAACGATTCTATTTTGATCACGAATATCTCTTAGTTTATAACGAAATTTTCTGCTCACAAACTCGACTTGACCATGGTGTCTTAGCTGTTGGTTATGGTACCGATTCAGGCAAAGATTACTGGCTCGTTAAAAACAGGTAATTATTCTATTTTAATGACTTCCTAAATAATGATGATCTATTTGTTTTTAGCTGGGGCCAAGGCTGGGGTGACCAAGGTTATATTAAAATGAGTCGTAATAAACGCAACCAATGCGGTATTGCTACAGCTGCCAGCTATCCACTTGTTTAAAACGGCATAATTTAATCATTTGCGTTTCTTTTCGCCTCGACATATATGTGTTTTTTTTTTGTATTCAAATGACAACCATAATCACATCATGACAATAAAGAGAAAAAAGCCGGGCACAAAGTATTCCATCTATTTGATTATTTATTCATCGAATGATGTGTTGTAGTTGTTGATAATCAAGGCACACCATTTCTTACATATGATTTTCTTCGTTCTTTCGTCGTGTTCAGCAATCGAACACAAAAATCCTAGATCAAGCAAGATCGATCTTCTTCAGAGTCATATGTATTTCATCGAAGATAAAGATCAGCAAAGAAAACAAATCTAAGATGTTTAGATAGAAATGAATCAATCGACGAGGGATCGTCTTCCTCTTCTCGTTGACACAACAACATCGTTTTTGTCTGGATATTGCTTTATGAATTTGAGCGAATAATTCGACGGATATTGTCTTTTATTGCTTTTCATCCGGTCACGAGAGGGAAAGAAAAGACGAGCAAACTTTCATCAAATATTACGAGAATAGTAATAAAAAAAAAAGATGCGCGAGCTAGATTGATCGTGAAATGATTCCCGGTGACCTATTCGAGAAAAAAAAAGAAATCTTTGCTGGTGCTAATTTAATCAGTAAGCTGTTTATTTTCGTCATCTCTTGAAGTTTGCTTTTCCTATAACAAGCTCAAGAAGGCCGAGAAAGAGAGACAACGCAGAAGAACAGCAAGAGAAAACCCGATGAATTGATTCTTGTTGCATGCCAAATGCAATAATAAATCTCGCGCATCTCTACAACTAACAATCACTTTTCCGTTTACTAGATCAGTTTATTCATCGTCAATCTTTTAGATCAAACAATCATGACTGATAATTGGGCAACTGATCATGACGATCATGCACCATTTGGTTCCGATGAAAACATTCATGTTACGGAGTATGTTTCGCTTTTAATCACCATCTTCTTCTTCTTGATTGGTTTGATTGGAAACGGGGTTATGATAATCGGTAATGGATACATTCTTCGGCATACACCAGGCGGAGAAAAACGTACCTTCGAAAATTTCCTTATGGAAATCATCTGTTTTGATTCGATCGTTTTATCGTACCATTTGATAAATTCAATTATACGTTACAAAGCATTACCTGAACAAGATAATGACATTATGACTGGTCTGATTAACATTTCAACGGTTTGCTGTAAATTATTAACGTATATTGTACGAGTGTCCACCTTAATGTCACATTGGTTAATCGTTTTATCGCTTCTGAATCGATTGTTTCTTGTTTATCCGAAGTTTTATCGATTAATTGCGATCGTTAATGCAAAATACGCGGTGTAAGTACAAACAGCATGTCATAAACACTTGCGAACGTTAATTTCATCGTTCATTTAGCTTTGCCCTTTTGTTTATCTTCACTCTTTTCAATGTTCCATCGATCGAAACCATGTCATACAATGAACCGTTAATATTTTCTCCAAATGCGACGATGAACGTCACATTTCATCGTCATTGCCTGATGAACGCCGAAATGGTTGACTTACACGCATCAATCTACTCGACATCTGTTATTGTCAACGTGTTTTTCTATACCGGTCTCGGTTTGATCTTAGCGACGATCGTTATTTTTGTCCTCTCAATATTCATTTTTCATAAAGGATCACAATTGTGGAATGAATTACGTAGTCATCATTCGGAAACCGAGAATATTTCACTTCGTTATGATTCTCCGATCGTCGAATATCTTCGAACATACAACGCAGCGTTTTCTTTAGGAATTATCTTTGTTATCCTTTCAATTCCATGTAAAATTCTGCGATTGATCGTTTTATTTGCTTCGAATTATGTTGATGAATATCCTTCATCGAACAACATCCTTCTCAATGCTCATGCTCACATGCAAACCATTGGCTTAGCTTTCGAATTATCACTTTATTCTTACAAAAGCTTCGTCTTCGCCTGTACAAATCATCGCTTTCGTTGTGCGTTAAAATACTTACTAAGATATCAACGAAGTCGGGTCATTCTCGATCAAAGCATCGCGACAAGAACGCATTCAAACGGTAGTGCAGGCGGTCACGAATTACTTCAATCGAGTCATTCTCAAGATGGTGTACCATTCGAAGGATTGTATAGGCATTTGCAGAAGGATGATTTCGATTTTCCCATGCAACTTACTCGACCGAATGGAAGGAGTGAAAGCGGTGGAGCGAGTTCTTATAGTCATCGTTCAAGTTTTAAAACCCGCTCGAGTGTTTGCAGTCGTCGAACGAAAGAAGATGAAATTTCACTTTAACTTTGTTGTTGTTGTTGTTGTTTTGTAAAGAAGAGAGAAAGGATGAAATAAATGTTTGAAAAACTGACTTTTACTCGTAGAGACAACGATGCTTAACAACTGACACGAACGGCAACGAGAAAACCATGCACACTTACACCACGATGCTGAAGAACGAGCAAACTAATAGAGAAATATTTAATTCATTACCATCTTTCTATACTTGCTAGTGATTCTTTCTTTTCTTTCGAGAAAGATCTTTATAATATAGAACAAAATGTGTTCTTTTCTCTTCCAAGAATTGAACGCTGACAGTGTTTAATCTATTTAAAAGAGTATCAAGCATGACATTCGATACACTTTCTACTCGGACATATATCTATCGGCGACAGACTACGTTTAATGCGTCATATTAGCAACAATTTCTCGGTGCGTGTGAAGATTTCCATCGAGTTTAGTATGTCAGTAGCAGAACTGCTAGTTTTACGGAAAAATAAGTCGTATCCACTGACTTAGTAAAGAGTATGATGAGCAAAACATTGGCATTGCTTGTCATGTGATGAGATTTGAGATAATCATCAGCTTGTAATTAGCTGCGTTCGATTTTCTTTCTCAGGAATTCCTAGTCGATGACTTTGAAGATAACATATTTTTTCTTTGTCTTCGAACTATAATGTCCCGTTAACGAGTTCTTTTGTTCCAATCGAATTATCTTTTTTGAGTGATTAAATGAAAGAACGAATGTGGAAAAATTCTCAACAATCGAAGAAAATCAAATACGTTTGATTAAAATGTATGTATGTTTACATTTCAAAATGTTTTTGTAAGAACAAATCGAAATGAATGACTCTGTTTTGTAATGAAAATAACTGCGCATTTTCCTTTGTTTACGTTGGATTTTTTTTAAACATTTCGAACAAAGTCACAAGTTGTTACTCAAATAGATTTTTCGACGAACATCAAACTTCTATTCTTTCTTTTTCCAAAGCATGAACAACAGCCCGGACTTTTTCTTCTTGAGTAAAAGAACGGAACTGCCTTAAACGAGATTCTGGTGAAAAGAAAGAAAAGAAAATAAGCGTTCCATTCTTCGAAGTTTCAAAAAACAACACATAGCAATGTTTTCCTTACGCACGTTTTTTTCTTCTCACAAATAACAAATCTTAATGTTTAGATTAACAGTTATTTCACAACACTACATTGTTCATATTCGAAATGATTAACAATGCTACTTCTGTCATGCCCGCTGCGAATAATATCACAGGTAGGATTGATATGAGTGAATCTGAATACACGCGTTCTTATTTATTTCCAAAAAAAGACGCTTCATCTCGAATCATCTGAGATTCTATAAATAAGTCAGACTTTGTCACATAGTTCAAGCGTTTGTGTGCCAAGAGACACCCTATAATTATCATTAACTAAAAATATCTCGATCTTTTTTAGTTACCACCTGGTTATTATCTTGCGCTAATGAAACTTTTGATTTGAATACCACTGTATATAGTGTAAGTCGAATATCAATGGATTTATTACTGATTATACTATTTGTTTTTATAAGCTTTATGATTTATATCGAAATAACATTGCCAATGTTATTTCAAATGTATCGATCAACAATTTTACGTAAGTTACAGATAAAATTCTCTATCTAAGGAGAGAATATATACTTTAGTTGTGTGAAAGACGTCGACAGTGTTTTTGAACAATTAGTCACATTTACTCAAGCAGTTTCTATCCAAAATCAGATCTTGTTAGGTAAAACAAGCATTTGAAATTCATGTAAACACAGTTTTGGATTTCCAGTCTCAATTTATTCGGATTTTCTCAGCACAAATCAATATCGGTTCAATGGTTTGATAATCGATCGACAAAGAGAATCAACTTTATCATCCGTGACTACTCACAACAGTAAGAAAATATTTCTCTATTGTCTATTCGATGTCGCTAATGAATTATATAACAAGACTATGTAAACCACAGAGCATGCGATCAAAAATTAAGATGTCCTTTAAATATCTACAGCAGATTTTTCATTTTGGGGGTCTAAAATTTCTATTTGAAGTCAATTAGATAAGTTACCGTGGCGTTTTTAATTAAGATGCTCTGTCGGATGCGTGCTCAGCTGCTGATATCGCCTATAATAATTCACTTTGTTCAAACAACTTAACTCATCCCGTATGTACAATCTCATCGAATCGATGGAAATACATGTGCAGGTAAGAAGAGATACGTGAATTTAAGAAGTACTTTGTTACATTTGAAATGTTTAGTACTGGCGAAACCAGTAATACACCGGTGATATCAGGTTTAAGCACATGGCAACTTGGCCTGATTTGTAGTTTAAGTAAAGTGAAACATTTGAACAGAGTTTCCGATTGGATTTTGATTGATTTTAGGTATTTTGTTTGTGATGGTTCTGCTGATCTTGTCGATATACTTTTATCGGAGATATCGACATTCGAAACAAATCGCTCTATCACGATTAAACCTCTATGATTCTCTAAATTTCTCTCAAAAAACGTATTTTGCATTCGAATTACAATGGTTTCATATGTTTCTTCGTTTTTTTGCTTAGTGGCGTACCCCAAAGCGAAGAATTCAAAAGAGCAACAATGATCGTTCAACCAACGCCGAACGTCAGCACCACTGCGTCTTGTATTCATAAAGATTCAATGGAAAATGTCATTTCTATAAACGAGAACTCGACAAAACCCAAAACACCCACACTACACAAGTAACTCTCATCTGACATTCGAAATTCAACACTCATTTGTCTATTTAGTCAACACCAACGAAATAATTTATCGGTGAAACTTGCTCAAACATCAGATGTGCCAAAGAATATTTCAACGAATGTTCCAACTATCGTCATATGCCGATCAACTTCAGATAAATCACTAAATCAATCGAAATCGATAACAGGTAAATGAAAACCATTCCATTTCCATCTTTCATTCTCTGTTCACTTTTTAGATGAATCAGATTCGCTAAATCAATCAAATTTAAATGATTCAACAGCACCGTTAACGAAAACAGTCATCAATATTCCATTATCCGATGAAAATCTCAGTGATGAAGACGCGTGGATGTCAATTTTAGACGTTGTGAATGCTGAAGTATGATTTGAAATCACTCCTTCGTTTTTCAAACAGGAATCATATTTTCTTTCGTTTTCTTAGTTAGCAATTCTTAATGAAGAAGATCAGATACGGGTGTCAATGTAGAACGAGATAAAACATTTGATTTTCATTGTATTTTTTATATTATTCAATGCTATTCTTGCGTGTCTTCAACGTACGACGAAAAAAGAACATTCGTTCTACGCCAACAGCGAAAATCAATGCAGCATAGTAGTTGTCTTAAATAAAGAGAGAGAAATAGGTATGAATAATGTCCTTCAACTGACTTTGTTGTCAGCTTGGTTATTGTCGTGTACGATAGATGATGAATATTTCAATGTAAACCAAAAAGTCTGTTGACTTATGTTAATTTGAGCTTTCAACAATGAATATTTGAAGGAGAAAAACATTTTCCCCCCGTAAAAACCTTGATTGAGTTTATTTTTCAAATTAGCAAGATCAAGTATTATGAAATCATACTCACTTGTCCTTTGCTGTCAATGAAATACATTCACAAATATTATTCATGTCTTATTTTGTTAAATTTAAATTGACAAATACTGATTGAATATTCGTTTCATTTTCAATACATTATGCATAACGAACGTTCGCGTTTTTTCTTTAATGAGACTATATCAGATGTCTAGTCTAAATACACACATTCACACGGACACACGAAGACGAATTTTCATTCAGTTCACGAATTGACATGAATAGGTGACGATGGATTCCGGAGATAGACATAGGTACTTGAGAGTTGGGGTGCTTTGTTATTGAATAGTGTTGACGATGATGGTAACGGCGATGATGAAGAGGAAATGCGGGTGATATGATTTGTATCTGGGCGAAGAAAAGATCGTTTCGAGAAAGGAATGTGTGTTGTGTCTAATTTGAACTTCGAATCATTTAGACGAGTCATTGGTGAACTATGTATCGTTGTTGGATGGTCGGTCGATGTTTTGAAAAGTGGAGGTGTGGGAGGCGGAGGAATCGGAGAAAATAATTTCTTTGATCTAATGGAAGAATCATTAAATGATGAACGACGATTGAGCTTGAGAGGTCTTGAAGATGATATTCCCTGATTGAACGACGACGCTTTATCTAACGTGATATTGTTCGACTGAATGTCGTTAAATAAATTATCACTGGTATTCTTATTCGATATGGATGATGAAGACGAGATCGTTGATTTTGTTTGAAAAAATTCTTCTTCATCATCACACAGATGATTAAACAAATCCGATAAAACAGGAAATACCCGATGACACCGATTACATGTGCGTAATTGTTCGATGCCATGACTAAGATTTCCTATATAAATAGAAAAAGAAAATACAACAAATCGATTCATAACTATGCATGAAGAGTTGCCTATGTAAAACAAACATTGCTTATCTTAATCGATGTCATTTGATTATTTACAGATTAGTTAGCTTTAGCAACTACAACAAATCCATGCAAACTTACCATACACATGCTTTAGACAGTTAATCAAATCTACCAGACATTTATCACATAGAAAGAAAAACATGCATGTCTACATTGAAATATATTACGATATATCAAAGAGCGTGTATTACTTAGCGAAATAAAAAAACACGAAGCAAAATTAAAACAATGTTTTTGTTTTTGTTTCTATTGTTCATGCTTGAGCAAAAACTAAATAGGAGTGTGAGTAGGTATGTAAAGAAGCAAAAACAACAACGTGTAAACAGGCAGCTAGTTGGTGGCGGATTGTTTCGTTTTATTACCGGACGTTGGTTTTGGTGCTGATTGACTGTGATCATTGAGACTATTGGTCGTTGAATTGTTGAAACGTTTGGTACTACTGTTCGTTGCCGTTTGACGTTTGGTTCCGAATTGTTTACAAAGTGCTTCGTGATCCTTTCGGTCAGTCAGACGAATTTCTTGATGGCAATACGAGCATTTCGAAGAGAATAGCTTCTCGTCTGTTATGTTGGTAGCTGATTGATAGGGTTTGGATCGAACATTACTCGTTGGTTTGGATGGACGTTGTCGACATGTAGCTTCGTGTTGACTACGATCTTCAGTTGTTGCTGAGGGCTGGAAACAATATTGGCATGAGAATATTTTCGCTTCCGTATTATGCATTGGACGACGTCTTACGCGATGCACATTGATTGTAGGTGGTTTCGTTTGTTGATACACATAATTATCGTCGATATTTTCTTCATCGCTATCGTTGTGATCGAAACGTGTTGACGACGCTGTTCGTTTTTGTTTCGGATGTTGTCCGAGCCATTCGAAATTCATTTCATTCGCTTTCTTAGTTGATGATGGCACGTGATTGACATGAATACGTGTACGATTGTTCGTCGCGGATGGTCGTTGCTGGGAGGCACTACGTAGACGTGTTGTTGATGATCGGGGCGTTTGTTGCTGAGTAGCGTTGGCGAATGGAAGATCTCGCTGATGAAATGTTTGCCAGAATGGGTCATCGTTGAAAAATTGATCGAATACCGCACGTGTCAACATTTCGAACATCATAAAAGGATTGTCAGCGTTGGCGCGTTGCTGAAACATGGGTGGAAATTTGTTATCTGATGATTCGGATGATTTGCTTTCTTCTTCAGGTTCAAACGCCCAGTTATTATTCCATTTCGGTCGACTGTGAGTTGTGAAACGTGCTTGACTAGGACCATGTGCTCGAGGAGATGCATCGAATTCGAAGTCATCCGATCCTATGAAATCAAAGTTGTTTTAAAGAGAAAACCTATTAACTTTACATTTACCGAACGTGGAATTCTTTCGACGTTGTTCGGTTCCATCATGAGTATCGTCGTCATCGTCATCCGAAGATACACGACTATTTGTTGAGTCGAAAAAAGGCGAATTTGGTGAACGAAACGGATCGAAAAATGAACTAGAAAAATGTGCATGTCGTTGATGAAAATTAGCAAATGGATCTGGACCCATGCGATGAAAGCGAAAACGAGCTGAACGTGCTGATGTGGAACCATCGTTCGTCGTTGTTGTGTTAGTAAATGTAAAGTGTGGCTGACCGGGTGCATGAAATGAAGATTTGAATGATGTTTCCTGTTTATTTGCTTGCGTAGTTGGTTTATTTGTTGATGTTGTAGTGTAAGGTTTTTGTTGTTGTAAATCATACGTTCGACGTTTATCGGCATCACTCAAGGTTTCATATGCTTTGTTAATTTCTTTAAATGTTTCTTCAGCTGTTGCAGATGGATTTTTATCGGGATGATATTGAAGAGCTTTTTTTCGATAGGCCTTTTTAATTTCATCTCCAGTTGCTGTTGATTTAACTCCTAATATGGCGTAGCAATCTCTGGCTACCATCGTTGTACTGTTTGGTGTTGCTTATGACCTTTATCAGCACGATGATCACTAGCAATAATCACGTTTACACATCTAGAAGTATAACATGCGGAGAAAGGAAAAGAAAACAGGTGATTGAATTGTGTTCGCTCAAACAATATTTATTGATTGCAGACGAGCACACAGAGAGCAAAAGATGATGAATACCCACCTGATGTTCCTTTGTGTAAGAAAATACTGGTTGATTAATATCGAAGGTTAGAGACAAAGTGAGATGAAAAGAAAAAGAGCGAAATCGAATGAGAAATATAAGCATATGTATAGAAATATAACACATCTACTTATAAATCACTTTAGATGTTTGAATGATACCTCTCGAATGCAAAAATCAAGGCTTGTAAACAGTCAATCGTTAATGTCATCAATGAGAATCGTTCTAACAAGATGATGTCTATGGATGCGTACAGACTTGACATCAAATGACAATGATACACCAGATTCTACTCGAATGAAAAGACTAATATCCTTAAAAAAGACAATCATGCTAGACTGAAAATATCCGATCTAATGATAGCAAAAGAAAAGAATACAATTCTATCAAGACCGCATTCTTTGTATTCGCCGGACCAAAACGTGCGGATGCAAGTCGAAGAAGAGTGACGAGAATAACCACACAAAAAGATATATTTAGACGAAAAAAAAAACAACGAAGAATGGATATGCGTAATAGAATATGGATGTCATACGATCAATTCGGCTCATAAGAGCCTCGGTATCCGTCTAATACATATCTCTATGTTGTCTTTCCGTGAACTTCTCGTCTTTTTCTCCTATCGTTCTTTTCTGTTTCCTAAACATCTATCCGATCTTCGAGGTCAATGGTATTATGTCCGTTCTTAACCAATGTTCCTTCGAACGATAGCTTTATCGACGTCGTTGTCGTCGGAACACCCGGTGTTTCCTCGTCTGATTCTCTTACTCTACAACTGTTGATATAACTTACGCAAGTTAATGGACGAAGATACATGAATAAATGCAGACTGCTATGCATTATATATGCATATACGTTTATTCTCTCCTCTCTGCTTTCTTTTATCTCTCCAACTGCTTCTTACATCACAGTCATACACATTTTTGCACGTCCATAATCAGGTGAAACTGGACCGAAGAGTTACAGCATGAAATTTGTCATTCGAACAAGATAAAAGAAGAAAGAAACGTGTTGCATGAATTTCGCTACAAATGTATATGTCTATGGGGTGTGATCAAACGATCAATATCTATTTCCATCCACACAAGTAGAAAATCTTTGCTTACCCTACTATCAATGATCATATTTTAGTTGAATATTAGAATGTTATTTTGCTCTTCTCATTCTCCGTATGTTGTTTCAGTTAAGGTCAAACAAGTGAATAAATGAATGAGAGTGAATGACAACAGGCAAGGTCTTTTTTCTTCCAACACTGTGATGTAGTAAAAAAAGTCGACAAACGAGCAAAAAGAAATAGAAGAAGCCTGCGAAACAAACAGAATGAAAGAAAATCAGACTAAGCATGCACATGCATTCATTTTATGCAACTCAACAGAAGACGCCGATGAAGTAGTAGTAGTAGCATGATGATCGACGTCGCAACTGTTACTACAACGGATGTTGTTGAATGATTGGAAGAAAAGAATAGCGATTTTTCTTCTCGTCATCAATTCACATTTTTACTACCATAAAACTTTGTGAACAAAGAAAAATAAACATATACATTTCTGTATTTACATTAGCCTTGTTTAAAAATTCATGGATCTTTTGGTGTTTTTTTGCATCGCCTCATGCGTCGTATTCAATAAGATAAAGAAATTTTCGTCTTTGTTACATCATTTCATAGTTTACAAAAGACGTCAGACGATATTAATCGTCGATTTCTTCTTTTACACCGACAGACGGAAAAAAATTCGCGACGAAAAGATGCGATAGTTATATACAAAACGAACTACTCATGTATATGTACGTGCGGGGGTAACATTGTCATGAACGCTTGCTAGTTCTCTTTCTTTTTCGCTTTTTTTTTATCCTCTTCACACTCGATTGCGTGATCAATAAAATAACGTGACTTATATCATCTTTTCGCTCGTCTTTTCGAATGATAGTGTTGATACTATGCTTACAAACATCTGTTGACAAACGCCGACCAAGTAAAATGCACTTTTAACAATACCTGGCCGTTGTAGAAAACGAAGGCATAGGAGTAGACATGTGCAATGTTCTCTGTTGTCATGGTAATTATCAATCTCAATCCAAACTTGTCGAAAGCGAAATATTTTTAGTAAATTCACCTGTTTTACAAATACAAAAATGATTCGAGTGATCTACCGAGTTAGAAAAGCGACATCTACCGAAAGGGATACTCTCGCATGTTTGATTATTGTAATCGAATATGGAAAGTATCTGAAGAGATCCAGGATTGATAAATTCGAGAAATGAATTGAAAGCAGGTCCAAAAAAGCGTTTAGTTGACACAACACTTTGACTGAACGCGAAAGAGGAAATGTGTCAAGAGGCATGAACAACGAAATCATGGCTATATGACAAATTTTCGTCGTCATGCTTGTTTCATTTTCGTTTTAGTGACAAGAATCATGTTGATTTCTCTTCGAAAACATTTTTTCTAGATCTTTTTCTCCCCTTATCCTTTATTTTATACCCGCATATGTAAATCATTACCATGAAACAGTGCACTATTCTCACCTATCAATGTTACGTCTTACTCTTCTTATCGTTAGCTTGGATTTTATTTTGGTGAAAGTAATTGTCCTTAATGCAATGGAAGAAGCAAATAAACGAGGTAAAATTCTAGCAAATGCTGCAAAGAAAATGACAATCTCGTTTAGATTGTAATCAAATGTCCAATCTGGAAGATACCGTTCGGAATCTTCGAGAAGAAAACGCCAAGCTTCTGCAATTACTTCGTTCTCGTAAATATTTTCTCAGTTAAACTATTGGCAACTTTCGGTTCTTTTTCAGAAGGACTTCTACTCGATTCTCCATTGAATGGTAAATCTTCCGAACCGGCTTCTGCTTCAGTACCGGAAACAACTAACATTACCTTCGATCATTCCGATTTAACGTTAACGACGAATTCGGTGTCAACAACCAATCAAATCAACCAACAACATATCCACAATCATGGACCGATGAATCAACAGAATCACAATGAACAAACCATTCATGGGAGTCAGTCCAACATTACTCCAAACTTCAACACGGTCATTCAAACCAACAGCCAACCGTTTGTGCAGAATAATTCCAATACACTTGTACAAAATAATACGAATTTAATTCAACCGATCAACCTAGTTAATTTCAATAATGTTAGTCTAGATTCGATTCAATCGTTTTTTGCTTCACAGAACAATGTTATGTACTTATCTCAAACATCTACGTCAGCGTCCACGATGCCGACAAATACAACAACGATGACATCGATATCGTCAATTCTAACAAACTGTCCTCCAAATGAATCATCGATATCCATTCGATCGAGACCGTTTGTTAATCGTCTGAATCAAGAACTAGTACCCGTCATTCCTAAAATCAAAGCGGAATATTACGAAAAGCTCATCAGACAATATGCAAACTCGTCCAATAGTGAACCGAAGAAAAGAATCCAACGATCAATTCGTTCCAGACCATCTTCACGAGTAAATCATCTCCCCAATTACGAAACTTCGATTCTTTACATCTTCATTTAGATCTGTATATCTTCGACTGTGAATAAAAGCAAATCTTCATCCGACACCCTCCGCTCCTCATCTACACGTGTCGATCATTCTCCACCTATACGGCTATTCTCTTCACCTGATGATCAATCTCAATCGTCTTCCATTGAAAACCAAAACGATCTTCCTATCCATATTCCTAACCTTCAATCTCTCGATCACTCTCCATCACCCATCAGAAAAAAATCGACTAAACCTCGTCAACGTCCCAATCGCAAAAAATTCTTAACATCTCCAATAATCTCGATCACTGCGAATCCTGCTCGACCATCGCTGATCATCAAACGATCAATAACGAATCGCAAACCCACCAAACGTCATATCAAAACACTCGTTCAATCTCAAAGCGAAAATCTTACATCGACGATTTGCTCGTCGCCATCGAATGCATTTGCTCAATCCATCTCTGGCCTACTTGAGAATCTTGATCAAGAACTAATGGCATCGAATTTTCTTTCTCATGCAGTAGTGAATAACTTACTTTCGGATGATACCACGACTCCTGTTCAACGTGTAGTCAGTGATGCAATAGAATCTGCCGAAGAAACTTATCACACAACAACAGCATCTATGCCGACTCTCGAAGAATTCCATGACCGATTAGAAAATGGAACACATGATTTTAATGTAGAAAACGAACAAATTACAGCGTTTATGAGCGAAGAAGATATGCGACTTGTTGAGATGAATTTCGATGAAACGACATTCCTCAAACAATTCGATTTAGACGACGCAGGTCTACGATTAAGCGGCAATTCCGACCAGAATATCTTTGCTTGCATTTCAACTGACAATCAAACAAATTCATCAACATCTCATCCTTCTACTGCTCTCTATTCAAGTTCATCTTCAATCAGCAATAGTGTGTTCACCACTGTCGTACCGCTCGGTTCCCAACTACCAACGAATACACGTCTCAATCAAGAGAAAGAAAGGAATCCTGATGTAACATGTTTATTGCCCGAAGAAGGAATTCAATTGACGTAAGAAAGATCAATTTAAACTTTTTTTGACAATTTACTTGTTTTAGTGCACGCCATATCGAACCGAGTCAAGTGGCTACTTATGAATCTGTCAATTATCAAGATATTCTCGACGATTTAGTCATGGTTACCGACCAAGATGTTTTACGCCACGCTCAAGCAGCGACTACTGATAATTCATCGATTGTTCCATCAGAATTTACCTTTACTCTATTAGAAACAACCGATGATATTATTAATAGTACACATATTCAATTGACCACAGAACAAGCTTCAACAGTATTGAATAAATTACAGTATTTATATCCGATTGATCAGCAACGACAACACGATGCGATGGAAAAACAAACTGAAATTCAACCGATTGTGATTCCAGAAAGTTTACAATGTGATATCGTTGCACCAACGACATTGGACAGCTCAAATCTTTCACCACTATTGCCAATGATATCTACGCATTCGTCGGATCGATCGATGGCATTGACCGAAATAATAACAGGTGTTTGCTCTGATAGGCAATCGTCAAATGATCTTGATTCGTTACTTCCATCATTAGATATGCCAAATGCATTTGCTAGCCTTCCAGCAAAAGAGAATTCAAATACTTCAGTTTTATCTTCCAATTCTCCTCGATCGGAATCAACTTCGCAAATATGTGTCCTGTCTGGCTCTTCTGCGACTTTATCAAACACTGCTCAGAATGAAATGATCATTGATTCAGGTCGCGTAGAACGCTTAACAACGGACACCGGCACACTGTGCAATAACGCCAGTGTAATCGAAGATTTGTTATGTGAAACGACCTCGACTAGTTCGTTTGAAATCATTGAAAATCAAGGCAAAGCATTGGTGAAACAGCACGTTGTCATTGATAACGTTGATAGATTACTTGAACAAGTCGAACCGAAACGAATCGATTCACAACTATTCGAACGAACATTCTCTCGTTATCAACAAAAATATCATTCCAGTCTTCTACATCGGCACACTGTTCAGATCAAAAGAAGCGAAGAATCACCACCATCGACTCCTTCAGTCAAACTAAAACTCGAAGAAGCTCGGAAATCGAAACCTCTCGAACAAACGTCGATTAGATTGACCGTACATGCCAACGTCTCACAAAACGTTTCTTCGGAAGAACGAATTCATAATAGACAAATTCAAAAACATAAGAGAAAAAGCCGTCATCGAAAAAAGAAAATCATTCCGAATCCACCACAAGAAACTGAAATTGCTAGTCTGACACGGTTTGAGCAATCGTCTGCTGAATTCTATCAACAGCCATCACCTCCAATTTCGGATGAAGCTCAACTTAAAAATGAAACTCAACCATTATCTCCATTACTACCGCCTATGACTATAACAACAACTCTTCATTCGGGATTTATCATCGAAGAACAAACTCCGCCGTCAAGTATAACATCGTTCGAACATAAGCAAAGTCCACCACCATTGCTATACAATAATTCAGATACCAGCGATAGACTGACTACGAATGACTCTCATTTACATGATTATCATGACAATCATGAACATCATCAAACTAACAATGCATTTATAACTCCACCGCCCGAAATGGATCTTCATTCGCATAGAACGAGTTCTTATGAAAGCATTCATCGGTCCTCTAATAGTCCGAATGAAAGTAACCATCGTCATCGTCACTATCGTCAACGTCATCATCGAGAATCTAGTACAAGCAGTAAATCACTAACGAGTACAGATTTCGCACTTGACACCTACGCACTAGAACCTGTTTCTCCGACACCCATCGAAACGCAAAAACAAAAGCAATCATGCTCAGCAACAGCGACAACAAATTACAATGTGATTTTATCGCCCCGTGTTGATGATCATCATCATCAACAACAAAAACGATCACAGGATTATCATTCAAAAAAATCTTCATCAACTCGATCGCCGAGACCGATCTCATCTTCGTCGCAAATGCATCAGCAAGCACGTTCCTTATCAAACCATAATTATCGAGTACCTCAAGAACAGTCATTATTACCTCATACTTTACCTCCCTCGTATCCATCCATACATTTCAATTCATACGTTCAATCCTTTCACCATTATGCGCCACGACCATTTTTCAACTTTTCTCATCCACGCTCCTATCTCGATCCGCATTCAACTTCACATTCTTCCGAGCACCATCGTCGTTCATATTCAAGACACTCATCACAATATTCTCATGCGAAACGGCGGCAGTATTACAACAAATCTAATCATTCGTGTAAACCAACATTCTCTTCAAACACACCTCTTTCATTTGATGATTTTCCTTCTTTTTTAGCTTCTCGTGATCACCGTGCCTTCAATAGATAGCATCTGTTTCCGAAGTATGATTTTCGTTCCAGCCAATTCGTCACCTTGCTCAGATACTTTTTCGTGTATATCTACTCCAGTGACTTTTGTTTTCTTCTATGTTTGAAACTCAAGTTTCTCAGTTCGTTACATTATGGGGATTACAATCTTCATTTACCTTGTTTAGTATTATTCTTCACAGTTAATGAAGAACATACAGTATTTTTTCCAAGACAATAATGACAATATGGATGTTTCTGTACAGTTCTGATATGCTGTTCATTTGTTAAACTCATGTTATCAAAATATTTATTCTTTTTTTTTTCTCATGTGTGTATTACTGTTGGTTTTTTTAGGTTTCTTCGCATTTCCAAGCTTGCGTGCTAGTCTCTTCTTTCTTGTTTCTTCCTCAACTTTGCACACAACGATAGATTCTTTTTTCTTCGATTGTGCTCAACAGTGCTTTATGTGATTAGACTAGCCGTTTGCATTGTTATTATTTTCTCTGTGCCAAACGCGCGACGAATCTCAGTATATGTGCAGTAATGCGTGCTATGGACAATGATGACTACATGTGACAAGCAAGATCTTCCGAATCGAGTTGCATTTTTTATCTTCATGTAAAGTAATATGCTTTTTCTCTCTGTTTTACTTTTTCTTCCACTGTATACGTGTGCATTTGTATTCGAAATTGTTTAATTCACAGTGAAATTTGTTTTCTTCTCTCTCTCCCTCTTTTATGTGCGTGCGTGAGCCCGCATGTGTGTAACAAAGCCGTTTGGCTCGAAAAATAAAACTCACTTGGATAAATCAAAGCATCGTCTTGTCTATTATTAACTTTGAAAGAGAATTTCTATATTCCTGGAGTTCAGTATCGAGCGCGGGCGACATCTATGCGAGCGGTTATGTTTGAAAAAGAAAATAAATAAAAAACAAACGAAAATAGTTTATCGATTTTGAAACTAAACAAAATAAGCTCATGTCGAAATGGAGAAAAAGCAATTAGGAATATGAGAGAACAAAGAGGTTGTTTTGGCTCCAAAGAAAAGATGGCTAGATGAGTATGTCACATTGAAACGGGCATCTGAATGAAACACACCGAATTGTCTTACGTTGTTTTTTATCGTTGCAACTGCTAAAAGTCATGTCCTCCAACGACACTTCGACTGCGCCATCAACATCCACTGCAGTAAGTGACTTTGCTTTCTTCGTCTGAAGATGACATTTTCATAACGATTTATCCTTTTTTAGGAACGTCAACTTGCGACAGCAATTCGACCTCGAGGTAGCTTTTCTCAAACAATTTTTCCACTAAACGTACTCGGCATATCTTTCTAGTTTTTCACATTGTCTCACCAATAACGGGTTCGAAAGCAACGATTATCACTACAGATAATACAAATTCTCCTAATCATGCGCCAGTCTTGATTCAAGCAGCTCCACGAATTGTAAATCAAGCATACCTTTGTATCAGTGGATTCATTTGTTTTCTCCTCATAGAACCGTACTTCAACCAGTCATATACCCTACGCTCGTAAACGTCTTTATCCTGTGACACCAGAAGTTGATGCATAGTATTGTTGTTTCTATCGAATCACAGCATGCTTATCTGATTTCATTTCTAGTTTGTCAAACTTAGCTGCTTCTCGTCATCGGGAACGTCTCTCTAAAGGCTTACGATATTTCTCCAAAAAAGTCTGCAATAAAGTTCAAGCGAAAAAGGTCACATCGTACAACGAAGTAGCAACCGAACTAGTTGCTGAATACACTTTCGAAGAAAAACGTAATTTTCAATTGCCGGAAAACGAATTAGTAAGGCCATTCCTATATCAACTAGCCGTCATTTTGTTTTCAAAAGGCTTATGAACAAAAGAACATTCGTCGACGAGTATACGATGCTATTAATGTTCTATTAGCAATGAATATCATTGTTAAAGATAAGAAAGATATCCGTTGGGTTGGATTTCCCGTGAATGCTTTATTCGAATGTGAACTAATCGACGTAAGTTCATATCCGAGTCGTATGAAATAAATTGTTTGACCTTTTTTTTTAGAAAAAAATAATCGAAATGAAGGAAACTATTCGAAAAAAAGTTCGACTAGTTGAAGAAGCTCTACTAAAGGTAAACTCAAAGACGAGCTTTTCTTCTTGTATGAGTCATTCTTTGTTCAATAGCAAGTGGCATTGCGGAATTTATTGCGTCGTAATGAAGCTCGCCGAGTAATAGTACCGATGACTAATATGTGTTCATTGCCATTCTTTGCATTTGGAACGACAAACGGTGTTTCAGTCGAGAATTCCTTTTCGAATGATGGGTATGATGAATGAATGATTGGAAAAATATGATTTGTTTGTGTTCATAGTCGAGATACGATTGTGACATTTGATCGTCGGGTGAATATTGTTAACGAAACCGAATGTTTACATAAACTTGGCCTATCGAGAGAACTTCGCGGAGAAGCGAAATCACAATACGATATCGAAAAAGCGCGTGCTCTTCTGCCGGAAGCATTCCACAATTTTGCCACAGGTAGGTCTTCCTTTCCAATCCTCATATCTAACCGATCTATTCAATAGAAATGGCAGTAGTTGGTTCATTGAAAACACTATTTGAAAACCAGCTCTCACCCAGTACGAAGAATCCACCGTCCACGCCTGTTGTCTTCGTTCCGCCGTCATACTTCAAAGTCGATGGTAAGTTTTTCTGATGATAGAAGATAATCGTTCTCGGGTCTTTTCCTTCGTAGAAGAACCTCAAGAAATGGAGTATGAAGAAGAAGTGTATGAAGATGACGATGATGTTCTCTCCATGTCAAGCGATGATGATGAAGCTGCTCAAACCTGATTGTCGATATGTGAATTCAATTGCTTTTTTTCTCATAAGATACTTGAATTTATTAATGAAAAAGAAAAACTAAATTAAAGCAAACAACACAAACACGCGTTGATATGTGAATAGGAGTTTGTCTTGTGTATTTTTAATCTATTGAGTTCTTTTGCTGGTGTTATTGTATTAATAAATTAATGATTTCATGTCAATGATAAATAAGACAAAAATCCAGAGTAAAATTAAACTAGTCGTTGGTGATGAGCATGAAGATGTTTCATTCAGCGCTGATACAGTCGATGATTGACCCTGAATAACGCACCGTTCTGAAAAGAGAAACTTTCAAGACGACAAAAAATGTTCGATCTTCACCCTACCGAACTCTTCTAATAATATCGGAATGTAATGCTCCCAGAATGCGCAATAGTCCGCTCGATGCGCAACACCAGTGGATTTATTGACTACGTCAAGTATAATGTGTTCACGCTCGGGATACGTATAAAGTGGCCAATCGCTCCCAGTCACTGAGCTTACTAATCCATTTGGATTTCTAAATGGAAAATTGCCTGAATGCTCTTGGAAGTATCTTTTCATACCCGTATTTAGCAAAGTTTGCCCAATAGCCCATGATTCTTTCGGATAGTTCGATTTCTTCTTCTGTATACAATTTACTATCAGTTATATTGAAAGGTTCACCAAAGACAAACATAATTTCATCACTAGCACAAAACAAGGAGAACGGTCTGGAGAAATCTGACGGAAATGTGTTGATCATCTTACGCGTGCATTACGCCTGTCCATGCATGCCAATCACTAACCGACGATCGAGCTATGAAGTGATAAAAATAAACACGCAAATTTTGATTGGCATATGCATTGGCAACAGCGATGGTTGGACATGTGAAATACGCATCGCCAACCGCATGACTTAAGATAACTGCATTTCGTATATTATCTGACCAACCACTCCAATCAGTATATTTTTGAATTAATGATTGGAGAATCACACGGGGTGTTTTGAATGGATATGATGGAATATAATTATAGTATAATTCCAGGTGTTTGAGAAATGTCGCGTAGGTTACATCGGGTAGAGCATTGCCTGGTGTTTTATCGTTACCTTGAGCGTAAACCAGAAAATACGAACCTTCGTCACGATTTGCTCCTAGTAACAGTGGACATTTCTGAAATAGAAAGACAACACTTGCATTCGATAGATATGAATGAAGAAGAAGAAAAAAGATCAACCTTAAAATTGCCGGTTTTCAACATTGTGATCGGATTATCTGGTAGAAACGTTCCATCAATGACAGGCATCAATAGGAAGAACATTGGACCACCATCGACAATGGTATATTCGGCATTGGTTATGTAAGCATAGTGCTCTTCATCAAATATCGGATAATTAGCAGCGCATTCGAACATGATTTCAGTGTTAACAACATCGACACCTCGTTTGCAAACTTCAGGAATTAATTCTCGTTCGTGCTGAAATTCCTCTTTTAACAAACGTTTCGTTACTAACGAGTAAAATTCAAAGAGATACTTTTTTGAACGTCGCCGTGCTTCTTCCGCTGTTATAAATGCCCAACTGCACGTCGGTCCACCACTTTGAAGAATCGCACTAGCAAATAATGATCGACTACGTGGAGATAACAGATGAAAGCCAACAGCCACAGCACCTGCTGATTCACCGAATAAAGTTATTCGTTGACTATCACCACCGAAATAGCCGATATTGTGTTGAATCCATTCGAGAGCGAGGACTTGATCGTATAATCCTTGATTACCTATTATTTCGAGAAAAAAAAACATAAATCACAATCTGCTGAAATTTTCCAGTGCAAAATCTTCTCACCTGGTGCATCAGCTCGATCAAGAAACAAAAATCCTAAACTTTGTAATCGATACTGCATTGAAACTACGATTACATCGTTTTTAACAGCTAAAATGCGCCCATCATAAACATCTAATGTACTCGAACCAGTAACAAATGCTCCACCATAGATCCAAACTAGAACTGCCATTGGTCTAACAGGCGTACTTGTAACTGGTACCCAGATATTCAAATACAGACAATCTTCGCTGCAGTTTGTATTCGGTGACCACATTTTTTCGGCTTCGAGATTGTAAATGATCTGTTCGGTTTGCCAACATGTCGCTGGCAGATGTGTCGCATCGAGAATTCCCGGCCAGGGATCAACACGCTCCGGTGCTTTGAAACGGCGGGAGCCGACAGGTGGTTTAGCAAATGGAATACCAAGCCACGAACGAACATGATACAGATGTGATGAATTTGTTAGACGGAAGTAAGAATCAAAACCACGTACACGGCCAGTATTTGTTGAAAGAATAAGCGAATCTTTGGACGTATAATAGGATAAGGATAAATTACAAATGTACATTGTTAAAATGAGTAAAATTTGCAGAAACATCATGAACAATCTTAATGAGCATACCGTCAGTAGACATTTGTCGTTGTCTTGTTCGGAAACGAATCATTGAACGACAAGTGCATCGACGGTTGAATTTACTTTCATATAAATTATAAGCGTCGAGAGATTCTAATAGGAAATTTGGTTTGAATGGAATGATACAGTTAAATACTAATGGCGTTGCTCGAAGATATTCGTCTAAGTTTTGTCTCAATATCCAAGTACAACCACATTTGTTATACATTGATAGTGATATTTCTGGATCCACATTGATGATGTTTAAAATCTATGTAAATGCCAGATGAACAACAAACATAGACGAAAGAAAGGAAGGAGAACACTAGTGGTTTTCTTTTTCTACGATGATAATCATGAAAACTTGTTGATGATCTTAATCATTGTTGGCACTTTATCCCTGGAAAGAGATAAGGAGATGGAGGGAAAAGAAAGAATTTCTTTACTTCTTAATACGTCTAAGTAAATGTGAAATTGACTAATTTCTCTCATGCAATTATTTTATTCACTTAAATCTGAACTAACACAAAGAAACATATTCATCCACTGTTTCAAAGGACTTGTTCGACGAGAAATTATTTAAATAACTATGAATGTTTAATCTACTAATAGAAAGTGCTTGAAATGAGAGAATGACAATCTCTTCACACGAACGGTAACAGTCCTAGAGACGAGAGAAAAATGAGTCGACAACCGAGACAGAGAGAGTAAAATTGAATCAAAATAACTCGTTACGCAGCCAGAAGAGAGCAAATCTATTCTTTATCTTTTCTTTCTTCAAACATTTCTACTTATGATCAATTATGCAGTTCGATATTGAACATTTACAGAGATGATGAAATCTCGAGAACAAACAGTTTGTGATTTCGAATAAACGAAGAAGAAGAAAGAGTCGAATCATTCGGTTAACAACATCATCCGTTCGTCTTCTCACTATTGATAATTTAGTTTGCTTTTGTCTTGACTAACAGTCATGTACGTTCTCTTGTCACTGCTGGTGAATGCGATGATGATATTTCCTTTTTTTTCGCAGAAGAAACATTCTTTTTCTCTCATCCGTCGTCTATTTTTCTACTTGATTGCATTTCTCTTCGTTTCTCAGATGATTTTTTTTAGTGCGCTCGTGTTCATTTGCTCTAGTCAACTCGTCGTTTCAATCGGTCTTTCTTCACTTGTTGCTGATTGTCACATAGAAAGAAAAACAAGATCGAATTGCTTCGACTGAACATGATTAACGAAAAGAAAAGTACAAGTAATAGTCAACTTCTTGTTATTCTACGCCCGAGAGTCCAAATGAAAGAATTTCCTGTTAATTGATAGTCTTCTCAAAAGAGAAACCTAAGGGAGCGAGGTGTTCGTGATCAGGATTGCTTGAAGCATTCTAATAAACGTCATTGCCTAACACACATCCGGCATGAATATGTTTCAATATGTAAATGTTATCAAATCGAAAGAAATCCAATGACGTCGCTAATAAACGAACTTATATCCAAAAATACCTCGATTTACACCAGGGAAATTCTTCGTATATGATAATTCAATATTGATACCTTTCCATTGAGAGATGACAATGAAGAAGAATTCATTTACACGAAGAATTTGATCAGCAACCGAATATGATTCGATCTACTCGATGTGAATTACATGCAAGTCGATTGACAGAAAGATTCTCACTGGTAAAATGAATCTTTTCGTATACAGATGGTCATGAACGATATAGTTAGACGAATCTTTTCTTTTTCTTTTATTATAAGCTAGCGTGACAGTAAATTAGAGAAATTCGCTTAGAGCAATCTTTTTCTTTTATCTTCTATCAATATAGAGAAAAAGCTCAAAACCGATTTGACTCTAGAAAATCAAAGTCATTTCTTTTTTTTTAATTAAAAAAAGATATTGTAACAAAAGAAAGTTCTGTCAATATTGATCAAAAAAGAAACATTCTCCTCAATTTCACATCATCGACAGCGACAAATTATTGCGTGTAGAAACTTCACGAACTATCGTCTGACGATAAATCTATATCGGTATGCCTCGACATTCATCGCCGCCATTAGTCTTCGAAACACAAGTCTCATTTGACTAATGTCTTCAAAATAAACCATTTACATCGATAGCGATTGTCATACAAATGATCCATCGGTCGATGGTTGTTTTTCAACAAGCTTGTTGATTACGCTTCGCTGGTACTGAGAATTGGTTTGAAAATGTAACGAACTGGAGCAGGCGAGAACTTTCTGTAGATCAAAGAGAATTATTTGATTGTTAATGAGATCATTAAAAGTATTATAAGTACGATCGTGTTTGATGATTAGAAGCGAAAAAAAAGGGATTTAATTCTATATTTTAACTGGAAATCGTCATTCAAGCGGAGAAAATAAGCTGATCATTGTAATCGAACGATTAGAAATTCATTACCTATTCAGCTCTGCTCGTTATTATTCAAATATTTTCATGAAAACTGTCAAAATACTTCACTTGCTTATTCCGACATCGATGAATTCCTAAATTAGACCTAATCTCAAGCATCCGATGGTGAATAGAACGTTTCTACCTAAGATTTTCCCAACGGAATAACAGTTTGTCATTACAATGTTGGAGAAAAAGGTGACGTTGATGAATTTCAACTCGACTGATCGTAGTCAGCAGAACGAAAAACGTCGTTTTCTCTTGACTAATGTCATTAGACATCAATGTCAAACATGTCTATGTATAAATATATGATTAAAAATCAAAGAAACTGTTTTATTACATTGATGGAACAACGGAAAGACGAAGCGCCGCTCGAAACGAGTCTGTTTCGTGCCATACAAAAAAATAAAGTTCTTCAAAGTCAATCCATCCGACAGCAACACGACGAAGAATTTCAATTATCGAAATATTTGAAAGATCATCATACCGAGGCGAAATTTCAGCGCGAATTGTTATATTCATGGAAAAATGAAACATATCTGCGTGATTTGAAGAAGAAACTACGTATTAGTCCAACGAAGAACGATGCAGCTTATGAATATCAATTGAAAACTTTGAACCATTTGATATCTGGTCGACCAGGTTTGATCATTCCACCAAGTGAAGAACAACGTCGGTTAGAAATCAGAAAAAAATACGAAGAATTTCTTCGACAAAACCCTCTTTCGACTTTGATACGGAAACCAGTAGAAACCGTTTCAATTGATCAAAGTGCCCAGGAACTCGCGCGGAGTATTGAAGAGACATGGAAGAACATCCACAAGCAGTCAGCAATTTGGTCGAAACAGAAACAAAGTTCCGGCTTGACCACACTTCGTCGATCATTAACGCTGAACGATATACGAAGAAAGTCAACGCGACCTTCCGATCAAAGAAAATCATCTCTGAGTGAAAACATTCGATTCCGAACGAATCATTTTGAATTATGTGAAAGCATCGAACCACCTCCAGTTACATTGGAACTTGTCGACCGAGTTACTCAATGTGATCTGTTCACGATGAGAAGTATACGCCGACCCAGACAAAGTTCAGCGGAGTTGAATTCTTTATACGAAACACGAAAACATATTTATCAAATGAACAAACGCATTTTCAATCATCAAAATTATCAAAAAGCAAGTTTCGAGCATTCGAAGAACGCCAAAGTCAAATAAGATTTAGAACCCGAGCTTTCATTTTTTCTTATTCACGTGCCATCAACAAATAAATGTTCATTGCCTAGAGAGCACATGAATTAAATACGATGTAAATCTGTTGCTGAATTCTTCTTTGACAAGCTAAAGAGTCCAGTGATTTATTCCACGAGAATGCCATAGATTGAGTTATTAGTTGGGACACACATTTATTATCAAAAAGGGAAAATGCATTTAGATAATAAAACTTCAAAAGTGAGTTATTTCGGAATCACTGCTTGAGTCCGACATACCATCGATCAAACCTCCTTCCGACGGTTTTGCTCTGAAAGGAGAAAATCTCAACATGAAATTATCTTTGTTTTTCAAATTCACCTCAATTGTTGTAACTCAAACTGTATTTCTTTCGCTCGTTTATCGTCAATTGAATAAAAGTACAGACATATCGTGGATATTACCATAATTCCCCCTGGAACAGCTCCCATCAGCATTCTCAACGTCAACGAGACCGATTCGGGTTGATCGCAACATTTCGCATTGAAACCACTTGCACTACAAGATTTCAATGTGTTTATCCTCAACTCAATTGAAATAACTTACCCAAGTGCTAATTGAACCACTCCGGCATATAAAGCTTGGACTAATTTCGCACCGAGAAAGAAGAAAGTATAGAATATTTCTACCGGCCTTCGACCTGTCTCAAGCATAAAGGCATCGATACACTCTGGTAACATTGCCCTAAATGGAATTCATATCGAACTACTTTCAACACAGAACAAATGAACACAAACCAGGGCATCACATAACCACAAGCGACCGTATTTGCACCTAAAATTGCAGCAGCAAACAAAAGCTCTATTGGAGATTCTTTAATCAATATGATGATAATTGTTGGCAATAGACACTATTTCCAAAAGAAAATATTGACATTCAATTCCATTTCGACAATTCCTACCAAATTTCCAATGAAAAAACTCATCTTCTTTCCAATTTTGCGCATTATGATCGACCAGACAAACAGCAGAATCATTGTTGATATCTATTTCAATGGAAAAATACTAACATGAAATATTCACGCCAGACTTACAATTAACGCTCCAGCGAGAAACGGAAATATCGTCCGATTTCCTTTGACATGATTTAAATACAATTCCAAAACACTTTGAATCGACTATAGAGAAGCCAACTAAGGAAAATCTTTTTCAGACAAAGCATGCTGATCTTTTCCTATACCTGTGTGGCCAGAATCGATGCAACTGTTGCAGCTGTTAAGATCAGAAATGGTTTGTATTGAAGAATCATTTTAAATCCATGGAAAAAACTCGTTTCACTCGTTGGAATCACATCTAAAACGAATCAAAACCTATTCCTTTCTGCGAAAACTATTTCTTTCAACTTACCAACGACTTCACGAACACCGAAGAATAAGATTATCGCTGTCACAATACAAAAGAATGCGACAATACCGGCAGATGTCATGTAAGCATTTGCCTATATTTTGTATAAACGAAAAAGGGGAGATTGGTATGATTGATGTCTTACCACATTTGCAGAACCCGTTGTTGTTGCTGTTGTTGAATTTTCTATGAATTCAGCTATACTGTCGTTTAGTTGGTCGATCAAAGTCGAGTTTTCACAATGTGAACATAACTCTTTAGGTACTTTGAAAAGAGTCATGATACCCGAATGGAAAACAATCGAAAGTAAAAGTCCACCTGCTTCTAATAGTGTTCCTAATCATTCGGGAAAGGGAAAAGAAGATTTAAATCGTCCGAAATGCAGTTGTTCTTACGATATTTCGTTAATTGATCTCGTTCATTCTGATCCAATGTTAAATAAACAGTCAATGCAGTGTGCGGAATACGTGATGCCTAAAGAAGTTTTTTTTTATTTGAATGAATATCAAACGTACGTCGATGTCTTTAACTTACGGTCATAAATGTCCACATTAACGAATGCATTGCAAGATAATAAGCAAATTTACCACCTTCGGAAAAGTTCGGTAGACACCAAACACCGAAATAACAAGCGGCAACAAGCGGAGCGGAAAAGAAGATCCTAAAACAATCACGAATATCAAAGATAAATTCCTCACAGTTTAGAGGCGTGTTAACCATGGTCGCATTTTCCCCCATCGAAATGAAAATCGACTAAAAAGATAACCACCGATCGGATCAGTTAAACCATCAATAACTCGACTAGTAAATAAAATGATCGCATTGTAATTTGGTGATACCTGAAACAATTCGTTGTGTCAAGGAGATATCAATCCAAAATTCAACAAACTTTCGCCACATCCAATAGAAAATAATTGATATAAAAAGCCATGATTGACAATTGCATAGAATATGGTAATCCAACAGAGGCGTAGGCTAACTTTGACCAAATCGAAAGATTGACAAATGAACCCGATTCAGTACTTTCGTCTGATAATTCATTATTATCCTCATTTCGATCAATATGACCATTTTGATCAGTTATTGTATAAGGCGGTAGTGACGAATCGGAAAGTCTTCTCTATTCAAAAGTTTTTATTTAGAAATGTTTATTCAATGATGATTCATTATTCGAGAAGGATATGTTTCATCTGCTCTTTGAAGTCTTTGTCAAGATTTCTTCGATGAAGTTCTAATGTGCTTGGAAAACTTCATATAACCGAATAAGCGATTAAGACGGAAACTCTCAGACCGATTTGCCGTAGGGATCTTATGTTATTTATGCCAACTTTCATATAGAAAAAGAACTGACAAAAGTTCGCAAAGTACGGTTGACTGTTAGTCGGTTTGATTCCGCTCTGGAAACTTTCGTCAGATGATTGAAATGCAAGGAGTGGTGAGAAAACTATTTCCTTCTAAGAAAAGAACCCGTCGCTAAATGGTTAATAAAGAGATTCTTACCATTCGTGACATAACTCGTTTTTTGCTTCGTTTTTTAAATGTTTACCATTGAATAACGCAACGCAATTCTCTCCTTTAATTTCAACTTTGTGTTTTCGTTATCTTTTTTCAAACAAAACTCTTTTTTCCACTTCTCGTGCTTCGCATGGGGTGATATCACAATCAGTATATCATTTTTGAAAGAACTTGTCGAAATGAGAAAATAAGTTCGCCGATACCTTCCATTATCACGAATATCGCATGGAAGATAACCCTGAAAGGATTGTTTATGCCTCGCAAATGCACCGAGGATGGTGAAATCGAAAATTCGTGAGTTTTCCAAGAGAGTTCGACTCGACATACTCTTTTCATTGTGTTTCTGCGTTCGATTTCTTTAATCTTCTTTATTGGAATTAAATTTTAATGCAAAGACGCAAAATATGTAAATAAGATGTCTAAGCGACTCCTGTCTGAGTGCAACATTCTCTTCTCGTTTAATATTGACTGTCTTAATTCATTCGAAGTTTGAAAAGAAAGGATGCGTGGATATTCGTGCCGACCCATTTCTTTGCACGAGATCCCAATTGATTTGCATGCTCCTCACTGTTCACACCTTTTTCGAGATATTTTGCTGTTGTCAAATTGACTTTCGCTGCAGCTTGAACTATATCTTGAATCGAGTGGTCGAATGAAACGCCACATAGTTTCTGATTGGTAGTTGCATCGACGAAACCTGCTTGCGAACCAGCTCGGTACATATTCGGGTGCATAGCGGTGATAAAAACCCAGCTATCATCGGTTTTCTTCAGGATCCGAAATATCGTTTGGAAAAATTGATCAAGTGAAGCAATGTGTTCGATGACAAGAGTACTGATAATTGCATCGACTGATGATTCATTAATGAAAAGTTCATCATTTCCATTCAAATCATGAATTATCCAAGAAATTGACGAAGCACGAGTTTTATCGAGTTGTTTGACACGTTGTTGAGCTTTTGCCATCATTGATGTCGAGACGTCAACAGCAATCTATGGAAAATGACAAGGACAACAACCAATTATAATTTTTCGTTCAGATAACAAAGATATGCAAATATGAAACGATCGATCAGTCCAAATCAGATTGTCTCGTACTACATCGAACTGTTCAATGATTGTTTTCGGTTAATCACGAGATAGTAAAAATCATTCGACCTACTGAGAAATACTCTCTATGCATTTCCAGTCTGGTTCAAGGCACAAGTACTTCAATATTAGTTATTCATTAAAAAAAGTTCGGCTATACACTAAGGCAATGTCAAAAAACAACAGCTGTTAATCGCAGAGCATTACTCAATGAACCAATATCTCGCTTAATACTCGTGTTTCCGGGACGAGCGTGCAAAACAACTCCATATGTCAAATCACGCATATAAATGCTAAATGTATCTTTTCCTATTCAAAATGTACAAAGTTATGAACATTATTACTCTCTCTCTCTCTCTCTCTCTCTTTCATGTTTCATAAGTCTTTAGATTGAAATTCTGATGTATCTTTTGTAAGTTTACCCTGTTAGGTCATTAAATGTCGGAAAAATTCAATAGCTTCATTACTATCTCAAAGTTCACATGATAAATCAAAGTATTATAACGAAAATAAACTGCTTTAATTGCAATTAAATCTTTTTTCTTACCACAAGCCATTCTGAGCTTAAGACTTTGATGGTATTTCGTCCTGTTCCACACCCTAATTCACAGCATAATTTGTTTTGATTTAGATTAAGTAGAGGCTGAGCTATTTCTTCGAAGGCATCATTGTCGAGAAGTTGAAGAATATTACCATCCGAATCGTATGTGCTCGACCAAGCATCATAACATTCGACAGTTGATGGCATTTCTTTCGGCTGTGAACTGACGCCATTATCTCCTGTTCGCCTCTTCATTCTGGAGGCGTGAGAAAATCGAAATCTGTAATTTTATTCGTCATAACGACAAGAACACAAAAAAAGAATCACATTCTATTCGAAATCCGAATGTTTCTTTCGCACTGAATTTGAGAATATAAATATCAGACAGTCTAAGACATAGCGCAAGAACAAGCAGCAGTAAATGACTATTATTCATAGTTTGATAGAGATATAATTTCCGTAACAAAAATCGTGATAAACAATGCATGAATGAATATTCATACTCGGATATTCGCATAATAAATTCAAAAAAATGTCGCACCCATGCTTTCAGGAATTTGAAGTAACAGTTCGGACTTGAATTTAGTATAATTGTCATTTTTTATTGATCATTCCAAATGAATAATTCATTGTTAATTTATGACTTTTACAAGTGAATTGCTTTTTTTCGACGTAGTTAAATGCCCAGAAGCAATCTAATTGACATTTGATATTCTTCTACTGAGTGTCTGTTCTAAACGACCTTTCGCGTCTTGCAGATGATGAAAAAGAACTTACACTTATTCCACCGGACTGTGTAATGTCAAGAGTGCAGAGATTGTTGTCGTGATGGCAAAGAATCCAATGTTGAACGAAACAGACTTTTTAACAAGATTGATCGCGTCTTCAAGGGATCAATGTCATTAGAAAGTCTTGTTTTCGGTTCAATGTCAACATGATATGATTTACGAAAAAAGTACTTCCGATTAGTACTTGTCGTGACTGTTTCTTTTCATTATGTATGAAGTTTAAGTGGAAATACCGTTGAAATCTCGCTGCGGCATTTCTCAGGCAACTTTGAAATAAAATTTTAATTATAATTATATTCAGAAGGGTATTCAATTATGCAATGAAACGACGCTTTGCATTAAGGTTCCATCAGATTAGTGGCAAATATGAAAGTAAATATTGCGAGAGTTTCTCGGTAGAAATCCCGACTTTGCGCGTTTTTTCATCTCCAATTAAGTTCAATAATTTGGATTTGTACTTATTACTTCAATTAAATGCTCGATCGATGAGTTCTGCAATGTTCATTAGCTGAAATGACGCAAACTCTTTAATCATGAGAATTTTTCTCGCAGCGAGTTCGTTTCCGTCAGAAGATATCCGAGGGTGTGAGTCATTTTGCGTATGTTCATCAATACTAATAGCAAAAGAAATAGCGTAAATTAGAATTGAGAAAGGGATAGATAGTCTCGCTTGTAAAAAGCATGGATTGTCAATAAAAATATTGTTACAATGGTGTAATATATCAAGTTGTTAATTTTTCTTTTGCCAACGAGATGCGGAAAACTCATTTTATTCTTTTTTCCTCTCCTTCTTCGAGATCTCATATTACACTTCGCACTCAGTTTTTTTTCTGTTGAGGAAAAATCGAGCCACACTTTTCCTCCGAGAGCGAAGAAGTCTTTAGCAGGAAAAGCCGATTTCATCTGTCGAGAATAGTTAACTATAATCAAATGCTTCGTCAGCAATGTCAACTGAGAGTTATTCAAAGCAAGAAATACAAAATTTCATCGAGTGTGAACCTATTAGAAAGATTTACCTTCGAACAAGCGGATAACTGGCTTGTTTTCTAATTTATAGAGGGAAATTATATGACATTGTTGTTTCACCCACACTTTTTGACACTTTACAGATTTTATTATGAGTGTTTCGATGAGGTTTCTACCACCGTTATACAAAAGTGTCTCCTAACAACGCCAGAATTTCAGCGTTTGTAGAACTCATTCAGGCGACCATTTTCGCCGATTTACATTTCTCAAAATATCACAGCATCCTTCCTTTCAAAAGCTCAACTTTTCACACTTTTCGAAACTCCTTTCTTAGCTCTTGTTTTCCATATACTTTTCTACTTAAAGTTCTCTAAATCGGGTGGTTTTTTACACTATCTCTACCTATGTCGCTTCAGACTCTATAACTTTTCAAGAAAGAGCGAAAGCTCATAAGTCTGTATAAGTACCCCTTGTAAATTGCTTTACGTATTTGCTAATGAAAATCCAGCTTTTTAAATTCCCTGAACAAGAGACATGTAAGATAAATGATAGAGGAGAACTTGCTGTGCAAATTGATATACTTGGTTTCTCGGGGACATAGAGAAAGTTAGTTAAATTTTGACGCATTTTGTTTCTATCTGACTGCCTTATTACTTGTAAAACTAGAAGACTCTCCAAGATGAAGTACTAGGCTATGTTTGTCTACTGTAACTAATGAGTTCGTAGCTTAAAAAATAGGTTACATGTCGAGCTGATGATGGTGAGATGATGTCACTTTTACAGAGTATATGTAAAGTAAGATTCTTTTCTTAATTTTTGCTTTTTGTATATAATTCTTTGAATTTCGAAAAATTCAAATGTTTGACACCGAAAATATCTTTTATGAACAGTAGATATGCACGCCCACTTTGATATTGAAATAAATAATTGATTATGTGGCAGTTTCCATATATTAAGTTTCTGTCTCATACCTCCACAATTTACACCAAACGTCGAACCACATTCCAAATGTTTGTTTAAAATAGTGAAGTGTATTTGACGTAAGGAATTGGTCTATGCTAAATACGATATTCTCATGGCCGTGGTGGTTTTAACAAACACCTTTGGAGCTAAATCGGATAGAAGAAGACTGATCAAGAAGAAAAAGACAATGGCGATAATAGATCTCATTGTGCTTAGTGAAGGGTCATCTCAAAGTAATACAAACGTACTAATTGATTCCATTCAGCAGTAAAGACATTAAAGACAACAAGTTTTCGAGTTACTATACTGATTTTACGAACGCTAAAGATGGTCAAATAAAAACAAAATGCGTCAAAGTTCAGCTAAGTTTCTATGTTTACCATTACAAGATTTCTTTATGTACCCGAGAAACCAAGTATATCAATTTGCACAACAAGTTCTCCTCTATCATTTATCTTACATGTCTCTTGTTCAGGGAATTTAAAAAGCTGGATTTTCATTAGCAAATACGTAAAGCAATTTACAAGGGGTACTTATATAGACTTATGAGCTTTCGCTATTTCTTGAAAAGTTATAGAGTCTGAAGCGACATAGGTAGAGATAGTGTAAAAAACCACCCGATTTAGAGAACTTTAAGTAGAAAAGTATATGGAAAACAAGAGCTAAGAAAGGAGTTTCGAAAAGTGTGAAAAGTTGAGCTTTTGAAAGGAAGGATGCTGTGATATTTTGAGAAATGTAAATCGGCGAAAATGGTCGCCTGAATGAGTTCTACAAACGCTGAAATTCTGGCGTTGTTAGGAGACACTTTCGTATAACGGTGGCAGAAACCGTATTAAAACATCCTATATTCTTTTAGTATGTTCGACGAGAAACTTTCAGAATTCGTCGTGAATATCACGTCGCATGACAATAATCCGTACCAACTGTGGTTTTTTATCAACGATTCATTGATTATTCTCGGCAATATTATCGCAATATTTGTGGCATTTTTGTTTGTTATAACGATTATCCGTTTGGATCATCCAACATATTCAATTTCAAATTTAATAGCATGTAATACAAGCTTGGCAATAGGATTAACGAGTTCAATTATGTTAATTAACGCGTGTTATGCATTAAAAAGTGATTTTCGAGGTTATGGTCATTACGATTCATTTTGTGTTCTTCGTGGAACACTTTTGAATATCTGTTACATCTACATGTACATGTCGTTATGTTTGAAAGCATTTAATCGTCTGCGCTGTATTATCTACAATGCTAATCCGATCATAAAGTCTTACGGATGTTTGTTTGTGCTTCTTCTATTAAAACTATTAGTTGCAATTCTCGTCTCATTGTTTCTCGTTTTGACAGATGGGATCGATTATGATTGGAATTCATATTTGTGTCTAGTGACAGACGCTAAAACATATCATTTCATCTTTACATGTAAGTTGTTTTTTCATAGATCGTGAAACTCTTTCTGTACTTCCGCATCATTTAAAGTCTCAAGTATAGTCAGTGTGTCAGTATTCGATGTGACTCCTTAACGAGAGAGACAAACTTGTGTACAAAAGTTTCCATGTGTGATCGTACTCTATGACACTAAGAAATCTTGTTTTTCTTTTAATTTAGTGAGCGTTTATTACATTTCAATTTTATTTATTACAAGTGTTTATCTTTATATTCTTTATTATGTTTTACATCTACCATTATTAGAGCGATATCGTCGAAAACGACAGTTGGCTGTTCTCCGACGAATTTTGATTTTGTTAATCATGCTCATTATACCGGGTGTTGTCACGTTCTTCATCACTATCTGGTGGATGATATTCGGTACGATTCCGTTGTATTCACTTCGAATTCGTACTCTATTTGACGCAATTGGTTACACCGGTTCGATTATCACTATCTTTATCTCCCACACAAAACTTCGTCAGCAATATTATACGAAAAAGAAAATCAATATCAATCAAATTGTGCTGAAAAAGTTTCCTTTTGACAAATGTGAATTAATCGTGACACAAACACCGCCACCTTCACCGAATACACGTGGATATCTCTGAATTCGTCTTCGCTTTGTTTCCCTTCGAATCACCCTTGCACTTGTTTTGTTGTTATAAATTACCAAATTGACCTTGATGTTCGATTTCTCCCTCTCTCTCATTAGACTGTTTTAACTTTCAACGAAGTAATATGTAAATATATTTTCCTCAGCCTATCAATCAAATACTTGAAATATATATGCATAGCGTATTTGATAAGATCCGTTTCTCGTAGTTCGATCAAACATGAGTAGACTGCTTCACAACTTGATAATTAGATCCGTGAAGACTTGTCACACTAACCAAGGATAGATAAACAAGCTTCTGCGTGGGCCTCTATCATATCATCTCGTTTGTTCATTGGTATTGAAGGTAAAATCTATCGCCGTGATTATTTTTCTATCATTGAGAAGTTCGGCAAGATTTTCATCATCGAAGAAGAAGCAAACGCTTTCCTTAGATGGCCAACGGTCGGCTTTGTTCATGGACTAGCATTCTTGTTGATTAGCAAAACAACGACAGAGACGTAAGGACATTTTTCTTTGATGTCTATACTTATCAAGATAATGTTCGTTGATAGCCTGCAGATATTTGATTGATAAATAATATAGAAAAAACATCAAAAAATAAGGTGATAACATGAATATTATTCGAGTCCAACGAAGAAAAACGAAACAACATATTTTCTACCGAGATCAAGAGTGATTTTTTCCAACAGATGATGGTTTGTACTGATATGAAATTAAATGTAGCAAAAAAAAAAACAATTTTCTCCGTTTTTATCTTTATTGGTGTGTTCTGTTCTTGTCTTCGAGAGCAATGTTGATATTTTGGTAGGCATGTATATAGATAAACGAGTGTTTGTACGTCTTTGCATCCTTGATCGTCCGCTCAGACACGATCCAGTCGTTTCTTTTTTTTTCTTTTGCATATCAACATGAGAAGTAACAACTCCCTATCTCCTGCTTCGTTCTCTTTGTCGCTTTCCTTGACAATTGTTGTAAGGGCATGGTCTATCAACACCCTCAAGTTCTCCTTTTTTACTTCCACAGAAAATGATAGTTAGACTAGACAGACAGACACACGCTTTTCATTTCCTTGTCGAGATGTACTCTTTAGCTGGAAGGGTTTTTCGTTCCGTAGCGTCGTTTGTTTTCATTCGGCGAGATTGATTTATGTGTTTGAATACATTTCGATTGTTTTAACAGGAGAAAAAAGAAAACAGACTACTCTGTTGAATGTTGAAATGAAGGTGAGACATGTGCTTTTTCTCGTCGAGAGATTTTCTTTGATTCTTTGCTTTTTTATGAAATAAATGCTATTTTGTTTCGTTTTAAATAGAAACAAATTCAATTAAACAAGAGAAAACAAGATTTTAGAAGAAAAACAAACATATAGTTTGCCAAATGGTCTGTTGATATTCTTCCTGGATATGTATTTTCGGCCTGAATGAAATGTCTGCATAAATAATCAAGAATTTAATTGAAATATTTCTATAGCTTCAATATTAAAATCAGTTTTTCTTCTCTCATTCCCTTTTTTCGACTTACTTCTTCTCTCGACAGTATTTGTTTATTCTCCTTTTGACAAATACACACATCTCTTCTATTCTAGAGGTTTATTATCAATACCTGTAATGCTTGTCGTCGTCAGAACTGTCGATGTTTTATCATGTCATTCGACAGCATATTATTCATAATCTTCATTTAACGAATAAATCTCTTTTACAATTAATGTCGCGGTATCATTATTCAAGACATGCTCCGTCTAGTGCAAGATCAGAATCGTTAGGACCTCGACAATCATCGAATGGCCATTTGTCGAAATCAGTTAATTCGATAGCGACGACGAGCAATAATCATATGCATTCTCCTCCCATGACTCCGAAATCATCTTACATTCCGCTTGTTCGAAATAGTCGATCGACGACAACTGACAAGCGGGATTTTGTTCAGATACCAGTTAAACGAGAGGATGGTACTACGATAACACATAATGGAATTCGTTCGATACCAATCAATTTTATTAATGAAACGACACCTTTACCATCACATACGATCAATAGTATTAACAGTAATAATCATATTCGAGATACCGATTCACCACCGCGTTATGCTAGTGAGTATTTCGAGAAGATCATATAAGCAATTCTTGTTTAATCTAAAGGTCTACTTCGACCAAGTTCAAAATACTTTCAACATCATCTGAACAATAATAACACAGCTACCGCGAAAGATGAAAGCGAAGAGCCAAATTCTCAACAAATACCAATAACAATAAACGATAATCTACCTCGTCTACAGCCTACTTCGCGTCGTTTGAGTCTTACGGTACCAGTAATGACACCAACGGCACCGACATCACCACCTGACGACGATCAAAGTAAACAAAATTCTGTTAATTCACCGGTTCGTTCAATTCCCATTCGTCTTTCACAACCATTGAATGTTGCTTCAATACCAACGAATAGCGCTCGCATATCCAGTGCTATTCTCCGTTCATCACCTCCGACGAATCCACTCGTTAATCATCTACAACGTCAAAAGACTGATCTAGTTAATAGTACAATCTCATCCGATTTTACCAGTATGCCTGTGAATACCTCTCCTATTCGTCGAGCGGAACTCATGGCTCGAGAAGCTATCCAAGGTATCACTCGATTCCAACAGCAACAGCAACAAGCGCCACTGCCAACTCCACCCCAACCCTTGTTACAACAACGCAAGCATTCAATATCAGATGGAGCGAGTGATACATCTATTCGTTCACCTTTACTATCTCGTCGTGTAATTGTGAATTTGAAAAATAATCAATCAGTATCACTCGATAGTCGAATATCATCTGCTACGTCTTTGCCAACAAAACCATCGAGTATGGCAGCTACTTCTCGTTCAAATCAACGAAACAATCTCTACCATATCCCTGTTTTACATGAAATTCAAATTCCTCCACAACCAGCCACAGTCGCGACGGAGAGTCTTCTGAACTTCCCACGTTCTTCTGCGTCCAATCATCGAAATCCTAATAATTATAAAAATGAATTTCGGATGGAAATTCCCGTTACTGTTGTCGCAAATAATGATCAGGAGAATTTCACTCAGAACACAATCACTTCAACAGATGGAATTCTTGACTATGATCTTCCTATACCCACCGTTCCTGTTCTACGTATTCCATCGGCCAGTTCCAATCAAGCGCTAAAATCAATTTTAAAACGCTCTGCATCTAGAGAAACTGTTCTGAGAAAAAATGTTAGTTTTATGAATGCATAAGTGAATTTCTGACATGCTCTTCGAGAAAACAACGGGAAAATTATACATATTTATTTTTTATTGTGCTTCTTTTCTCCTCTTCATCGTCTTTTCTTCATATTCTCTTTCTTCTTCTCTCAAAATCAAAGGTGCTTTTTTTGTTTTGTGCTTTTCTTTCTCTTGTTTTGATACGTCAAAGATGCTATGCATCGTGTCTATTGAATAATAGGAAAGAAAGAACACACACACACACAATTCAAACTGATAACATTATACATAGGATCAGATCTGTAATAGAGTTCAGTTAATATTACAATCTAGGCAAATCGTAAACATTTGTCAGTCTATGCATGTATGTGCATGTCGATCATTCGTCCGTATCTCTATTGTTCTTAGGTTCGAAAACGAAACCGGCTGATGTTGATGCCGCTGTCCGTTGCGCTCTTCGATTACCAACTGATAAGAAATCGAAAAACTTGAATTTAGAATAGATATGCGAGGGCATTATTTTAATTGGAAGGAGTGCATGTGTTGCGAGTAGAATGAATANTTTCTTCTTCTTCTTCTCAATGTTCCGTAATGGTCAATTTGCGCTTATCGGTTAAGAGAAAAGAACACGAGAGAGAGAGAAAAATGCGATTATCATCGATTAGATCGCATATATGTGTATACATATATGTGCATCCTTCTCGTTTTGCTTTTTTTCTTCTTCAGACATACACACATATACATAGACACTCAATGGCCATGTCCCGACGTAAGCAACTCCATCCGAAATCACTGAAAGGTACATTTGAAAAACTTTAACTTGGACTTTTTTTTCATTCGGAACTCTGCTTTTTAAGAAGGTGATGAAACCGTCTTTGTATTACCCGATGAACTGAAATGCGATGAAGAGGTATGTTCTATTCTTCTTTGGAATCTCACTATCATGTCAATTCTAGTCACATGAGATCATCGCTCGTATTGATATCAAACAAGGACATCGCTTTGGTCCATTTCCTGCTTGTCTTGTGTCTTGTCAACAACGATTATCGTCTGATTTTGATTCAATGGATGGCAATGGTAGTAGTAATAGTATGAGCATACAAGTAAGTACTTATTTCACTTTTTTTTTACGACAGAGAGATAAGGGATTTGCCTTTCTTTCTCTCATTTCTCTCTCTCTCTCTCATTCGATTCTGCTGTAACATAGTTGCATTCTCGGTGCCACCAGATAAGACTCAACATCGTCATACTTGGTTTCTCTGTTATTTGATGTTTGTTACTAACGTTTTGAGCTGAGTTATCTATCTCGTTGTGTTTCTCTCTTATCATCGTCAAAGCACATATTCATGTTCGCTATATATGTGTGTGTGTATGCATACAAAGGATTGAAAGATGGCTGATAGAAGGAAAACGATGAGGACATTTGAGAGATGAGAACGACACGAGCGATCTACGATAAGACATCGTTGTCGTTGTCTTATCGGCCATTCCAATCCGATGGTCGCGCGTGCGAGCATGCATGCGAGTATGGTTATCTCGAGATTTTTTAATGTATATGTGTCGAGAGATGATAGAATGGCAGTGACGAAAAGAAGACGAAGAAGAGATAGGAGATATTAGTTTGGTCTTATCGAAGAAAATGACCCAATATAGAAGATTAATCAAGAGAAAAAAAATTCCGTGTTTTCATCTATTAGATTGATAATAATGAACAATCATTTCAGTTACTCGATACGAAACATAACTGGTTGACGAGATGTTCAATATCGAGTAATGCAACATCGAATTTAGATATTCAATCTCAAGGTAACTGCTTTTTTCATGTTGATGTCTGAAAAATGTTACGGTTTAGACGAGCAAATCCTTGCTGTACTAACTGAATCGATCACAAATGGTACTCGTCTATGTTCGAATGCGATTATTCTTCCAAAAGTGATGCAAAGCGAAGATTCTCCAGTAAAATCAACGTTGAGTTCGATTCCAGATGAGATTAAAGTCAAAGAAGAACCTGTCGAATCCTCTGAAGAAGAACGACAGCAACAGTCATCTGATCCCTCGTCAACGATCAAATCGGAATCACCAATTGTATCAAAATCCAAAGAAATAAAAAAATTCCATTGTAAATACTCGATCACTCGGATTTTCTTTTTCGAATTTTCTTCAATTTAGCTTTGATGTTCACCTGCGACGACTGCGGCGTTCGATTCAGTAACCGAAGTACGCTCGATGCTCATCGACAACACTATTGTTTAAAACGTGGCGAAGCAAGAAAAAGTCATTCGATAGGTAAAGATAACAGTAAACACTAATCTTTAACGAAAACGAAAGGTCAACTTACTGCCATAAACGAAATGACGTGTTTTATAGATTCAACAATGCCTGTTAAACTAAAGAGCATCAAACGCAAACATATCGAGACAAGTGATTCGTCGACTCCGCCAACAAAACGTTTGTCAATATCATCGAATGAGACATATTGTTCCGAATGTGATATTTTATTTTCGAAAGCAGATAATCTTCTTCAGCATAAACTACATTATTGTCGAATGAAATCCTCAACACATCAACTTAATGAACAAAACATCCCAAATTCGTTTCGACCACCGATACCATTCGATCGACCTATTCAGATCGGACAATTCATCTACGTGCCTGTGCCCGTTGTGTCGTCATCAACTGAAAACACCGAACAATTACTATCACCATCTAATAACGATAATAAACCGTTAGATTTGAGTAAACCGAAAAAATCTCATGATGAGTCCGAAAAATCCACTTCACCACTCGATTTAACCGTGGAAAAGCCAACGAATCTATTTAACATACTCAATTCTTCCGCAGTGACGAAATCAACCAATCAAGTTCAACAGCAAATCTACGAATGTGATTACTGTTCGATAAGATTCAGTTCGTTAAAAACTCTACATGCTCATCAAGAGAACTATTGTATTGAATATCGTAAACAGAAGAAAACTGTACCAAATAATTCATCAACCAACGATTCCAGTACGACAATCAACGAATCCAATCGGTTCGTATGATTTTCTCCGTGAAATTAACGAAACCTATTTCGATCTATTTCAGATCTCAATCTCCATCAATCTCGAAATCTCTATCTGTTTCTCCAAATGATTCATCCAACACATCTCATTTACCTCCACATCGTTCATCTCCATTCATGTGTCGTCTATGCAAGTATCGTGGAAATACTTTGCGTGGAATGCGTATGCATTTCAAATTTCATCTATCTAATAATGAACCGTGTACGGATGATGATATTATCATAACGACGACATTAAACAACTCATTATCAACTTTGCCCTCATCCCAATTACTATTAAAATGTAAAATCTGTTCGGCCATGTTCGATCAAGAGGAAACATTAATCAATCATATCAAATGTGTTCATACGAAAGAAAGTCTACTTGAATGTTTAGAATGTCAATCGAGATTTTGTTCGAAATGGAATTTACTTCGTCATATGAAATTAACACATACGAATATCAAATGTGATGACGATGAGCAAGATGATNTCTTCTTCTTCTCAATGTTCCGTAATGGTCAATTTGCGCTTATCGGTTAAGAGAAAAGAACACGAGAGAGAGAGAAAAATGCGATTATCATCGATTAGATCGCATATATGTGTATACATATATGTGCATCCTTCTCGTTTTGCTTTTTTTTCTTCTTCAGACATACACACATATACATAGACACTCAATGGCCATGTCCCGACGTAAGCAACTCCATCCGAAATCACTGAAAGGTATATTTGAAAAACTTTAATTTGAATTTTTTTTTTCATTTGAAATTCTGCTTTTGAAGAAGGGGATGAAACCGTCTTTGTGTTACCCGATGAGCTGAAATGCGATGAAGAGGTATGATCTATTCTTCTTTGAAATCTCTCTATCATGTCAACTCTAGTCACATGAGATCATCGCTCGTATTGATATCAAACAAGGACATCGTTTTGGTCCATTTCCTGCTTGTCTTGTATCTTGTCAACAACGATTATCGTCTGATTTTGATTCAATGGACGGCAATGGTAGTAGTAGTAATAGTATGAGCATGCAAGTAAGTACTTATTTCACGTTTTTTTACGACAGAGAGATAAGGGATTTGCCTTTCTTCCTCTCATTTCTCTCTCTCTCTCATTTAATTCTGCTGTCGCATAGTTGCATTCTCGGTGCCACCAGATAAGAGTCAACGTCGTCATAGATGGTTTCTCTGTTATTTGATGTTTGTTGTTAACGTTTTGAGCTGAGTTATCTATCTCGTCGTGTTTCTCTCTTATCAACGTCAAAGCACATATTCATGTTCGCTATATATGTGTGTGTGCATACAAAGGATTGAAAGATGGCTGATAGAAGGAAAACGATGAGGACATTTGAGAGATGAGAACGACACGAGCGATCTATGATAAGACATCGTTGTCGTTGTCTTATCGGCCATTCCAATCCGATGGTCGCGCGTGCGAGCATGCATGCGAGTATGGTTATCTCGAGATTTTTTTAATGTATATGTGTCGAGAGATGATAGAATGGCAGTGACGAAAAGAAGACGAAGAAGAGATAGGAGATATTAGTTTGGTCTTATCGAAGAAAATGACCCAATATAGAAGATTAATCAAGAGAAAAAAATTTTCCCTGTTTTCATCTATTAGATTGATAATAATGAACAATCATTTCAACTACTCGATGCGAAACATAACTGGTTGACGAGATGTTCAATATCGAGTAATGCAACATCGAATTTAGATATTCAATTTCAAGGTAATTGCATTTTTCATGTTGATGTTTGAAAAATGTTACGGTTTAGATGAGCAAATCCTTGCTATATTAACTGAGTCGATCACAAATGGTACTCGTCTTTGTTCGAATGCGATTATTCTTCCAAAAGTGATGCAAAGCGAAGATTCTCCAGTAAAATCAACGATGAGTTCGATTCCAGATGAGATTAAAGTCAAAGAAGAACCTATCGAATCCTCTGAAGAAGAACGACAGCAACAGCCATCTGATCTCTCGTCAACGATCAAATCGGAATCACCAATCGTACCAAAATCCAAAGAAATAAAAAAACTCCATCGTAAATACCCTATCACTCAAATTTTCCTTTTTCGAATTTTCTCCAATTTAGCTTTGATGTTCACCTGCGACGACTGCGGCGTTCGATTCAGTAACCGAAGTACGCTAGATGCTCATCGACAACACTATTGTTTAAAACGTGGCGAAGCAAGAAAAAGTCATTCGATAGGTAAAGATAACAGTAAACACTAATCTTTAACGAAAATGAAAGGTCAACTCACTGCCATAAACGAAATGACGTGTTTTATAGATTCAACAATGCCTGTTAAACTAAAGAGCATCAAACGCAAACATATCGAGACAAGTGATTCGTCGACTCCGCCAACAAAACGTTTGTCAATATCATCGAATGAGACATATTGTTCCGAATGTGATATTTTATTTTCGAAAGCAGATAATCTTCTTCAGCATAAACTACATTATTGTCGAATGAAATCCTCAACACATCAACTTAATGAACAAAACATCCCGAATTCGTTTCGACCACCGATACCATTCGATCGACCTATTCAAATCGGACAATTTATCTACGTACCTGTGCCTGTTGTGTCATCATCAACCGAAAACACTGAACAATTAGTATCACCATCAAATAATGATAATAAACCGTTAGATTTGAGTAAACCCAAAAAATCTCATGATGAGTCCGAAAAATCCACTTCACCACTTGATTTAACCATGGAAAAGCCAACGAATCTATTTAACATACTAAATTCTTCTGCAGTGACGAAATCAACCAATCATGTTCAACAGCAAATCTACGAATGCGATTACTGTTCAATAAGATTCAGTTCTTTAAAAACTCTACATGCTCATCAAGAGAACTATTGTATTGAATATCGTAAACAGAAGAAAACTGTACCGAATAATTCATCAACCAACGATCCAAATACGACAATCAACGAATCCAATCGGTTCGTATGATTTTCTTCGTGAAACTAACGAAATATATTTCGATCTATTTCAGATCTCAATCACCATCAATCTCGAAAACTCTATCTGTTTCTCCCAATGATTCATCCAACACATCTCATTTACCGCCACATCGTTCATCTCCTTTCATGTGTCGTCTATGCAAATATCGTGGAAATACTTTGCGTGGAATGCGTATGCATTTCAAATTTCATCTCTCTAATAATGAACCGTGTACCGATGATGATATTATCATAACGACGACATTAAACAACTCATTATCAACTTTACCTTCATCCCAATTACTATTGAAATGTAAAATCTGTTCGGCCATGTTCGATCAAGAGGAAACATTAATCAATCATATCAAATGTGTTCATACGAAAGAAAGTCTACTTGAATGTTTAGAATGTCAATCGAGATTTTGTTCGAAATGGAATTTACTTCGTCATATGAAATTAACACATACGAATATCAAATGTGATGACGATGAGCAAGATGATAATGAGTCTCATTTGATTTTGAATGAATCAACAAATGATCAGAAAATCGATGAAGATCCAGAGTATGCACAACTTTGCTTTTCAACTTCTCAATTTCAATTTGTTATACTTTAGTCTTTCGTCTTCGTCTTCTCCTCCTTCTTCTCCGTCTTCGACATCTAATGATAAATCATCTGATCCAGTGAATCTCACACGTAATGTTCTGATCGAATCAATGGATATCAATTCAATGAAAAAGTTATCTGATGGATTTGTACTAAAGAAAAAATTCGCTTGTCCCTATTGTCACATCAAGTTCGGGAGTGTTGAGACATTGAAACAACATATGACAAACTATTGCTCATCTCGTCCGAAGACTGATGAACAAACGCAAACGAAAAAGAAATCGATGGAGACATTCTGTTCATCATGTCAAATCCCATTTCGACATCAAAGTTCCTACGATGCACATAAAATGTATTACTGTCGCGGAAGTAACAAAGCTCACGTGAAAATGCAAGCTTAATTATCAAGTGTTTATTTGTAATATTGTAGTCGTATTTCTTTGGGTTTTTTTTTCTTTATTTTTCATTCTGTTCCTTGTCTTACTTTCATGCCTTCTCCTTCTTTTTCTCTTTTGAATTTTTAAGTAACGAATACCGACAAACGGAAAGAAATGTTAAAGATAACATGCGAGCTTTTCGAAATGGAGAATTAGCAGTGAATTGTTGAATATTGGTAAGAGGTATTTCTTTTCTTTTATATATAAAAGAAATCGACATATGATTACTATTGAACTTCTCATTTCGGATGGCATTGATTCGTATTCTTTTTTACTTCTAAGTTCAAAATAATGATTTGACGGTCTTTGTTTGATCATTGAGGACAGAAATGTAAATGTGCGATTAAATTCTCGTTTGGAAATAGAGAGAGAAAATGAAAATGTTGATATCGAGAGTCATTCGGTGTATTTCTCGTTCAAGATGGAGAAACGTGTTTTGAAATTAGAGTTCGATGTCGGAACAACAAGTCGTGCAAGCATTGGCCAAAGTGGAGAAGAACTTGGCAAAGCCATGGAACTTGTTCAACGAGAACGTGACCGTGACGTGAAAGAGAAAGAAGAACTACGCCATTTAAACGATCGATTCTCGCATTTCCTTGCGAATATCGAACAATTGAAACGACTCAATGAACAATTACAAACACAATTAAGGGATGAATTCTCCAAATGGGGAATTTTACCGCGTGATGAGAATGAATTACAGCAAATTATTGTTCAGATCAACGATCGCGGTGTGCGACGCGCGACCGACGAAGTTCGTTCACGCGCTGCAGAACAAGAAACCGCTGTGCTTCATCGGGCAACCGCTCTGTATGGGAATATTCAGGATTTATACAAACGTAAACAGGAAAATTTACGGCATTTGATCGATCGCTTACAAGAAGAATTGAGTCGTATCCTTCAACGTGAACGATCAAGTGAAGAAGAACTTTCCGTCACACGTGATGATTTGATAAAAGAATTGAATAAATTTCGCGAACGATTACAAGATTGGCTTCGTTTAGTTATTGACAAACAAACCTTAACCGATGACATTCAATCGTTACGAGAACGTATTAACTTAATCAACGCTTTGAATGAAGAAGAAGTCAATGAATGGAAACGTTTGTTGGATCAATCAAAAGATGATTCGATCTCATTCTATCGCGAAGAATTAACCAATGCCATTCGGGACATCAAACGTGATTATGCTAAGCAAGCGAAGAAGTTTCAAGACGAATTAGAATATCAAATCGAAGGGCAATTACGTATGGTTGAAAATCAATTGAAACAAATGCCTGGATTGACGGACAGTTCCATGCAGGAGAGTGAAAAGAATCGCTTACATTTAGAAGAAACTAAACTACGAACAATTATGGAAGTAAGGGAAGACAAATGTTGAGATTTGATTTCATTCGTTTTGTTTCGAATAGGAATATGACAAAGAACAAATTCGACTGAATGAATTAACAAAAACCTTATCGGAGAAACGTCGTGTATTACGCGATGAAGAGGGTCGTTTACATGAAATGGAGCGAAAGATTCGCGAGAAGCAAATGTTTGAAAAGACCATTGCGGAGAAATTGAAAGTCGAATATGATGATCTACGTTTACGGTTCGAACAAATGGCACACGAACTACGGTTTAGTATCGAAGATGAATTGAGAATCTATGCACGATTATTAGATGAGTTAATGAAGAAATCGTCAACGATTATCAATAATACAACAACAACAACGCTTCGAACAAGTGCGACTGAAGAACAAGGAGCAACGGGAATCTTTGATTTAACTAGTAGTCATAGTGGATGGCCAACAGCGACAAATATTCATTTGAGTACGGAAAACTTATTTCGGCTAAATGAAAGCGAAGTTCAGGAAACATATGATGGAAGTTCGATTATTCATTCGTCATCATTTTCGACCATGGATTGAAAGTCAATGAATCAGAAAAAGGAACATTCTCTTAGAAGTTTATAGCTGGAATTCTTTTTTTTCCGCAAATGCAGAATTCATTTCGAATCGCTTTTTATTCAAAATAAAACTCTGTTTGGTCAATACAAACTGTATCACCACCAACTCTTGGTATCTTGAGTGATAATACCCGCAAAGATTCGATTGAATCTTGGTCGGTCAAGTATCTGACCAATGCGAACTGAATAATACATTGTCTCCGGTGTGGAATAACGTTTCAATAGTAAAACTGTTTTGTTTGGTGTTTCGATATCATTGATAGGAACGATATCACGTGTGTCTAATTCGATATTTCGACGACGACCCCAGAAATCGATATGAGTTAATATCACGCGATCGCATTCGACAGTTGTGTAGATATAACATACAGTTCGTGTGGCAAACCAGCCGAACATGAATAGACTGAATGAAGCGAGACTGAGCAGAAATAAGGAGAATTGAAGTTCGAGTAAGGTAAGTAAACCTTGATTGTAGTTGTAGATTTGGTATGGAGTGATACAAGCACTAGAAAGATGAATCGAGATTGTGGAATATGAACGTATTCAGCAAGGAATGCTCACTTACGTAGCAATCGTTTGTGTAAGTTTCAAAACTTGAACGTATCGTAAAGGTCGCTGGTAGCCAAGTCGATAGATGAGGTAGAAATCGTTAAACAGTGCTGACTTGACGCCTGTAGGTTCGGGTAGATATGAAGGTAATTTCAGTACGCTCGGTTGAATATCATTTCGTTCTGTTTTACTCGTTAAAGAATTCTCTTCCTGTTTCAAATTCAAACGACTAGTTGTCGAGGAAAACAACCGGTAACGACTCTGTAGAGATAGGAAACGTAAGACTTGCATGGGACGGGTAAACATTCTTTTGTCTAAAACAATTTGTGAAAGATATCTAGCTAATGTAATTGATTTGTTTTCTTTATACATAAAGATAAATGAGTAAACATGTATAGCACAGAGAAGAAAAAAAAGCAATTGGTTGCAAAAACAAAGCTACAGTTTAACTTGAAATTGTACAGGATGTGTGTTATTCGATGGATTAAAAAGTGCTTGTCGAATAAATGTCGGATCAAGACTACCCTTATTGGAAGTAGTTGACGTAGTGTTGAACTTCAATGGTTGATTAACCGTGGTCGATGAAGCGTTAGTCGAAGATCTAATCGACAGAAAATAATTAACTGAATCGATTCGGCGAGTTCTTTCTTACTCGGTTTGTTTTGTTGAGCGGTGTGTGTTGCCACTTGGTGGTTTCGATGTGACGTGATTTGTCGGTTTTGAAGCTTGAGTGACTACCGGCGGAGATGGTGGTGGTGCCGTTTGTTGAAGGCTAACATACATAAATTGTCCGTCTAACAATCGATTGTGGTATCTTGCCACAGCTTGTTCAGCGTCTTCGCGTTTAGTATAGAGAATTTCTATACAACCTGCACTCAATTTCGTGATTTGGTTGACTCGACCAATTTGTGTAAAAAGTTCCTGATTGATGGTAGAAAAGGACAATGTATTGGAAACATTTTTCAGAAGAACAGGGAATTTTTACATACAATAACATCTTCATTACTAACAGACGGGAGAAGATTAGTGACTAAAACTGTTCCGGGAATTGATTGACACTGAGCAGTTGGAGCCGGCTTAGACTACGAATGTAAACTGACGAGATGAGCTCTGACGGGAGAAAAGTAGAATTACCGTTGTTGACGTATTCGCCGTCGCGTTTGCTGTTACTGGTGTACCTGCCGAAGTTCGTTTCATTGAACCGACATTCGTAGCAATTGTCGATGCCAATGTATGTTCTCTATCAGTCGTTGTTTTTCGTGCTACGCAAGTTGTACGTTTGCTTGGTGGTTCATAGAATTCTTCATCAATTGTTCGAGTTATCGTACGATCTTGATCCTCCATTGTGTTCGATGAGAGTTGCCGCTGAGCATTCGTTCGAATCGGTGAACGTGATGCAAATGACGTTGGTGTCGTTTGAATACCAGCATCATGCAGATGTTTAACGAGTGGAGGAGAGTTTGATGGTCCTGCCATCGTTGTTAATGTTTTTTGATATTTATCATTCACTACGCTAAACCGTAATTGCTGGTTGGATTGAGTAGTAGAAATATGTTTTATTGGATTTAAACGATCAGCTTCCTCTCCTCGGCGAAGGGCTGTATTTGTAATAGTCTAAAATGTCGAAATATGAAACGAATTCTTTTTCCGAGAAATGGAACCATCAATTACTTTAGTCAGAGAAACTGTCTCTTGTGTTGGGTTCATTCCAATATTAACATTATTATTATTGCGGATAGTGACAAAAGTTGAGGATCCAATTGCGAAGATATTCTTATTTTGTTCCCTTCGGTTGTTATCAGCTGATGTCGTTGGAACAATCTACGTTAAAAAAGAACAACGAATGAGTTTCTCTTTCGCTCAAAACTTTTCTCCCTACTCGTCCATCTTTCAATTGCGTATTCTTCAACCCAGTGACTACAATCACTTTCTCTTTCTCATTATTCACTGTCTCAACACTTTTCCGAGGGATTGTATTTGTTAACACTGGTCGATATGGTGACGATGGTATTTGTCGTATATCATATGGCGATGACGACATTGGGTGATGATCATAGGGTGAGCCTCGATTCACCACGATATTTCGTGTGGGTTTCGCAGACAGCTCCTCTTCTGCGAATAGTTGTCGACGATTGATGTTGTTGATTATTGATGATTTGCCGAGACGTTTCAATGCACTAACACGGTGAGTTCCATGGTTTCTCGACATCGTCTTTTTGTGTAGAACGAGGCAGACGTAAGAAATAAAAGCTTTGATCTAGAATGCAATGATTCCATTGAAGAAATAAAAAAAGAGGGAAGAAAAAGAACGAACGAAAACATCTTTTTCAAGAATATATATTGAATGATTTAAATAAAAGAATGAGTTCTACAATCAATATCATCATATGACAAACTTTATTAGTTTTTCATTACTTATAAAATTCGAAATCTTGTTCATTCTTTTTAACAACATTTTTATACGCTTTTTCGAAATCTTTGGCCAAGACAATGTAACGATTTTCTCGAACGGCTTGCATGCCAGCCTAACGAAAGAAAAATTCATTCGACATCAGATAGTAATTCGACGGTTTTTACTTCTTGGCAAATGGAATTAATATCAGCGCCTGATATTCGATCAGGACGGGCTACATAGTCTTCTAAGTCGACTTCGTCACTTAAATTCATTTTACCGGTTACAGTCGAGAAGACTAAGCGTTTTTGTCGTCGATCAGGTAATGGAAATTCGATCTTACGATCTAAACGACCAGGACGAAGAAGAGCTGGATCAAGTGTATCAGCACGATTTGTTGCCATGATAACCTGAGAAGAAAAAGCGATAAATCACGAAAAAAGTCGAGCTTCTGCGTACTTTAACATTGATACTTTGATCGAATCCGTCCATTTGATTGAGTAATTCAAGTAGAATACGTTGAACTTCTCGATCAGCTGACAAGGAAAGTGTGTTTAAGATGAGAGAATAAGAAAATTTTCTTGATAAACAAACCTCCTGTTTGAGCGTCGAAGCGTTTCGTTGCAATAGCATCAATTTCATCGATAAAAATAATTGCGGGTGAATTTTCTAATTGAAATTTTTTTTTTCAATTGAAAAAATTTTCTTTTCTTCATGTTATTTTCATACCTTTTGCTAAACGAAAGACATCACGAACCATTCGGGGACCTTCGCCGAGATATTTCTGAACAAATTCCGAGCCAACAACGCGAATAAATGAAGCTAAACAAATAAAAGATATTCCTGACATTCGAAGTCCAAAATAATCAAACCCACCAGTTGTATGTCGAGCAACAGCTTTAGCTAACATGGTCTTACCACAACCTAACAGCGAAAATATAGAATTTCACAAAAGAATTCATCTGAACCAACCTGGTGGACCGTACATGAGTACACCACGAGGTGGGTCAATACCAATTAATTTATATAATTCTGAAAAGAGAAGCAAACGTATGAAAATATCATTGGTTGCCATCGAAACACGTACCGAAATGTGTCAATGGTAGTTCCACTGCTTCGCGAATTTCTTGTTTTTGTAAATCCAATCCACCAATATCTGCATAGTCGACATCAGGTTTTTCATCTAAACAAAAACGACTCTCCAATTATTTTTGAAAGATAAAATTCGTGACGAATCCTACCAGCTTGTAACATGGATATACTACTATCCGATTCAGGTGGAAGAATATCGACAAGAGCATTTGAATGCTTATGCAGCGCAACACTGGCGCCAGCTTTTAGAAGTTCTCGATCGATTGTTGATAGAATTCGAACATAATAATTCGAACCTGTAGAAAATGAAAAGAGATGAACTGTGAATTTTAATCAGACACTACTACCTGTCGTTGATCCAACAATGCCGGTGTTTTGATCAACTGCTTCGAGAAATTGTCCGATAACAAGTGGAACACTTTGAATACGTTTGATTTCTTCTTGTGCATGTAGCATTTCTTTTTTAAGGTTTTTCAATTCTGTTTTTACATATTCTTCTTGAACTTCGAGAAATTCCAATTGTCGCTGTAGTTTCTACAACAAAGAAAATATCAAATTCTTCGATCAAAATCTATTATAAACACAAATCAAACCTTAAATTTTGTATACAAATCATCACTATCCAATGATTCATATTGAGATGAAAGAACATAGTTCTGATGAAAATTTCGACTTGTTTCCTCCTAGAAAAAAATCCTTCTTAACCAATCGAATACAACTTTAAAGTACTAACCTCTTTGGGTACAATCACTGGAGTATCTTCAATTGCTGTAGTCATATTTCCTTAGCTTTAAATAAATCTAAAACATATGCCAAGTGAAGATTATATTCGTCCATCAACCACAAAAACGTGTTTTACACTTTCCTTCGAGAAAATATCCTTTTCCTATCTTATTCATTTTTTCTCACAGTAACGACTAGTCTCGATCGATCGATCGTATCGAATTAAGTATAGTCTGGTAACTAGTCTCAATGATTTACTCTTAAAAACAAACAAGAAAGAAAAGATATTCTGATATCCGTTTACTATTGGATGGCTAGTAGGCCAATGTCAGTGGCTGAACTCGAGGATTCGTTCGTCTATTGAGGAGAAAAGTTAAAAATCTGATTTCAATGGGCGATGGATGTTGATGAGAGCGAACGAGCTGAAAGTAAAATTGAATTCATCATTTCTTCTCTCTTTCAAAACTGAAAATGGAAAAAGTTCATTGAAATTGAACTTTTGCATTTAAATGTGTTCTTGACTTTGTCAGTCAATGATTTAACTACATGATGTAATAGAACAATTGCTACGAAATAAATTAGAACGAACTTGGGCAACCTGTGAACATGAAAATCATCACGCGAAACTATCTGATCAAACATTTAGAGAAAAAAGTCTAACTGACAATGAGAACAAAGAACGAGTAACAGGCATGTCTCGATCATTTCGTGTGATAAAGAATAGTAAGAAAGACAAGTTCTTTCTTTTATTACTTAGGAAACCTAAATCAAGTGACACGAAAAGCTCATTTTCTCAGGAGAAATCGAATGATGAATTTCTTTCCAAGGACATCTATCGACAAGTCTGATATGGCACAACAGGCAATATCGATGAATCATGAATTTTTCGCTTCTTATTGGCACAATCAATCAATTGAATTTCATTGAGATGATTTCGTTTGTTTTCAAATGAGAATGTACAGAAAATGTCAACGATTTCTTTCCACATATTCCATCTTACTCATGTTCTTTATTTTATACTTAATATTAACCATTTTTATGATTTTGTACAGTAAGATATTCGAAAATTTGATTTCGTTTTGACTCAATATCTCAAAATGTTTCAGTAAAGAATATCGACACAAGACAAGATTGTAACAAACCATGGGAACATCTACTCGAACAATATCCTGCTCTAGTCGAACCGATTCGTGAAAGTTGGAACGATCCGTCGTCATTCGTTCGTAAGATTTATATGATTACACCAACAAAAACACGAGCAGAACAAACACCTGATTTAACCCGACTTGCACAGACACTTTATTTAGTAACAAAATCTTTCTTTTCGCGTCAATTGTTTTGCATCTTTCGTTTGCGCCTTTAGATTCCCAATCTATTTTGGATTGTCGTCGAAGATGAACCTCAAGTGACTCTTCGTCTTCGTCGTTTACTTCGATCATTTCATTTACCATTCATTCATTTGAACATTGCCACGCCTGATTATTTAAAACCAACGCAAAATCAATCGACATGGCGGCGACCACGTGGTGTATTCCAAAAGAATATCGGTTTACAATGGTTACGAACGAATACGAATAAGGACGAAGATGCACTTGTCTATTTCGCTGATGATGATAACACGTACCACTGGAAGTTATTTCAAGAGGTAAGAATCTAATAAATTGAATTTCTCTTTGAGTATTTCGTTACAATTAGATTCGAAAGGTGCAATCAGTTGGTGTTTGGCCAGTTGGACTCGTCGGTGAGCTTCTCTACGAACGACCGATCTGCTTGAATGGAAGAGTAAATCGAAAATCGATGGTCTCTTTTTTGTAAACTTATGTCCAATTCTAGGTTCACTCATGGTTTCATTACATGTATCGGAAACGGAAATTTCCTACAGATATGGCTGGATTTGCCATTCATTTGCGTCTTATTCATCACTATTCCACTTATGTTTTCAATGTCAGTGCGACAAGTATTGCCGAACAAGAATCTCAAATCTTGAACACAATGACAACCATTGATCAACTCGAATGCTTAGCAAACAATGCTACTAAGGTACTGTGAACATTTCTTTATGAAAATAAAAGTCTATGTTTTCTACTCGGTAGATTTACGTATGGCACACGAAAACTCAATCTATGTTTCTCACATCGATTGAGAGATTACGCAATGCAGGAATGAAATATGATCTCGTCAATCAATTGTAAAAAATTACCTTGTTTTTGTTATATTTTTTCTATTATAAACAACAATGACTGAACGTGTATCTATTCATCATTCGTCAAGCTTGACCAGCCGAGATTTGATTGATTAATTTTCAATAAATACGGGATGAGATGTACACAAATATGTTAATGTCTTGCATTCTATTCAGATTTATTTACCGGTGAAAACTTAGGAGAACGTAAATATTTAGATGAAATTGTCATCAATTACAGAAATGATTAAGTAGCTGATCGTCGATGTCTTTCGAGCAGAAAATACATGTAAATCCTATTGATTACATAAAAACCATTGTTGTTATTCTAACTTGGAGATCAATTATATCAAATTCCATCCGTATTCATTCTTAGATTGGTAGATATGCGTACGTCGGTCGCGAGATATGCAATAGAATAAACAAAACCGAGAAAGACAGACAGACGAAACTAATCATCCATTTGACATTCATTTATAACTGTTCTTGTTCTTTTTGCTCATGAATAACTTTGAAACAACGCTCACACATTAATCCATCCGGTTCAACAACGATTCGAGGAAGGTGTTTCAGATTGTATTGACAATTTTTACATTTAAAACTAAACAGAAAGGGTAATTTTTATTGATTTCATTCGTATTTACCATTGCTCATGATACCATCGACGATTAAATACGACCATCAATTCATCCGATGGCTTGAAGCATATCTATGTTCGATGATTTCTTTCTCTTTGGTTTTCTTTTTCGAATAACTTACCGAACAAAGCGTCGCGGATGTCTGATGACATTTTTCACATTGAAATTTCATCTGTTGACTATCTTCATCAACTGAATTCGGTAGGTAATAAACCGAATTCGAGAGGTTTCTATGACAAATTTCACAAACAAAACATGAATTATGCATACAGAGAATGGTATTCATCGATTTCTCCTCGATCTTATCCCTTGGTAACTCAATCTAATGAAAACAATCAGCGATCATGTCGGAAAAGGCAAAGCTCGACTTGTCTTTACTCGATGTTCAGTAATCAGATCGCCTGCTTGAAATTGTTTCCGACAAACCGAGCATCGTGATATTAAAATCGTATTCGAAGCAGGAAGAAATTCATTTTGTACAAGAGGATAACACTTCGAACAAAAAACCTGATTTTGATATGGATAAACTAATTGCCCTTGAAATGGTTTTTGACAACGGTGACAAAGAAAACAATTCGGATGGAAGATTCGTTCGCCATATCTCAATGAAATATCTTCAATAATTTTCAAACACTGGAAACAAACCGGTGCAAGTCGGTAATAACACGATTCGCAGACTAAATTCGGTTTTCCATCACTACGCGGATCTTTATTTCGATAGTAAAATCGACCGGCTAACGAAGTTTGACAATGCGAACAGAGATAACATTGAATATGAACAACGTCTTCACCATCAAGTAAATATTCTTCGTCGAAAACGATGTCTTTCGTGCATGTTTTGCATCTATTAGATGAGAAAACAACACACGAATGATAAATGACTGTGTAATCTCTACTTGACAAGTACTGTTTTCGTAGATTTGGCGCACATTTATGAAAGGCTAATTAGCATTTAATGACAGGTTTCAAATCGTACAAGTTATATCAAAGAAAATCGATAAGCAAGAATGTTCGATGACTGATGATGTAGAGAGTGGCTTTGTCTGAACTGTTCGTTTTTCTTTTCAGATGAAGAACATATTTGACGTTCGAAGAACAAGTAAACAAACATGTTTGTATTTGTTGTTGTGCGCACAAAATATTTATAAATAACAAAAGGAAGAAGAAGAAAAACAAACAAACGAAGACACAAAAACTGCTTTGATTACCTAATAAAAGTATGGAACTGTTCTAATCTAGACTTGTTTTGTTAATGGAGAAAATAAGAAATGCAAAAGAAAAAGAAAAACCGACTAAAATATCCGTTTTTTCAACAATGAAAATACGAAGAAGATTTATACAGAAGAAACAGAAGATTGATTCCCTATACCGGAGATGCAGATTTTCCTTGATTATTAGTATTGGGACTGTCACTTGTTAAACCAAGACTTTCGTCATATTTGGCTAAGTAAGTACGTCGCTTATCATCACGTCCATATTGTCCAATAAAGGAACCATCTTCGGTGAAACGACCGCGATCTTTTTCTTCATTAAATTCTTCCATTGAGTCGCGATCATCGCCATTGTTTAGCGATGTTCGACTTTGTCTAATTGATAGATCGCCAACAGCACGATAGTATTCGGTGAATTTACCTTCGTCATCACCGTATCCACTTGGTCCATGGAGCATTTCTTTGTCTTGAACTAGAAGAAGAAAATACGATAGAACATTAATTCAGTTAATTAACTAATCTCGTTTTGTTTTCGTTTTTGGTTTCTGGCGGAATGAAATCAAAGGAAAGAAATACTATCATTATCAATGTCAATGGCAAGAACAACAGCACAGACATCGACATTCTCCAAATCTAGCTAACATGCGACGCGCGTATCTCTCATCAATGAAGGCATAAATGAAGTCAGAAGCAAGAGAAATGGGAGGGAACGAGAGAATAACAAAAAAAGTGCTTTTCAGTCTGTAACAATGATATATAACAATCGATACTGAAATCGTTTACTTCGTTAGAGAGAATTAAATGGGTTTGATTTGTCAACTATAAGTGAAAATATAGAAGAATGCACACATCTCTTTCAATACTCTACTAATGAAATCCATGCATTTACAAGAAGGAGAATAGGATTTATCGTCTGTACCTTTGTACGTTCCTTACAGTAAAAAACATTGTTTAGTAAAAGTACAATAAGAAGAAGAGACGATGCAAATGAAATTCAAACAGGAAATAGATTACCTGAATATTTACCACCTTTACGTTTCATGATGCCGCAGACAATGGCTATGATGATAATTAGTACCACAACTGCCGCAATGAGACCAATGAACCAAGGTGAGCTTATTACTTGAGGAGAACGATCTAATTTTAAAAAAAGTAATGATTTTTCTTGTAATTGAATTATCTCATTAACTAAGAACAGAAGTTTCTTTTTATTTTTTTTTCTTTGCATTCGATGTCTGATAAGAAATATCTACTTACCAAAACATTCAATCGTTGTACAATTCTGTTCGAATGTCTCATTCGTTGAAATAGTTTTAGGTGTGGATCGATTTTCGATCCGAGATGTCGACTGCTGCAATAACACACCACTCATTTATCATCCATCATACATAACAAGCAAACTGCGAACGAATACAATCCATCGATTATTTAACACTTCTCGAATCACAAATAATAACGTTGTCGACGAGTTGCTTATAGTTATGTTTATGTGTCTAGCGTTTCTCTCTTTCTTCTTCTTCTTTTTTCTCTCATTGCATTTCCTTATTCTTCTCTTATCTCATATAACCAAGTCTCGCATACTGTCAGTATTGTACAAGCGTTTTCCTTCTTTCTTTTCATCTTCTTCGTCTCGCATCGATGTTCTAACCCTTAACGGAAGCATTATTATCTAGTTTTTTTTTCTCAATTCTTCGCTTATCCTTCTTGCTTTGATTATTCTTCAGACTTGTCTATTCTCGTAGTTTTTTTTTCTTCGCGATCGTCTATTTTCCATCGGTTACAGTCAAGAAGCAATCATAATGATCATTGGCTATGTCACTCTATCGCATCTGGAACTATCACATTTATTAGTCAATTCACAAAATTCTCTGGAGAGAATCATTCGGTAAAATACAAAGAATAACACATACCCTTGCTTAACGTTGTAACCATTTGCGGATCACTTTTCGTTTCACCTTCGATGCCGTCGCCAGCTACTAAGATTGCCGTGTAAGTTTTTCCCGGTTCGAGGGAATTGACCAGAATATTACGTTCATTCGATACAGCATATGATTTCTTGAACAAAGCGAGACCTTCTGTAATAATCGAAAAAACATTTATCACAAGTCAGTTAGTTATGCAAATGAGAGAACCTTTATCGTTTTCCTTGAATTGTACATAATAAAGGCTACCGGGTACGGCCATAATGGTCGGATCGAATGAGATATTGAAAAATGTTGTTCCGCGATAAGTAACAGTAAACGTTGGCTTCGATGGAACTAAGAAATAGCAAAAGAATTCGAGTGGTTTTCTCTGATAGCTGTATTTACCAAGACTTTGGTTTGTTGTTAGTTCGATGATAGCTGGACTAGTTGATAGGCCGACTGAAGTGCGTGCGCGAACTTGAACACGATATTTTGTATCTGGCTTAAGGCTACCAAGAAGATAACTTCGACGAGTATCATCACGAAGTAAGATCGAAGGTTGATCAAGATCAGGTTGAGAAGCAATGCTAAAGTCAAGAGAACGTCCTTATTTAATTATGTTCATTGGCTCAAATTCAGTTAATACCTATCGATTGCTTTGTAATCAATTTGATAACCGATAATAATACCATTAGTATCGTCTGGTGGATCCCAAAGCAAAAATATACCATTATTAGTATAGGGTACACCACGTAAATTAGTTACAGGTCCTGGACGACCTTCTCTAGTTGGAAATTGTATCTAAAGCGTTAACAGATCGCATAATCATTTCTGTTGTTAATGAAACTCGATTCAACACATACGACAGGACTTGTCGGTCCAAAGTATCTTTCAGTTTCAATACAAATATGTGCACCCACGTCTGCATTTGGTGGCGCATTAAATACAGTTGCCATAGTTTGATTGGCTGGTATATTTGATTCTACACGGCGTGTACTTTCCGGATCATCAAGTCGAAAGACTTCAATCTATTCATATCAATTTCTATGTCATAAACATCGGAGACATTAAAAAAACCAACCTGATATCCTTTAATGACACCGCGAATATCGGTTTCATCGGAAGGTAGAGGCGGATCCCACGCAAACTGCACTGTAGTACTATCGAGCATATGTAATACACGAAAATTGCGTGGAACATATGTTGGAGCTAGAAAACATGCAAATGTCAATTAAAGAGAAGATAAGCACAAAAGCTCTAATGAGAAAATATTGTTGTCTGATTACTGTTAGTAATCGGATCAGAAATCAAAGCAATACAATCGCGAGATGTTCGATGTCAATCAACAGACTTCGGTAGTTACCTGAATCGCCAGCGAATGCGATGTTAGTTTTTGGATTGTCAGTGGCATATGTACTATTGGATTCTAGAGAAAATTCAGAAATTAACTGGAGTGAAATTCAAGGAAAACTCTTACCTCCTGGCTGTTGATTAACAGCTTTCACATAATATTCATATCGCATGTTCATAACTGAGCTTGGAACTGAGAATTGTCGTTGCGGCGGACTAACATGTTGGGTAATAAATGGTCCTGGTTTTGTACCCACGGGGGCTTGCCGCCAGCCAACTTCATACCAAAATTTTGGTGCACCCCACTGAATGGCTGGCATACTCTATAGAAAATTGATTGATTCAATAAGAAATCCGATAAAATCCTTTTGTTTCGTACCTCCCATTCGATTAATAGAGGTGATGATTGCGTAGCAGATGCCTTCACTTGTGCTGGATTGGTTTTCGGTCGACATGCTTTGGTTGAACACATTGATTCCGATATCGGACTTGGATCGCTTGCGCCAATACGATTGTAGGCTATGATACGAAATGTATAGTTGGTCCAACATGCCAATGCGACACGTAGATCATTTTGATTTGCAGGCAAGTGTGTCGTTTTAAAAACTACGAGTAATTATTTGAATTCTTCAACGAAAGAAAATCGAGAATAGTTCTTACTGGTCGTTTTGGGTTCTAACGTATTCGAACCATCTTGCGATTTGATTTCATTGAAAGATTTTCGTTTCTGCTCAATGGGTACAGAAGTCCAATCATTGACTTGAAATGATGTATTGTATTGCAATTCATAGTACAAGATTCGAGCGTTATTATCACCTAAACGATATTTAAAACAAAACTCGATTGAAATTGATTCTTCGAAGAAAAAATCAACCTGTTCCTGCCCATTGAACAATAGCAAATGGCTGATCCGACGTTCCATTACACATAATTTTTGTTATCGTCGGTTTGTTTGGTCGATCTTGCACAACCAGTGTGGCAGTTGCTTCGTCAAAGTCGATATCTGTACTTGCACGACATACATATGAACCTGCATCGTCGAATTGCACATCAACAATCTTTAATTGATTTGGATCGATCGTATCCTTGATAAATCGACCAGTATAAGTCAACAGTTCACCATCTTTATACCAATCGACAGTTAAGCCTAGCGTTTGATCAGCACTAGCCGAGCATTGAAAAATTGCATTGGCACCTCGACGAACTTCGAGATTATTCGGTCGAGTTTTGATACGCGTTTTCTGTTTCACATTCAATGTTGTATTCCGTGTAGCAAAACCGAATTTATTCGTTGCGTTGCAAGTATAAACTCCATTATCCGATGCTGATACTCCTCGGATGGTCAAATTTCCATCTTTCGATAACGAATACCTATCAAAATGTCAAACAATGAAATCAATCAAGCATAAAACACGCCCTCGAATTAGGATTAAAAAAGTATTAATTCTCATTCGGTTCTCTTTGTCTGCGTCTGTTCATATTGATCGGAATGTAAGATAATGTAATGGACATACTTACATACGGATGTTTATATACGATATGAATAGATAATAGAAAGGAGAAAGAAAAGCGGAAGAATGTCAATCAATTACGTACTTTCCACCAGTTATAATCCGATCACGTTTTTTCCAATAGACCTTAGGCATAGGTATGCCAAATGATTCACAAGGTAAAACGACATTTTTCCCTTCAACAACACGGTAGAGTGCTTCCGGTCCACGCTGAATTTCTGGCTTTTGTGCTGCGAACAAAAAAGGAAAATAACCAATAGATCCATCTTATCAATCGCAAATATTCAGAAGCTTACACATAACATTTACGAAGAAATTTGTATAAACAAAACCATGTATATTCGATATATTACATTGATAAACAGCTGTATCAAGTTTTGTTACATTTTGTATTGTCAAGCGGTTTTTCCGAAGACGACGAGATGGATTATACGGTACACGTCTATCCTCGATGGGAATGCCGTTCCTCAACCATTGAATTTCTTGTTGACTTGGTCGAGATTCGGCATTGCAAATCACATCGACAGTTTCGCCTTCAGCAATGTTGATATCTTTCGGTTTTCCAATCCAATACGGAGCAGAATCGACTTGAACATTAATACTGAAGACATCATAACCAAATTCTAGAAGATTCCGTATATTGATAAAGAAAATGCTCTGGCCTTTCGCTTACCGTTGTGTCCACGACATTCGTAGACACCAGCGTCTTCGTATTGAAGATCTGTTATGATTAGTTCTTGTTTTTCGAGATTTAGTGTTGAGCGTTTCTCAGGAATGGAACCATGAGTTTTTCTCCAGCTGACATGCGGTGTTGGCAAACCACCGAAAATACATTTTAAAGATAATGTCTGACCTTTGAGAGCGGTTTGAGTTGCGTTCGAGGCCCATAACCTCAATGGTTTCCGTTCGATTGGTTCGGATTTTATAATTTTCAATTGAGTAGTCGAACCGCGACGAATGAGATTCAATTGGCGTGATAAAACATTGCACACAAACTGTTTTCGCTCATCTTCATCTTTCACGTTGAGAAAATAGAGGTTTCCTTGAAAAGAGGATCAACTTTCATCTTTAATTAGAACATTTTATTTCACAAACCATGATAATCTTGTTGAATACGTGGATTCGTCACACGAAAACCCAATTGATCACCCGCGTTGGTACTATCTGTCCAATAAATATCTGGATCAGGCGTAGCGATCGGTGATTTGCACGGAATTCTCAATGAATCACCACGGCGTACAGAAATCTCTTGAGGTTTGTCATATGTCGAAAATTCACCCAGTTCTGCCTGAAGTACATAAACTTTACGTGATATCGCCGTACCTAAAGCAATCAATATAACGATCTTCTGAAGACTTCTATTCAATCGATTTGTACCCCAATCATTTGTTGCGTTGCACTGATACCATCCTTGATCAAGACTTTCCGGTTGAGTGAAAATCAAAGTTCCTGAATCAGCAGTCATCATCACACGATTATTTTGAGTATTGAGATTATACACCTGTCCATTTTTAGTCCAGGTATAACTTGGCGTTGGATCACCTTGAGCAAGACAAGGTAATTCGAGATTCAAACGTGAGTCAAAAACAATTTCAGAATCAGGTTCGGTGATGATTGTCGGTGGTATTGGAACTAAACAATAGAAAATGCGATTTCCTTACCGGTTCCTATTCGTAAAGTAAATATAATTACTTGAATATACAATGGAGAAGAAAAGGAAATTATATACAAAATTTGATAAGATCATTCGTCTATTTTGACTTCTTTTTTTTTTATTAAATATATGAATACTCCAGTAACATCTAAAACGCAATAAGATTTATTATTTATGAACGATTGACAAACTTGATGAAGGCACTTTCGAGCTTGAGATTGGCTGCTAATGTTATGTCGCTTCGTATAACTACATTCTCTTCTCTTTTCTTCTCTAACAACTCGTTCTTTGCTTTTCCTACAAATTCAGTCAAATCGACTGCTCGATTGGCTCATTCTATCAAGGTAATTTTCTATGCGGAAAAGAAATGAAGGTGTTCCGTTTTTCTTTTTGCGGTATTCAACATTGTTGTCTTTATTTTTCTTTCTTTTATAGAAATAAATTAGTTTGCTGAGAAATCTGACTACAGCACAAGTATCTTCTTTCGTTATTAACTTACTGCAATGAAATCAGCGCATTCTTCTCATCCAGATTTTTTCGTCGATTTCTGCGAGATTCAATGCTTACAAACTCGACTTATTCGTCATCACTCATATCATGAATAAACCATTTGATAATAGGAAAAACTAAGATGTTTAGGCAAGTATTGACAAAAAAAAGAGACGATGTAGAAGAGAAAAGAATGCTCATCTCGAGAGATTTATATAGCTCTTTTCTTTCTTCTTTCCTTTTCTTCTGTGTTTCTTATCCACACATCCCATACGATCGATAGCAGAGAGTCGATAGCAGAAGAGAAAAATCATTCCGTAGTTCCAAGAACTCTTGCTAGTTTAGCTAATGAAAGATGTCAACGATCGACAGAACGAGAAAGAGACAAGTACTAAAAAAATGACAGAAAAATAACAACAACTATAATCCAACCCATTCATGCTGTACAGATAAAAACATCCCCATCTAGAGAAAACACATCGAACTCAAATGATTTTCACTAATAATTGCAGGAGAAAGCTATTGCGTTTTATACGAAAAACATGCCTTTATTCGCAAATGTATCGTATTCAGCAAATTACAGGGACATATATGACAGAAGTTAGTTGATAGATTAACAACAGGCTAATACCTTGCTTTACTCTGCCATCATTCATAGAGGCTATTGATAGAGAAAATGGGAGAACGCAACATCGAGCAAGAAGACATAGAACGAGTATTTTGATGATGATGATGATGATTATTTCTCCCCGGCCGCAAAAAAATGACATAGAATCTTGATTGGTCTAGAAAAAAGTCATCTTTGACAATGTTGATTAAGTGGAAATGATGTCGCTACGAGATGCCAAACGTTTTATTCTTATCTAACTTTAAGAATTGAACAGAAACATTAAACAAACTTTTGTTATGACAAATCATCGTTATTCTTGTCATTGCAAAAGGAAAGCAACTTCATTTCCCTTATGGGAATCTCACATGTATGAGATCGATATACTTAATTATAAAGTGTGATCATCAATTATACGTATTGGAACGATTGTTTGCTTGTTCGTTCGATGATGAATGATAATCCTTGAATTTAATAGAATTGCTTTTGTTTCTACTGTGAGGAGAAGTAGAAGCACTTGAAAATCATCTTTTTAATTCGAAGACTAATCAAATTCTTTCTTGACATTATCGGATGCCAAAAATAGATTAATTATCAATACGAAAAACTTGTTTGAAATCAATAATTCAATCAGCATAAATGTTTCAATGAAAGAACCAATAATTCTATTACGACTTATTTTCTCCGTTGTTTTAGTCCTAATCGAATAAGTCCAAATATAGTTAACAATATTGTTGCATTTCGTGTGAACAAACTCGGCAATCAAAAAGATCGTTTTTATTGAGATTTAAGAAGTAAAAATGTTCCGAAAGAAATATAAAAAATCTTGTCAAACGTTATTGAAACAATAAATCGAGTTCGTAGTCAAATTTTAATGTATCACTCATGTGTGCTAATTGAATTCGATCGAAATATTTGTCTAAAAACTTGTAATACGAATTAGTAGCGGTTTGTTTCATTTGGTACAAACGCCAGAGTAACTTTCCATCAATATTTACAAACGCTCGTTCCAAACTAAAGTAAAGAAAGATTCTCACCTGAAGAAATGACTTTGTTATTATCGAACTTACTTCATTAACCCGATTCCTTCAAGCCACGTTTTCACTGCCGATACATCCCAATCCCTAATATGACGTGGAGGTTCGAGTGAGAACTTGATTTCGGTGCTCGCTTTTGGTTCTTAAAAAAGAGACGAATGAGATTTTCATGAACAATTGAAGAGGAATGCTTACCGAGAGCATTACGGAGAGTATCTGTTGTTGAGATGCCCGTGCTGTGTAGTTGATGAAGTGCTCGGTTGGTTTTGTCATCGTTAGATGTACTAAGTGAAGAATCATCTTGTTTGATCGTTTCGATTTCACGAATTAATATTGCAAATGCTTCTTCAAATCTATTGACAATGAAAATTCTCAAGAAAAATCATCGAGAAAAAAGAGTGTATCGTACGGTAATGTGGCGAAATCAACATGAATCTTTGCTCCCTTTATAATTCCAAGCTAGACATAAAAATCAGTCATAAGCAATAAATTCGAATTGTAAAAGCAATTTACCCATCCATATGGTCGAAATCGTGGCTGCATCAGACAAGGTATACACGGTTTTCTCAGTTCTGTTGCATATTCTTTTTGTTTTGAAAAGAAAAACAAGCAACCATAAGTCAGAGATCATCTTTCAATTCATACCTGCTTCTAAAAATCGAGAAAAAAAAGCGAATAAACTAGCTGAATTTCAAAGATGAGTACGAACCCAGTCGACAATAGTAACTTTGTTTGTACTGTTCATTCATACAGATCAAAACGATAAAAGACTTCTCTACCGCTTCAGCCATGGATGCTAAAACTCCGCCATTGATATTGTCAACGTCAAGCCACACAGTATAATTCAAAGTCTGAAAACATCCGTTGATCTATCAAATCCATCTCAATAAATCACTCTTTACCTTTAAGCGATCACGGATCTTTAAGCACATTGCTGTCACTGATCGATTGTATGAAATCATGATATGACCTTTCGAACTATTTGTTTTTTCCACTGGTGACACACCTACGAATTGAAATAGGCATATTTTTCACGATAGATCGGATATTGTATGATTATTTCATCTTTACGTCGGTGTGAAAGGCGATTTAGTGTCCAGAGAATAGCTTCACAATTCTTTTGCACCAATTGACTTGGAGAATTATTTCTCGTTGAAGTTATAATTTCGATTGCACGTTCCGAATCAAGAAATGTTTGCACTTTTTCGTCAAATGATGCGTTCAATATTGCATTAGAAACACATTCAAGAAGAGAAACATCTTGATTTGAATCTTCCAGAATATTCAAAAGAATATTGACAAGATTCTGATCAATAAACTTATGTGTTCGACCACGAACCATCAACTTCGATAATCCGTCAACTAATTCAATAAACGAAAATCCGTAAAATCTTTGACCATTTTGATTGTACATTCGGATCATTTCCGATAATAACGGTAACACATCTAAACATCTCGTTTCAAAATCAAATCTCCTTCAACGCATTGCTTTGTACCTGATGTATTCGCTGCTAGAATATTATCTTCATCTTCATTGATTATTAACGGAAGTAATAAACTTGACGTCACACGGATTGCACTGACAACATCTTGTAATTCTTTCACACTGGTAATATAATCATCATCGGTACAGGTTTCAGATGTTTGCACAACAACAGTATCTGAGGGTAATTTGGTATACTCGGCTATGATCTATGAAACAGGTAAGAAGTTTGATTCGTAGGTGAATATGAGTTTTTAATAGGAAAGTTGATGAGCTTTTGATAGGTTTGTTTTGAATCGTTATACATACATTAGTGGCATTGCACTCGCGAAAATGAATTTTTAATTCGGGTAAGTTCGCCATATTGTAGAGAATTGTCAAAGCTGCATCACAAATATAGAGAATTTTCTACAAGAGAAAGTTTTTCTAACGGAAAATGAATTTTGGGTAGAACAAACTTGATAATTGTTGAAATCATCATTAGTCACCGTCTCTGGTGGACCATCGATAACATAACATTTTTTTAATGATTCAAGAAATGAAGGATCTTTGAGAATTTCACATGCAAATTCAATAAAACCAGCACCGGCTGCTTGCTAAACAATCCAAATCAAGAAAATTATTCAAAATTGATTCGTACAAACCATTCGAATTAATCCCTCTTTGTCAAATTCATGATCGGTAAAATTACTCATCGAGTTGTAGAGTAATATACTATGAACAAAGACAATTCGTCGAACTAAATAGCCTTTCTCTTTGTAACTATGCATGAATGTCATTGCCGTTTCTATTCAAATATAAATGTGTAAGAAGATGATTTCCATAGAAAATCGAATGTTTCTACCTGGAAACTTCATTTCGGATAGTTTTAACTTTGCTCCTGATATCCATTCTTTGGGTTGATGGATGAGATTTTCCAAGAATCGAAGGACTTTTAAGGCAGTTTGACTTTCGTACTCTTCACGTTTCATATTTCTCAGCATTGTTAATGCTTCTTCCAACTAAAATAAGACAAATTGAGCGAAAATCTGTCGTTTATCATTTGACTAAATACTTTCTGGGTGTATTCATCAAACGTTCCAGCTTCATGTTCAAATGCAAATGCCTCCGGTGATACCAATGTAGCCATTAGACCGGCATTATCATCTGTATACGGTTGATCGAGATTTTCAATACCTATTTTACGTATTTGTCGACGTTTCTATTCAGCAAGCAAAAGAATTTTCTTTATATACGAATGTTAACGAATTTCTTACAGCAAGAAAGATCATTGGCATTTTAGCTAAACGTTTACACACAACCACTTGTGTTAAAGGATCAGTACGAGGAGCCTGCCGAGCAAATATTCCTTTCATTTTAGATTTAATGTCGGGTGATGTGGGTGATGCGCCGTTTGGTTTCGAATGCGTTGGTGAATTTGATTGAGATTTATTCTAAAGAAACGATTTATATTTATAAGGCATTAAATATTTCCATACATGTTCTCGCGGGGTTTCTGCTTTCGACATTTTGCTTTTTGAACGCAATTTATTCCATTGTCTACGTAAGAAATTCGTTTTGAAGTATTTTTCCGCTTGAGAGAGGATATAAGTTGACAGTAAATGACATTCAAAGGTGAATCACAGCATTTATTACCAATAGGAACACTTCTGTCGACGTCATGGGGAATACTGAAAATATGAAAATATTCATCTCGCGCTATATTGATGTATTTGGCAGTTGACTATCGATGAAATAGGCATAAAAGGAAGGAAGGACACAATCATCGCCGTATTATGTTTGTAGAGGCTCGTTGTCAACAACGGCACTTCACATAGCAACGAAAGAATAATGGGTTGATGTGTATAACTGCAAAGTATGAAATATTATTAAGAAAAAGATGAAAGGATTGTATGATGAACTGAACCGAACCAAATCAGATTAATTCGATAGGATTCAAAAGAATTAATTTATCCTATTGAAAGTATTATTTTAATACTTACTTGCCTGTATTCAAATTTTGATACTATCGTACTTCATGCTTCGAGGAAAAGTTCATATGAACTTAACAAACGTACTGAATATTTTCAGCTTTGTTTTTTTTTACTATAGAAATCACAATTAACCACTGATTAATCTGCATCCAACATGAACTGCAATAAAGTATCATTTTGTTCAAACTCGAATGATGGCATTCCGCTCTGTGTTCTACTCAGACAAACAATTTAAATAATACATTAACTTTTAGTACTTGCGAGAACATTTACTATAGGAAAATCTTTTTGATTTTCCCATTTGTGATGAATGGTTTACAAAACCATTTTGAGCTCCAACATGTTTCAGATAGCTCGGAAGGAAATCCTTCTTAAAATGTAGAACTCATAAAGATTTGCAAAAAGAAAACACCTTGAATAGCACTGAGATTTTTTTGTAATGGATTTCATATAATTGGCCGATAATGTTCGATACAGATTAAATGTACACGAAATGCAACAGATTTTTTCGAACATCTCCTGTTTTCAGTGCATATTCATGAACAAAATCGATTCAAGCATACAAGAAAGGTGTTTTGACTTTTTTGCTGAAGGGTGTAAGGGTGAGGGGACAAGAATCAAGTAAGAGTAACGACAATACTTGAATTTCACTTTCAAGTTTGACACTATTGGCAGAATTAGTTCACAACACTTTCCAATATATGCAAAGAAAAATAAACAATGAAAATCAACTAACCACTGCATGTCTCATACCTTGCCATGTCAAGGACATTCTATATAGGAATAAATATATTTACTTATTAATTTTAGTCTCGTTATTCACTAACAAAATGAGTATCCTTAATCCTTGTTGGTAATTATAACAAAAAGTAAACCACAAACGAATGTCATACTACTCTGTTTGGATACGAAATGTGATTATTATACTATGCTATCACGTCATGTACTTGTAATCCATCGCCACGTCTGCCTTATTACGCATATGAGTTCTGCAGTGCATATGTAACTGGTCGGCGATCATCAGTAATACTTAGCACATGCTTTTGTTGTTAGTATTTCTACATTTGGCCTTAGAGAATGAATAAATGAAGAAGAAAAGAGTGAAACGACTTTAAAAATAACATTCATTCGTTCTACTACCAACTCAGACGTAATCCACATAACATCGTTGTCTTGTATTGTTTGCGAAATTTTTTTCTTCTCATCAAACAAAACGATTCCAAACATGTTTTCAAAAAAACAGGTACAACTAATTTAGATCGATCGATACGATTTTAATGATGAAAGTATATCATCAATAAGTGTAACCTTGAATTTCATGAGGAGAAAAGACATCGAATTTCTCGATTGTACTATTTTCCTATTAGGCAAAGGCGGATATATAGTAGGAAATGTTGTCGATTGCGAATCAATGCACAATATCGGTATGAAAAACATTTCGATTTGTTATTATTGTTATTATAAACGTACGTAGAGGAGAGAAAATGAAATTTTTATGTATATAGGCACACCTTTCGATCAGCGAGAATGTTTGTTCTGCTTGGTTTGATCCTTCGGACATATATTTAGTCATTTTTTCTTTTTCGTTTTTGATATAATCAGTGCATACCAATATTTCCTCGATTTTTTCATATTTGTGATCGAAGGTGTATTGAAAGAAACCGAAAAGAAAAAAGAAATAGCCGACGCGTATATATCATCTGAGTTTTACGAGTGAATTTCGTTGGAGAAAATGAGTACTAGCAAATTAAATCAGGTAAGTCAAGTACAAGTCAAAATTTTATTACCACTTACAAGAATAAACTCGTAAAAAGATTAGTAAAAACGAAGAAGAAAAAATATCACAGAAGCAAATATTTCGATTACTACGAAATCTGTCAGAAATGTATGAGGAAGCAGCAATAGCACGACGAGACTCTTTCATTACACGTACAGCATCTATGTCGATAGGGGAAAGGCCAGAATCTTTTTCACAACCAAATCCCGCAGTAAGTTTTCTGATTGAAAAAATTCTATTGACTTTAATTTTGTTTATGACGTGCCGAGAATATCCTTTATAATTATGTTTTCTAGTCAAATTCGACGGAGCAAAGCCCAATGCGCGGTATGTCAACAACGGAAATTGATCTGGAATCAGTTCTTCAAGTACGTCGACGACGTTTATCGGTAACAACACCTCAGGCATCTCAAGATGCGCATCGGTACACTGATGTGATTTTCTTAAAAGTCGAAAAATCGAATGATATTTTGAAAGAAGATGCTCGATGCATCTTTCACGGTATTTCTGTCTTTTTTTCCTTTACATGAAACTGTATTTAGGAATTGTAGGTGATTATCATGTTCTAACTGATATTTTTCAAAAATATACATCACACATCAAAATCCATCATGCAGATCCGGATATGATTAAAAATCATGATCGTTTATCAGGAAAGATTTACACAACGGTCGAGTTGCCAACTATGTCATTGATTGAAGTTTTGGAAATTTTGCATAAACATTACTTTTCCATCGTGGCCAATTCAACTAATTTTGGACCAACGACAAAATTACAAGAATTTATCTTATTACGAAATAAAGATGCACATGATTCAGCTCGACCATTGCCGTTGATTGATACAAAAGCACATTGAATTCATTTGAACAGCACACATGAACAGAACTGAGTTTACCCGTTTTTATAAATAGAATTTAGTGTTATTCTCAAAACATTAGTTCTTCTTCTTCTTTTTCTTCTTTATCGTCATTTTTTGTCTTTTCATTCGTATTCTTCTTGTAGATCAAATAATACGGATGAGTAACGCAGGCAGTGTTGATCTCGAATCTGTTCTCAATGTTTGCCGACGAACATTGGCATCCATTGGTGAAAAGTCGCCAAATCGTTATCAACCTTACTATACAGACACGATTTATCTAAAGCGTGAAGATAGCTCCAATTCGTTACTTTCGATTGAATCGAAAGTTCTTATTTTTGGTGAATTACAGCTTCTCTACTCCATATTCGAACGTTACACTTCGAATATAACGATTTACGAAGATGAATCGCCCACTCGACGTTCATCGTCACCGCCGTTAAAAAAAAGCTTTTCCACAGTAGACGAAGATGATGCTAATGATGAAGGTCTACCTGTTGTCTCGACTGTTCGCCAAACTTCAATCACATCATCGAAGGATTCAGCGAGTCCACCGAAAGCACCTGGTAGTCCTGTTCGAAAACAACTGAATTCAATCGGCCGATCTCAAACTGTTAGTTCACTGACGAGTACTTACTCATCGATTAGTCTCGAGGGAAAGAACTATGGATGTGTCGAGCTTCCCAATACATCCATCATTGAAATCTTAGAAATTCTGCTACGCACTCGAATGGATTTAGTTGATGTGTCGAGTGATTACGATGATAAAAATGTTCTTCATCAAAATTTTGTTTTCTCAAAAACTCGGCCCGTAGCTCAAAAACCTCGACAAACTCTTTCGCGATCCACCTCATTCGCAGGAAGTTAAACTCTTCAAATGAAATTCTTCGACGACGGCAACAAAATACTGGCTGTTTTATATTTCGAATAAATTAATCAAACATTACCATGTATCTCTGACGAAAGATTAATTAGTTTTTCTTTCTCCCTTTCCCCTCATCACAGTCCAGACTTTGACAAACATATTTTCTACGCTGCCGGGTAATCATCTTTCTCATTTGTAAATAAAAATAGCTGATTATATTTATATGCTCCTTTGGACAAAGATAATTTTTCAAATAAAGGAAAAGGTTTTGTTGTTTTCTTTGCCTGTTAGTTTTGTCGAAATGAGTCGTGACGTTTTTTGTAAGAAAAGAAAAAAGGTTTTCTTTTCATACAAGTTATGTGAAACAAGTTGCTTGCCTTTGCAAATCAGTCATTTCTAATGTAGATCGCACGTCTCGCGAGGGAGAGAGGAGAAAAAACGTAAAGAGCAAAACAAGAAAACGAAGGACAATAAGTTATTGATGATGTGTGAATATATGTGAGTATATTTTCTAGAGGCTTTTTCTCCTCCTGGTTCTCAATTGGTTCAATCAAAAAATGAAAGAGGTTTACAAATGAACTTGATTCCCTATGGAAGGAAAAAGGACCGTGCGGACAATAAAGTCAACGGATGTATGTAGGCATCGAATATAATAAAGTGGCAATATATAATGAATTAACTTATTAGAATAAATGTTGTCGAAGGTCGTGTTGCACATATATTAATCAAATAAGATACAAAGTCTTATCACCTTTTCTCTTCGATGCGCATCTACTGAAACTAAGCTTCTCTCGTCTAATAATGATGAAGTTTATCATTGGGGATAATCACGTTTCATTGAAATAATATTCAATGTTTCCTAACTCTCCTGTTGACATACTTAGCAGATCAAATAGATTTTCTATCTGTATTTTTCATTACATATCTATAGAGACATAATCAGATTGTGCAAACATCCTCGTTTGTTTTGACTCCGTTATGAACTCTCTCGACGAACATATCAAATTTCGACGTTTTCATTTCTTTCTATTTTGATGATTTCTAGACAGGAGTTTGTCACGTAGTTTTGTTTTCCCTCTTATATCGTTCGCATACAAACAAACATAGCCCGCTTTCTTATACGCATGAATACTTTAAGTAAAAGTCCAATCGAGATAAATTTCTTTTTCGGTTCGTTTTGTAAATCCGATTAGGACTGATCGTCCTCGAAAAGTTCACTCAATAACACGATTTCATCGTTAGAAGTTTTTCTCTCGTTAGACCTATGTTGCATGTCGTTTTATCCATATTATGCTTGTCATTATGATCAATATCGCACGTATGATAGAAATTAATCGTGTTATTCTTCTTGTAATATTAGTCTTGCCAGTGTTACCGCTCCTGATGATTGCTTCCGTTTGTATGTGTGTGTGTATATATATAAATATATGTTCGTGATAGTAGAAGGGCTAGGGCGATGTTAAAAGGAAGCAAAAGCATCACTAATAAGAAGAGAAAACTTTTCCGTTGTTCTCTCCTTTATATATTCTCCTTTCCTTTTTAAAGAACTCTTTTTGTCTGTTGTCTTCTTCGACAAAACCAATGATAGAGTGTTTTGTTATGTGCATGTGTATGTGTGTAATGTAATTCGATCAAAGCCAAAGGGAACACGAGCGCCTAGACGAGTTTCAGAGCACGATACATCAATCGCACAGTGAATCTTGTTTTTCTTTGATAGTATTAGAGAAGTAGTAGTTCAAAGACATTGACGAATGCACTAAGCGAAAGGACGAAGTCAAGGATGAAAATGGCAAATCTTCCTGTATCAATGTAAGTATGTTTTCAAGCTTGATCAAATCGTTCAATCGACCGATGGATCGTTTCGTTCATTCGTTCGTTCGTGTTCTTCGTGCTAAGAAAATCTAGTGAAGAAGAAACTTCTCTACAATTATTTCGTCATTAACATTTCTTTCTTATTTGATTAGTCGTTCGAAATGAAACATTGACTGTCACAACACAAAACAACAGGCATTTATGAGGCTTTCCTTCTTTCGCGTTCAATTGATCGTTTATAAACAAATATGCAGTTATCGTCTAGATCCGATTAACTCAGACGTCTAGTTCGATCTCGTGATTTCGATACTCTCTCATTAAAATCTTCTCGATCAACGTGCAGTTTAGTGAAAAACTGAATGTTTTGGATGATTTAAAGCCGATCTAATCATTGACACACCATCATCATCAATGAATGCATGACACCATATTAGATGAATCGTAATGATGAAGAAAAAGAGCCACTAGAGAATATCGATCGACTGGAAAGAGAAAGGATGAGTAAACAGATAGACATTTAGGAAGAGAATCTAGCAAATCTTTGTCAACAGAGAAGAAAATGAATCAGACTTGTCTTTCTTTTTCTTCTGTGAATACAAATCCGTTAAATAATATAGTCGTTTTCCATAGAAGTAGTTTATTAATTTCGATTTTTTTATCGATATTCAGTGGCGTAGATATGAATACTCGAGAATTCTTTAAACAGGCAATTGTCAAGACAAAACTTATTATTCATAAGAGCAGAAGCGAAGTTCGACCTTATCTTTCTCCTCTTGTTGTCGGTCGTGAAGTGTTGAAGTGGGTGGAAGAATAGATTTTCCTCACACTAAAATAGAAAAGGAAGAAATTAAAAGGGAATTTTCAAGGTTAGAAGTGCTTCATTCTCCTGTTGAATAAATATTTCTTCGAAAACTATTATTTTCTCCTTTGTTTATTTATCATGAGTTCCGAATGTAATCAGTTTGTTTTTATTTAGCTGAAAATATGTAAAAACAGTAAGATGATACATAAGATCGAGCAGGTGATCGGACTATTTTCATTTACAAGTACTGATTCAATGATATCTACTGAGACAGCTGCTGTATATATCTAAGCATATATATATGTGTCTGTGTTTATTATTGCTCCTCAGTGGTAGAACAGAAAAACGATTTTTTTGGGTCGCTTGAAAAACGACTGGCACTTGAAGATGAGAAAGAGAGAGAGAGAAAAGAGAGAGGGATGCAGAAGAAAAGCATGCAAATGTATATGAAACAAAAAAAAAGAGGAAAAGAGAGTCATACAGATGAAATAAGGAAAAAGAAGAAGTGCATCGTATGCGAAATATCTCTAACCGATGGTTCGTATGTAATCAGATTCGACATTTGTGAACTCTGACGGTTTCCACATGCTCGATTGAATATGAGTAAGTGAATGCGTAAATAACTGATTCTTCTAATCGATCAGACAGATACTTATGGAAATCATCTCGCTTCGGACAAAATCTTCTGATCAAATCGATGCGAAGTTTCGTTTAATTTAATGTGTATATTCCAGATGATGAAATGAGTGACGATTCTCAAGCATCTTCAACATCGTCGCATGGTGTTGATCCACATCTCGTTCGATATGGATCAATATTTCTTCTCATTGTTGGCACATTTGGAAATGTTCTTTCGTTCATTATTTTCTCACATGGCACACTTAGAAAATCGTCCACCTTTCGTTATCTTGCATTACTTTCTCTAATGGATTTATTAGTACTTTATTCTGGTCTGCTCGATTTATTTCTTACGATTGAGTATGGTGGAGCATTTTCCTTGCGAAATCTTCATCCAATCACATGCCGTCTACACACATTTATCACCTACTGGTCTCAACACTGTTCATCATGGATTCTCTCATTTATATCCGTTGATCGTGCTGTTGCAACTAATTGCATCCAGTTCGCTCGAAAGTTTTGTACACCGCGTTCAGCTGATTATATCGTCACAAGTATTTTAGTTGTGATTGCATTACTTAATTGCCATGAACTAGCTTACCTTCGTATTCAAGACTCCGATTCCATTGAATTGAGTGCAAACACCGATGACTATACAACACTATCACCTGTACGCGCAAGTTTGTCGACTCCGGCGTCATTCATAGCAAAAGATTTTCAACCGACGATGAATCGATACAAACGTAATCTTGAGTCATCGGTGTTGCTGTTGACAATCTGTGATAATCCTCAATGGAATTTTCTATGTTCAAGAGAGAAGAGAGACGTGGAATCACCGTCATCATCTTCTTCGACATCAGTGTCCAATCGATTTTTCTACTCATCGTTTGTCACATCAATGCCAAATGTAACAGCATATATATCACCATTCGATTCTTCGACAACAACACTTGCAGTGCGTCAGTGTGCTGCGACAAAAGGAAGTCGATATGAATTCTTTTGGGATCATGTAAGTATCTTTTTGATTGAACATAAAAAAAGGAGAAAATAATATAATTTTTCTTTCTTTTTTATTGATTAGGTTTGGGAATGGGTCGATGTGTGTCTCTATGCTTTAATTCCATTTACTGTTATGAGTATTGGAACATTTTTAATCGTTTACCGCGTTTATTACCAACAACGACGTATAAATCGAGTGGGTCGTACTGCCCAACATAGTCAAGCCGGTGGTGGAACGACAAACAAAGCCAAAAGTTTATTCTACTTGCTTTTCACTCTGAATTTATTGTATTTCATTCTCGTCAGTCCAGTTGTTTTTGTAACAACAATTTTATTTCGTGATCCCAATGAAGAAGTCGCTTATCCACGTTTTAAAGCTATCATTTACTTAATGCAATACTGTAATCATTCATTAAATTTTATTTTCTATGGTAAACAACCGCTACAATCGAAAAGCAAATGTGTATTTCTTGTTTTTCTTTCAGGTATTACTTCTCCGCCATATCGCCGAACGTTATGTGAATGGTTTGAATTACTTCTACCACATCTGCCTCAATGTTTCCAACGAGCAGTTCGCCGACGATCGAAAACGAATAGTCAACCGCGATTGAGTCGCTATCAAAGTAATACACCTCAACAAATTCGTGTCTCGCTGAAAACTGATCAAGTCAATATAAGTACAACGGTCGAGGATATTCGTTCGACGAACAGAACTCTTCCGAAAGAATGTGTAAATCTGCTGTCAAAATAAGCACTTTTGTTAATATGACAAACATTTGAAACTATTCAATGTAGTTACTTGTTGAGCATATGTTTGAATTTTGAAAAATTCGCTGTGTATTTTTTGGACAAAAGTAAAGCCTCGTGAAAACCATTTCCTTCGAAATGTTCACAAAAATTGGCCTCTCAAACTTTCTTATTATACTCGACGACCTGGAACTCCATTAGAAAATCCATTTAAATACCAATACGTGTGAAACAAAAGACAATGTTATTGACTAATTATAGAAGCATGGAGGAAGTCATCGAATAGAGTTTGATCTCTAGCAGAACAATTGCTCTACTCGAAGTTTCATACGCGTGGAAATGCTTCTAAAGGCATAATGTAATTGTTGTTTTGTTTATTTTCTCGTTCAGCAGAAGAAGACGAAAAACAAGAGAAGAAAAACACAATACAAACAACAATGACATACTCTCGTGAAATGAAAGTAAAACAAACTGGAGAAAGAAATGTTGGTTGATGTATACAAACAGATTTCTAATTTTCCTTTTTCTTTCCGCTCAAGTCCCATCGTTAGAGAACAAAAGTAAAGAGCGAAAAGAAAGAAAAGAGCATAGATTATGTACACTCTTGATTGAAATAAACACAAATCAGTCATTTATTTATATGTCTAATGTCGTTTATTATCTCGGCGAGGTGGTGAAGCATTTGGAGATACACGGCGACGTTTATCACGAGGTGATGGAGATCGACGTTGAGGACGATTTGATGATGTGTTATCATTATTATTAGATCGAGATTTCTAAAGAAGAGCAATGGAAATCGGATTTCAAAAGGAGACATTTGAAAGACATACGGAATCTGTAGGATTGTTGGAATTGCGGGCGATTTCATCGAGATCTCGTTTTCTACGTTGTTCCTCTCGTTCAACATTGCGTTGCTCTCGTTGACGCGCTCGTTCGACAGTCTAAATTACAAAATGAAGCATCGTTCTCAAATGAAAACGAACTCACTTGTTCGTCAGTTAATGGTAACCAATAGATAGCCGGTTTAGCTTTTGTTTTTCGGAAATAATCATCGAGTCCTTTCGGTGGTGGTTCGTTACTTTTTACTGAAATTTAGAAAAATATGATTTTAACATATAGAGAACGGTCGACTGGCAAAATACCTGTTTGTTCTTCGATGACTTCACGTTCGGTTGGAGATTTATCTTCTTGTTGTTGAAGTTTAGGTAAATCCCATTCACGTACATCAGTGTTACCACTCACACGAAGTTTTTTGTTGGATTTTGTATCATTTGTAGGACTGGCCGATCGGCGTAAAGATGTTTTGTTATTTGAATTTGATTTTTCTTGAACCCGACGATTATTTGCCGTATCCATCGCACCTAAATAGATGGCTTCAAAAACAGCTCGAAATCATTCTTTGTTCTTACCAATAGACATCTGATCAGGTGGTAAATCATGTGTTTTACTGAATTCGAACTAAAAGAGAATATGTTGCGGTTAGAGACATCTGTCTGACGTGATTGAGAGCAAATTATACTTCATCTTGTCGACCAAATCGGACAGATAATGTTTTAGGATTCGTTGATGGCCATCGACAGCCGTCAAGATGCTCACGAGCATCCTGGGCTTCTTCTAAAGTTGTATACTAAGAAAAGAGATCGAAGTTGTACAAATTCATCGAAAGAAAAGAGAGATCCTACGGTAACGAAACATTGACTTTTGATCTTATCAAGCCAAAATTCGCCATCTACTAATGTTCCATATCGACCGAGAAGTTCTTTTAACAATGGAATAGTAAATGGACGTGTGAGACCACGAACGTACAGGATTGTACTGGGTGGTTCAATCGTCGCTGTGGCATCTTTGACGCGTACTGGTTCGTCCATCATAAGAGCTAATTTTATAATAAATGAACGAAATATTTTTAAAGTATTTTCTAAAAAATCTTATGTATCTACCATTTGTTTTTCCATCGAGTAGGATCTTTGATTCGTACGAAGCGACACGAATAGGCGGTGCTGGTGCTTTTTTCCGAATATCGGAACTATTCTCAACGAGATCATCATTTAATGATGAAGAATCCGCCTAGAAGAGAAGAGCAAAAACAGGATAAATATTCAATCCATTATTGATTTACACGTACAGTAACGTCAATGACAACCGTTCGATTACGTTGCTGTTTTTGATCAGCTAATTCGCCAATAGTCATGGAATCACCCAAAAGATAATCATTGCCCACACCTGTGTCAAGTATAGGTTGATTGCTTTGGTCGTTATCATCTTCGTGATCGAGATCATTTGCCGATGCTTCGAGTTCATCAGTTATTATTGATTCAGGAGCTAAACTAATATCCGGAATGAGTGTCTAAATCGAAGAGAAACGATGAATTGCTGATGAAATTGAAAAATGAAATGAATACTTTAAGAACATCTGAGGATAGATTCATTCGATTGCTTCCTGAGGAGCGATTTAAACTTTTCATCAATGATGATGACGACGTAGATGATGTTTGAGAACGACTCGGTTTGAGCTGTTGCTGTACTGCAGCTTTTTCTGGTTGCTGATCGTTCTTGTTCGCATTGACAGGTGTCGATTCTTCTTCTAGTAAAATGCAAAAAAATCAGGTTTTTTTACAAATCCCATGTGAAAAAATTACTCTTTGGAGTTTCTTGCTTTTCGACTACAGGTGACTCGCTCTACAATAAATGAAATCTTATGACGAGATCAATGAGCATAAAATGATCTATCATACTTGTTTCATTTCATTTCCAGCTGAACCGCCTGTACTCTCGGCTGGTAAATCTACCTTTGATGACTTTTCAATTTGATTATTAGTTTTACTAAAGCAGAGTTTCATATAATTTCAATGATTTAGGCAGAAATTCTTTTTTTCCGAAACATACTTAGTATCGTCATTCGTGGTTGGCGCAGCCGAGTGTTGTTCTTCTTCAGTCGCTGACGACTGATTAGTTTGTGGTTGCTGAGGCGATGGCGAATGATGCCAACGTGATTTAGGTGATTTCGATCGACTCAAACGATGTCGATCACCGGATAACGGGATTTCTTTAATAACAGACTCAGACTTGACACTACTACTGTCTACAGATGGTGAACGTGAATCTCCTCTTTCTTCTCTTACTTGTCCTAGATCTTTTTGTTCCTCCTCATGACTCTTACTCACAAACGAATTCACCTCTAGGTTGTTGCCAACGATGCTACCCGGTGTTGGATGGTCAATCTTGGGTTCGCTGACGACTGGTGGCTGAACAATTTCAGGTGCAGTAATCTGAATTGGTGGAGGATTATTTGCTGGTACGGGTTGTTGACTTTCGATCGGTTGAGAATCAATAGATGGTTTTTTACTTCGAGTTCGAGGTTTTCTCTCGGGCGACATCGCAGGAGCAGCTGAGGGGGCAGTGACATTTGTTGGAGTATCGACACTGGCACGTTGCTGACGTGTAGCCATTGGTGAGAATTGTTGTGGCGGTGGCGGTGCTTGTTGTTGTTGTTGTAAATGGGGTTGCTCATACATTGGATGTCGGTTTCCCGGTGAAACAGTTAATTGTTGAGGTACAGGTATTGTTGGCGACGGAGATGCATGAGCACTTTGTTGCATCGTTAAATTATACACTGGTGGATATGGTCCAGCCGCCTACAATGATGCTTAATTCGAAACAAATCAAAACTCTCAAGTATCTATCTTACCTGATCGTGGATTTGTAAATTTGTATACGTCAATGGTGCTTCAGCACTATGCATATGTTGATTATAAACCGCTGGACTTCCACCATGTGGTGTCATATAATTATGTGACGATGCTGTAGAATTATTCAATGAAGGTCGATTCATATCATAGGATACAACAGGTGATTGTTGTACATTTGGAAAATTGTTATTTCGCCCATCGAAACTCATTGAATCCATAGTTGATGTTGTCGATGCGGTTTCCAATGCAGCTTGTTCGTATTCTTTTTGTAAAGCAACACGTAACTTAGCTAGAAGATCTTTTTTGTTGCCTGATGTTGGACAACCACGTCGTTTGAGTTCAGCACGTAACTCAACGTTTGTCATCGAATCAATTCGTGTTAATTGATTGGTCAGTTGTGCTTCTGCCATTGTATCGCAGAACGAAACGGTGTCCGACAGATGATCAAAATAAGATTAATATATCTAAAAAGACAGACTGATCACGAAAAAGGAACTGGCTGAATAGTCTATGCGACCATCTCGTTTTCTTATTCACTCAAATAGAAAGAATTAGGAGCTGTGAGTAATGAATAAGAATAGAGTGAACAAAAATCAAACTAGTCTAAATCGCTTTGGGAGGACGATTGATATTTGTGCCAGGTTTATACAGTAGTTTAAAGATAACCACGGCTGCAACAGCTATCACAATTGGAATAACCCATTTAGTCCAAGAACCACCAGCGTCATTACCAGCACTACTCGCACTACTACTCGGATTGACAATCACAGGCCGAGACTAAAAACAGCAATGTAACAGGTAAAAAAGTCTTGCTAACAATGTGGAAATGACTGACTTTAGACGGCTTCTTGACATCGTCCTGAAAAAAGGAATCAAATAGATAGATAAATTCAATTTGATGAACTTACAGGATGAAGCACACCAATTTGATATCCTTTCATTTGTTCACGTGCATCTGTACTATGACCTACATCTTCAAATGCACTCGTTGCGTCTTTGCCATGTTGCTCTTTCAAAACTTCTTCTCCTCCTGGATGCTAAATTCATATTTGCAAAGTGCAAACATCTTTTATTTCAAATGATAGTGTGAATTACTTCATCGAGAAATTTCGTTATGTCATAAACACGATTATCAATGACCATAATGCATTTATCCTTATCTATCGCTCGCTTCTGTATTTCAGCCATTGTCAATACTTCCTTATCAGAATCGTCGTTGCTCGATGCCATTGTTCCGAATTAAGACAAACAAGGAATACTAATGACAAATAGATCTAAAATTGGAATCAATACTGATTTTGTTTCGTTTGTTTGAACAAAAAAAAAGCGGTCTCTGTTCTTCCGTAGCCATAATGGTATCACTTGTCCTCTATACAATAAAGCCAATCGATCGTTCGTCCATCTCTGCCAACCAATCTGGATTTCGGAAAATGGTATTTTCTGTCAAATACGATAATATTTACTTCATTTCGGATGTATATGAGATAATGTTTTTGTTTCCAAGTGAATTGCGAGAAAAAAAATGATAGTATCGCACAATAGATGTCGCTCTGACCAGTTATATATTTGATGATTTCGCGATATTTAAGGTATCATATTACTGGCAACTGACGAGTAAATTTATCATACGAGAAACGTGCTTAGTCTCAATAAATATTATGCTTTCCGATCAAAATCACATTGAACAAGAACATTGATGACGACAATTTGAAGTAATTTGATGAATATTTTAATACTTGTCTTCTTAATATTGATCTACGATTGCATTTGAACGGGTATTTTTCCTTTCAATTCTTAATAGCATTGACTTAAAAAGTATTCACGCTACCAAGAAAATCATACTTGCTGACATTCACATATTTCAGACAATGTCCTCAAACAACGTCTGCTGCCTCACTTTTAAATTTTTCGGGCTTTGCAAACTAATTCAGAGAGCGAAGTCACACGATTTCTGACATACCACCACATACACTCATTAAACTTTTCAACAAAATATTTTTTACATCGAATGATTATAAGGAGAGGAAATTGTTGCTTGATGAAAACTATTTTTATGAGCAACAAGCAATTAAAACTGCGAATCAAGTTTTCCTTTTGTTATCTACGACATTTTCTATTTGAAAAGTAATCTTCAAACTGAATTCAATATATATTTTCCTCGTTGAAGTGTCATCTCAACAAAGAAAACAACGTTGCTAACTTTGTGAAAGGAAAAAGAAAGTATTTTCTGCTACGGGTGTGAAAAAGAAAGGAAAGAGAAGACAATATTGGTTTTCTTCTTCTTTTCTATGTTGAACTAATAGAAAAAAGAAATAAAATATTGGATATAAAACCCATGTTCGATGCTGACTATTAAAATACAATGCAACGTCATGAACAAATTATTGAACTTTCGGATCATGTTAAAAATAAACTTAAACAGCATCATTCTCCCGCAGTCTCGTCACCATTCATCACCTCGTGCGATGAATTCGTAGAAGTTGATAGCACTGATGACGGAAATGGTAACTAACGACAACTGATTTGAACTTTTCGAGCAATTTCTTTTGTTTAGATTCTCTACTTGTTACATCTGACCCTGTGAATCGTGCACGTAGTGAAACATTTACAACTTATCGTGTTGACCAACCGTCAGCGGCATTTTTTACTTATGAAAAGTCCAAACCACCTTCGCATATCTCCGTTCTTCATGAAAAGTACGCTAAACAACATGTATGCGAAGCGTGTGTCCATCGTGATCATATTATTCACTATGAACGTCAGCGTCTCTTACGTCTCTATGAAGAAAATAAGCAACTACATGAGCAACTGAATTCTTCTCGTTTACTCAATCAGCAATATGAAAATGATATTGAAAAATTGAAAATTCATTTACGAAAAGTGAATTCTCATCTTTATGAATATCATGTGACTTATGATCAGCTCAAACAAAAAATTGTCGAAGAGAAAAAACAAGATGAACACGAAGATAAACAAGAATCAACAATGGAACATTTAAAAAGACTTCGACATGAAGTGAATATGTATAACCGCTTAGTTGCCGCAAAACAACAACACGAACAGAGAAGAATTTGAATTTTCTCCTTGAAATTTATATTGTACACAAAAAAGAAAGATCAAGAAATAAATAAATGATTAATTTAAATCAAAAAATGTCGTGATTTTATGATTATTCCGCGCTGTTGTTGTTGTACTTCTTGATTTGGCCAGCTTTGGTTTCGATTTGAATGTTGTGCTACTGACACGTCGAATAATTGGATTTGAATGTCCACCGAATTTGTTGAATGTTCGTTGAAAGTTTGTCTGATTGCGAATGATTGGTCGGACGAGATAATCCTCGTTTTCCTCTTCGTCGTCATCCAATCTTCTAACTTTTTGCTTTTTCATTGTGGGTAAATCGAGACTTGACGTTGTTTCTTGAATGATCGAATGAAGGATGTCTATGGCTGATGAACTTGTCGCAAATTGTTGAGTAGAAAATGTTGTCTGTTCAGGAATATTCGTTAGATCGATCATGTTGGAATCTGTGTCATCATCTTTCGAACTTTCATCATCAAGTACTGCACGACTTTTCAATTCCTGTGCTCGAACATGACTTTTTTCTGTCACATCACTTGATCGTGGACTCTGTGTGTCAGAAGAAGTATTACGAAGTAGAAGAGATTCTAATTGATTGATACGAGATTGATAGGATTCGAGTTGTTGACGAACAGATGCTAATTCTTGTTTGGCATTATCTGCGGATGTTGTTTGGCTAAAGAGAAAACGAGACGAAGTTGGAAAAGGGAAGCATTGAGTGCGAATAGTACCGTTTGATTGCTTGACGCTTGTCTAATTGCATTTTTTCACATTGTGCGGTAATTCGATCGAGATTTCGAATTAAATCTTGTTTATCTTCGGACATTTTACTATGTTCTTCTTTCAGGATGACATTGTAGCGTATTAATTCTTCAATTAGACGATCTTTATCTTGTACTGTTTGACAGGACCCAATCATCTTCTGTAATTCCGCTTTGAATGTACTGGCGAGGCCTATTTCGATTGAAAACAAATTTTTGGTTCGAGAATGAAATGAAAAATCTTACCTTTGTAAATCAGATCGATATTTCGATATTCGTTTAACTTCATTTGTAAGATTTTGATTTGTTCATCTTTTTTATTGGATAAATCCGCATGTCTAGTAGCATGAAATGCAGACTTTTTCAAAAGAAAATTACGACTTTTTACTTGTATTGTTCCATTAACATACGAATTTTTGTATCACGTTCACTGATCATCCGTTGATGTTTATTTGATTGCTCACTTAACTGTCTTCGTAAATTGGTCGTGTCATTCTCGAATGCTAGCCGTCGTTCTTCGCTCTACTCAATGAAATAAAAAGATACAAATGAAAGAAATTTGAATGTCATATCTACCTTTTGCAGATCACTGAGAGTTTTTCGACAACGCTGTTCACATTCGAGTACTTTAGTTTCTTGTGTTTCTAGTCGACTGAGAAGCTCGGAAGTATCATGACCACCAGATGGCATTTGTGTTTGGCAGAGTGGTTCCATTAAATACAATTTTCTAATCAAAAGATAACTTCATGTTAAAGAAAAACCTCGAGTATAACGAGGTGGACTTACTTTAGGATTTGTTTGGGTGTAATCGCTGTTCGACATTGTGGACAAGTCTTTTTTCGTTCATCAACTATCCAGCGATCCAAACATTTATCATGAAACAAATGGCCGCAAGGTGATGCTGAGATAGTTGATGAGAGAAAAAATCGATCCAGACAAATTGTACAAGCGATATTCATAGTTTGTTTCTCTCAGGGAAAACACTAGTTCATTGGAATCAATTCGAGTAGCTGTTTGGAAAATGTTTCAAAAAAGCAGAATGGCCAATACAATTCGAACTCTTTTTACGAAAATTTGCCAATGATGATTTGAGCATAGATGGCGCCATCACCGAGTTACTGTTCACTCGAAAAATACGATTGATTTCATCTCTTTTCACAAACAAATGTAATTGACGTTGACACAACGGTGTAAATGAACGAGATAAGTGAAAAATTTCCCATTCTTGCGTAAGAGAAAACGATTTTACAGACGAGACAAACAATGCTCATACGGTTTTGTGAATATGTCCCTTTTCGTACAGCTTGGAGACTTCCTAAGAAGTCCTATGACAAAATAAACTATTGATAGATGTTCTATTGATGTTCCAAGTGCTGAAGAATAGTATTTGACTTTAAAAGAATCTCAAAACTCAATTGGTTGCTCCTTCGCCCAATACTCCCCTTCTTCTTTTCTCCGATCCAATTCAAATTTCATGCACATCACACACTATTACTTTTATCTTTCTTGCACTCCTTTTACAGATAAACATCACTCTTCTAATTGTTTCACATGGAAGAAGTTGACAGAATTTTAATCCAAAGTTTACGTGATATTGGATGGTAAGATCTCGACAGAAATGTGATCCACTCAACGGACATGGACTTTTCTTTAGTCAAATAGATGATGCACTTCAAAATGTCGGTGAATTCGATGTTAGCACCCTGTTTGCCTGTGTTTCACAATGTCTTCAGCTGATAACTGGAAACAAAGAGTTGCCTACTCGTTTGCCGGCAAATATTTCTACGCGATTTAAAATTTGTGGCGAACTAGCTCAACTCTGTCAGGTTGTTATATTCCACCATCGAGTATTCTGATTGAAATTGTATTTATTAGTCTAATGGTTACAAGGGTGATATTGGTTATCAGACATTTCTGAGTATCAATGAACATGAAACGAGAAAACTACTTAACTTTCTAATTGAAAAAGTGCCCAGAGAAGTGGCAGTGACTATAGCATCGACCACACTCGGTATCTATTAATCTGTTCAAAATGAATTTCACTCATTTGATCTACGTAGATCCTTGGGATGCTCTTGATCGTGTTATATCAAATAGAATTACAACTCAATTGACAGATTCAACATGGATAGCACATGATCTTGTTCTCGATCTTTGCCACGTTCCATTTTTCCATCCAGCTGCTGCATTTGCTCATAAATCGGTAAGAGTCGGCTTCTGATCAGAATGTTTCTCTTTCATAGTCTTGTGCTAGGGTTTTACACCAACGAATTGCTCTAAAATCTCTCATCTTCATGTTCCGCCACGCAATGGCAAAACTAAACTATCAGCAGGTAGGAATTTTATAGCATATTTTTTGTAAGTTTTCGTTCGATCATAGATTCCAGTGCATATGTTTTTGATCAAGTCGATATTCGCAATTTAGCTGACTCATTAATGTACGAAAATCAAGTTTTGTGTTGGATGGAAAAACAACGTGAATCGAGTTACTTAGTCTGTTCTTCTTGATTTTCTTTGCTACAATTTGAGAGATTCGTCTTGTTTAGATACCCGGTCAAGTAATCAAACAAGTGTTCTCCAAAGAACTTTGCAAACAAATCGAAGACGGTGATACAATTGGAGCGAAGTATGAATATTCCTATCATAATGAGGCGAAGAAGAAAAGTGATGATTCCTTGTTGACACGATCACGTTTTATGCATACCAACGCGCATGATCAACAAGAAAATGGTACTGAGGACAATTCCAAGCGAACTGTTGATCATACAGAAGAACTGGAAACATTGAAGGGTTCGATTAACGAAAACGAAGAACTTATCCGGCAGCTTGAAGCGCAGTTACAAAAATTAGAAGGAAGTATCAAGAAAGTAAGTGCACATCTCATAAAAAACAGTGCCTCCAGAAAATTTCTTTTAGTACGAAAAATTCTCCGATGAAACTAATGCAGAAATTGATACGATCAACAAAGGTTTAACAGTAAAGAAACAAGCAGCCACTTATTTGCTAGCAATCGATCCAGAAACGGGACGTTTACAAGTAGGAAAAGTTGTTCCTTCTTCATCTCTGGAAATGTGCTTGTTTAGAAAGCGATTGATAAACTAAAAACGAAATTGAGTACACTGGAAAGCCAATGGGCTGATGCGCGTGCTGGTCTTGTCGAACAACGTGATAAACTGCTTCAAGCACTGAATGATCGTTCGGCGAAAATGAATGAAAAATTAGCACAAATCAATGAAATGAAAGGCAAAGGACGAGCACTAATGAGCGACATCAAAGAAAAAGACGAACAATTAAGTCAACTTCAACGGGATTATGAAGCACACAAGGCATCCGTGTCGAAAAACGATCATTCGCGATCGTTTTTCACAAAGCAAATCTTGGAAATTGTTGCAAACACTAATAAACAAAAAGAAGAAATTAATAAAACAATCATCGAAACACGAATCCTACAAAAAGATATGAATCGATTGACAGAAAAACTCGAACGAACATTTCAAGTCGCCGATAGTCAACTGTTCAAAGTGAATGTCAACAAGTTTGTTCAGATGATGAGTTGAATGTTTGATTGTCTAGGACGCAAAGACAGATGAATGTGCGCGCCGATCGTATAAGATGTTAGTGGATTTCCATTCGAATTGTGATGTGATCTATAAAATCGTGGAAGACATTGGCGTTATCATTCGAGAAATTCGTGAACTAGAAGATCAGGTAAATGGGAAGTTGTTGACGGGAACAAATGATTGAAGTTTTTGTTTAGATCGAAGTCGAATCACAAAAGAATATGACGGCGAACTTAGAAAAATTGATTGGAGAGTATAAAAAGATTCGCGATGAAAACAAGGCGCTGAAAGGAGGGAAAAAATGATTGGCTCATGTTTTTCTTTTTATTTATGTTAGGAACAGTGATTTTTGTAGTGAAATGGTCGATCAAACACTTTTTAGCTGCGCAATGTGTGTGTGTGTGTGTGTATGATAATATGCATTTGATTTATTTTCTAATATATATATATATAATAAATTGACGAAGTGCTTCTGTTGATCAAGTAGAAGAATAAATGATGAGGAATGAATCCCACCTAGGTTTTTTCGAGATAAGAAGTAAACATTGATAGAAATTTATTTTGAATAATAAAGTTGGGTTTTAAGTGTGAGTGATGTGAACGCCACTATTAAAATTTACATACCAGCTGGAAATCGTAAAGTTCTTCTGGTTTCTTTCAAGTGTAACAATATGCAATAAGAAGTGTACTGCATCAAAAATATCTTGATTGAAAGAGAGTTAACAGTCGTTGTTCGTTCAACTAAGTAGTTTATTTTAGAGCAATGCGGATAACCTTTCACATTAAGCAGTGTCATGAGTTGCTTAACTCGACTTATATTATAAATGGACCTCTGACAGACTAATCTCAGTTCGAATATAAATAGATGTAGATCTATATAATCCTACAAGTTTAGGAATAGATAGGGATAGATTTAGTTATACCTGTGTAATACCGATGGACATAGGCTGACGTATAGCTCGACTGAGAGTATTCCTGAGACTATGTATAACAAAATATATTCCAAAGTATGTGTGGGAGTGTATTAGGAATGCGTCACTTATATTATAAGCCGAATTAGGCAGCTACTCAGGAGAGATATGAGAGAGAAAGAGGAACGAGTAAGAGAGGAAGAAGAGAGTAGCAGGTAAATATAGAATGAAATGAAACCGTTTTGTTCGTGTATTTTTATTCAAATTTGAATAAGGAAAATCATTTTTCTATTTTTATTTCTTTATACGTGTGCGTATTTATATAATGAAAACGAAATGAGAAGAATTAATTGTGTTGTAATTACAGTTACAGCATGGTACAAAGTTACGAGAACATATATAGAGGAGAATATTCGCTTCGTTTTTTGATTATCAATAAGAGAGGACAAAGATCGATTGAAAAATTACCAAAGAAACCGGATAAGTTCGAGAAAGTGCAAAAACATTCTTAAACATCAATAAAACTATTTCCGAACGTTGTAATTTTTGTTCCATCTATTCTAATGTTTTATCGTGCATATATGCACAAATTTATATCACAAATAAAAGTTTGTAATACAATGGGAAGCTTTCGATTTAATTCAGTTCTACTTGCAAATGAATAATCATTTCGTTATCGATGCGAAGCTAGCACAAACAAACGGTGTGTTAGCTAAAAACCTTTTTACTAAGTATGTCCCATCCATGAAAACTACACTATTCGACTCAGAATTTAATTCTGCATCGAATGGTGATGCTTTTATTAATGGGGCAAACTTTGAAAAAATCTTCACTTACATCTTTGTTTGCTTCCTATAGGTCTATTTATGATCCAAATAGAATTTTTCCAAAGTTTGCCCCGTGAATAGAAACGTCACCATTTTATGCCGAATCAAATTCTGATTCGAATGATATAATTTTCGGGGACCGGACTTATTCAGTAAAAAAGTTTTAAACTAACACATCGTTTGTTCGTGCTAACTCCATCGTGCTAGCTTCACGTCGGTACAGCAATGTTGTTGATTTGTGAAGAACGACAAATAAAATCGTCTTGTTTTTAATTTAGTATTTTTGCAAAAGCAAATGGATATAATTAACTGTATTGGTTCTTATTCATTATCACTCACCCAAATCTAATACATCTTCCACTAGCTCTTTACTAGAGATTCATATAGTTACTCGATCGAGAACTGTAAAAGATTAGTTGAATCATGGAAAAAATCGTAATGAAAAAGTCGAAGTATCAGGCTTTAGCTTATCGAAATGATTATTTGGTATAGGAATATTGTTATAATTAAGTTTCGTTTACATAATATAAGACAAACAGAAATAAAATTATGAGGAGAAAAAATCAATTAATATCTTCAAATTTTTCATATGAAAATGACGTTACGACACAATATGTACCCGCGATAATTTTCATATTACGCAAATTATTTCTACTTCCTTTCTCTTTTCACCTTTGTCTCCAGAAAAATGTTTTCGATGTTTAATCGAATGTTATGTGCAGTGATGTGATGATTTCTACATATTTCACATACCCAGGTCAACGAATCCGACACTGGACCACCCGATTGGATCTGACCGGATTCCTGGAAATCAGAGATGTCCACAGAGCACTTTTTTTTGCCTGCCCTGCCCTGCGCCCTGCAGTACCCCTGCCCTGCCCTGTTCTGCCCTGCAGGGCGAACACATTATATAACTATGACTATATAGTTAGTATATCTTGCGCAATATAATCGATAAAACTCAACATATGTAGAGCTGATAAATAGGATAGCATTCGATACATATATGTAAAAATAAACTTAGCAAAAGAATATTACCAGCTTTTTTAAATTTATCTCATAAAAAACTAAAATAAAAGGATTAGTGTTATTCATTTTCGATTGATCCTCATTTCCAGTATGGCTTGATTCGAGATGAAGTCCGATAAACAACTTTATGGGACAAAACGGATTATCTAGCATTAGGTTTGAAATCAACATAATACTTCCAGTTCGGTTGTCTAATAATTAATTTGGGAAGTACAGTTATTTATTCGACTAGTTACGACATCAGCGTTCGGGAAAAATGACGATTGATTAAAGATTAGTATTATCATTTTGATTTTTGTAGAAAAGAATTTGATTCAAATGAGAAATAAGTTTTTCTGAACAGGGATCTATTTTTAGAGTAGTAAAGAGAAGAAGACCTGACTAAATACATGTAGAAACGAGTCAAAACTTGTCTATCACAAGGATTTATTATTTTTCTAGTTGTTTGCACTTTGATCTCAGGAGAATTCTACCACTTCTTCTGAAGATCACTACGACTTCATCTAAAATTTATGTTATCTTCAAAGATCCTTTAAATCAACTGTTTAGTACAGTAGATTACGGACAACGTCTAAAAATGCTGAAACAGCAATAAAATTCCGTTATTATGAAGGAAGAGAAACTATTACTAAGGGTATTAAACAGCATTAGAGGTTTATTCGACCGTAAAATCGCGTTTTTTTAATATTTTTGATTATTTTTTAAGCAAAAAAGACTGTTTTAATGAATTCATGGTCCACATGTATAATTAGCAGGGCAGCCCTGCCTATTTTGGCTCTGCCCTGCCCTGTGGACATCTCTGCTGGAAACGGAATTGCATTGGAATCCGACTAGAAAAATACCGTCGGTTGTTGCAAATGTTATGAGCGATCTTTTTAGCTATGTTCTATGATGACCCTTAGAAAATCCAGGAAATCCATGTTTCGGATCCGTCGATTTTCTGTAGGATCTAATAAAATCCGATATTGGATCCGGCGGGATTCGATCGGATCCGAGTATGAGATTGTTCGACGTGGGTGCAATCATGCATATCTTTCAAAACCGGAGTTAGAAATCTTCATCACCACACGCCTCATATTCATCATAAGTAGATAAAATATTTCTATACTTTTCTTAACAATCCAGGCTGTCCCGAAAACAATCTACGAAAAGTTTTTTTGCTGCTTTTCCATGTTTAGTGGGCTACATCGTTTTTTTTAAAGATAAACAAAGACACAAAGTTTCGTTTCAATAGTAAAACTTCGAAAAGACTGCTGATATCCAAGGACTTTAGTTGAAATACACAAAAAAGTAGCTAATATTCTTATCTGCCGAGAAACATTACGAGATATTTCCATTTATTTCCTTCCAGTTATCCAATCATTTGTATGTTAAAACTTTCCAACTCTCACAGTTTTCCACAGACTTTTGCTTTGATTAGACTTCACACAAACTATTATTATGGTTTGAAATCAAAACAGATCCACTTTATCTGTTACTCGATGGATGGAAATATTGGCTACTTTTTTGTACCTCAGCTAAAGCCCATGTATGTCAGCAGTTTTTGCCAATTTTTACTATTGAAATAACACTTTGTGTCTTTGTCTATCATACAAAAAAATCGATATAACTCACTCAACGGGGAAAAGCAACGAAACAGCTTTCGTAGATTTTCTTCGGAACACTCTGTATGCAAGCTACAACGAATAAATAATGATAATATCAAAATATCTTTTATCTTTTTCCGGATGATTACGTTTCTTTTCAACATGCTTCACAGTTGTACCTGATAATTACATCCTTTATGATTAATATCATGACGACACACTGTTTATCACTACTTCCGACCAAGGCATGTATAAAGACGGGATAACCGTCATAATAACACAATAGTACTTGGTAGGATGGGATACCATTCACTGCAACTGGTCTCTTAATCTCCAATTCAAGTTAGGATACTCAACATTCCTTTCAAAATGTTACTCACCCTTCTTATTGTTCTAATTACAAGCCAATTGTCTACAAAAGTCGTAAGTCCCTTTCACCGTTCCAGTTACTTTTTTACGTATCCCAAAAATGTTCTTAGCACGGTGATGGAAATCAGTTCGTGCAGAGCACTACGAATCTCGAACAAAGTAAATAGTTTTTAAATATATTTATATTCAGCAGCTTTAATATTTCTATTTTAGTCAATTCGACCTATTCTGGTTCATTACAAAATACAAGCACAAGATTTCTTCGCTATGGTGGATCGTCAAATAATTACTTGTATGACGCGATTGAAATAATTCCATTCACAAGTGGTAATTACACTATTACAAGTAGCAGTAACTTGGATACGTATGGCTATCTATACAATAACAGCTTTAGTCTCAGTGACTTATCAATGGGCTTACTTGGACAAAATGATGATGGAGCTGGTAGTTACCAATTTCAAATTATAGCGAATCTTCAAGCAAATGTCCGCTACATTCTCATAGTTACAACGTATTCCGTAAACGAAGTAGGCAACTATTCCATAACTGCAAGTGGTCCTGGCAGAGTTAGTTTAGCCAAATCTATGATTACGACAACTACCACGACATCGACATCGACGACGACGACACTAGGAGTCCGTGAGTATCTTGAAAGATGATAGTACTAACGAAAATGGTGCTCATACTCCTTCGCTCTCTTGCTTTTTATGCCGTACTGAAATGTTAAAACACCATACTGTTCTGATGCCAATTCTGCCAAACAGAGTTCACCTGTACAATTTCATGCTAGAAGTTCATCGTTGTTTCACTATTGCTCACCACAGTTGATAAACGATTCTGATTTTGCTCTTATATTTCAGTGAACTCGACCTATTCCGGCTCATTACAAAATACAAGCACAAGATTTCTTCGCTATGGTGGATCGTCAAATAATTACTTGTATGACGCGATTGAAATAATTCCACTCACAAGTGGTAATTACACTATTACAAGTAGCAGTAACTTGGATACGTATGGCTATCTATACAATAACAGCTTTAGTCTCAGTGACTTATCAATGGGCTTACTTGGACAAAATGATGATGGAGCTGGTAGTTACCAATTTCAAATTATAGCGAATCTTCAAGCAAATGTCCGCTACATTCTCATAGTTACAACGTATTCCATAAATGCAGTAGGCAACTATTCCATAACTGCAAGTGGTCCTGGCAGAGTTAGTTTAGCGAAATCTTTGATTACGACAACTACCACGACATCGACATCGACGACGACACGGACCTCAACCACTACTACTACCACGGCATCGACGACGACACGGACGTCAACCACGACCTCCACATCCGCAACGACACCGACCGCAACAACCACACCAGGAGTCCGTGAGTATCTCGCAAGATGATAGTACTAACGAAAATGGTGCTCATACTCCTCGCTCTTTTGCTTTTTACGCCGTACTGAAATGTTCAAACACGATAGTGTTCCGATGACACATCTACCCAACAGAGTTCACCGGTACAATTTCATCCTAGGAGTTCATAGTGTTTTCACTATTGCTCTCGACAGTGAACAATCAATTCTGATTTCGCTTTTATATTTTAGTCAATTCGACCTATTCTGGCTCATTACAAAATACAAGCTCAAGGTTGAACCGTTATGGTGGATCGTCAAGTGATTATTTTTATGACGCTATCGAAATAATTCCATCCACAAGTGGTAACTACACTATTACTAGTAAAAGTGACGGCAACTTCGATACGTATGGTTATCTGTACAATAACAGCTTTAGTCTCGGTGCATTGTCAGTGGGTTTACTCGCACAAGATGATGATAGTGGTGGTAATCGACAATTTCAAATTGTAGCGTATCTGCAAGCAAATGTCCGCTACATTCTAATAGTTACCACGTATTCGATAAATGTAGTGGGCAACTATTCCATAACTGCAAGTGGTCCTGGCAGAGTTAGTTTAGCGAAATCTTTGATTTCGACAACTACCACGACAGCGACATCAACGACGGCACGGACCTCAACAACGACATCGACGTCGGCGCTAGGAGTCCGTGAGTATCTCGCAAGATGATAGTACTAACGAAATGGTGCTCATACTGCTCTGATAATGATTCTGTTAAACAGAATTCATTCGTTCAACTTCATGCTAGAATTGCATCGCTCTTTCATTATTTCGCGGCAGTTTACACCCAACTCTGATTTCCCTTTTGTATTTCAGTTAACACAACCTATTCTGGTTCACTACAGAATACAAGCTCAAGGTTCAACCGTTATAGTGGATCGTCAAGTGATTATTTTTATGACGCTATCGAAATAATTCCATCCACAAGTGGTGATTACACTATTACTAGTAAAAGTGACGGCAACTTCGATACGTATGGTTATCTGTACAATAACAGCTTTAGTCTCGGTGCATTGTCAGTGGGTTTACTCGCACAAGATGATGATAGTGGTGGTAATCGACAATTTCAAATTGTAGCGTATCTGCAAGCAAATGTCCGCTACATTCTAATAGTCACCACGTATTCGATAAATGTAGTGGGCAACTATTCCATAACTGCAAGTGGTCCTGGCAGAGTTAGTTTAGCGAAATCTATGATTTCGACAACTACCACGACATCGACATCAACGACGACACCGACCTCAACAACGACATCGACGTCGGCGCTAGGAGTCCGTGAGTATCTCGCAAGATGATAGGACTAACGAAATGGTGCTCATACTGCTGCCTCGTTTGTTTTTCGCGCTGTAGGGAAATATTAAAACATCATACTGCTCTGATAATAATTCTGTTAAACAGAATTCATTCGTTCAACAGAATTCATTCGTTCAACTTCATGCTAGAATTGCATCGCTCGTTCATTATTTCGCGGCAGTTTACACCCAACTCTGATTTCCCTTTTGTATTTCAGTTAATACAACCTATTCTGGTTCACTACAGAATACAAGCTCAAGGTTCAACCGTTATAGTGGATCGTCAAGTGATTATTTTTATGACGCTATCGAAATAATTCCATCCACAAGTGGTAACTACACTATTACTAGTAAAAGTGACGGCAACTTCGATACGTATGGTTATCTGTACAATAACAGCTTTAGTCTCGGTGCATTGTCAGTGGGTTTACTCGCACAAGATGATGATAGTGGTGGTAATCGACAATTTCAAATTGTAGCGTATCTGCAAGCAAATGTCCGCTACATTCTAATAGTCACCACGTATTCGATAAATGTAGTGGGCAACTATTCCATAACTGCAAGTGGTCCTGGCAGAGTTAGTTTAGCGAAATCTATGATTTCGACAACTACCACGACATCGACATCAACGACGACACCGACCTCAACAACGACATCGACATCAACGACGGCGCGGACCTCAACAACGACATCGACATCAACGACGGCGCGGACCTCAACAACGACATCGACATCAACGACGGCGCGGACCTCAACAACGACATCGACATCAACGACGGCGCGGACCTCAACGACGACATCGGCATCAACCACCTCGACTTCCAGCACCACTCGCAGCACGTCAAGTACTACACCTCCAGCAGTTAGTGAGTAAACGTTATACTAACGAATAATTCTTCATTGCATTCGTTATGATTCATTCGTTTTTAGGCGGTTTTCTGCCTTGCAGTCTTATTTATTCAGCTAGTACAAATGGAGTACTGTGTCCCAGTAGTTATTCATGGACGACATGGTTCAATGTGGGCAAACCGAGCAACGCAACAACTGGAGATACTGAAGATATGAGTCTCATTCTCGCTCAATATCCGAATTCTATGTGTGGTGTTCCTTATGCTGTTCATGCAGAAGGAATCAACCCCACAGATACTACCTGCACTGGAAATTTGGTTCAGAGTCGACCAAATAGTACACTCTATCTTCTTTCATTTCAAGCAATACAACCAGTAGGCGTCGATTTTCGTATTCGATATTGTTGCCCAGTTGGATCATTCGTTGCTCCACCAACCACTACGCCATCACCTTTAGAAAATAATTCTTGCGGCAAACAAGAAATTGCTCCACGCGGAAAATCGATTAGTCGGATCTATGGTGGAACTGATGCCATTCAAAATTCATGGCCTTGGGTAAAGTCTTTGGAGTTATTAGATTCTTTTAAAGCTGCTTTTCTTGTCTGCATAGATGGTATTCTATAGAGGAGCATCGTGTAATGTGCCTCCGTGTGCGAGTAATGTGTGTGGTGGAACTATAATCAGTAAAGATTATGTTCTCACAGCGGCTCATTGCATTAGAACGACAGATGCATCGCTTATTAGTGTGACTGCAGGTATGCATAATTATTCGTCGAGCACAGAATCAAATACACGCCAAACACGTTTTGCTCAAGCAATATATGTTCATCCACAATATAATACAACTGGATATATTAATGATATTGCCGTAATACGTGTGTCTCCACCATTTACATTTAATACATATGTTCAACCAGCATGTTTGCCTGGTCCTGAACCTCAACCGAATGATGAAGTTATTATTGCCGGATGGGGTGCGCTTACTTTTGGTGGTCCAGTTAATAAGGTACTGAAACAAGCTTATACTAAAGTAGTCGATTTATGCGAAGCACGGTGGGCTAATATGGATAGTTCTCAGCAAATATGTGTAGCTGATTCAGTCGATGGCAATTCCGCATGCCAAGGGGATAGTGGTGGACCGATTCTCTCTCAATACCAAGGACAATATGTGGTCTCAGGTGTAACTAGCTATGGATCCGACTGTATAACGTCAGGCACCAATAACAAACCTAATGTTTTTACTCGAGTTAGTTTTTATAAAAGTTGGATCAAGAGTATTATTGGATGATGTGACAGCATCTCAGTATCAAATCCAACAATTTTTTTTATGTAAGAGAGTAATATTCGTTTTGTAAAATTTCTGCTTTTCAAATCTGCCATCTTTCTCGTTTTACTTCTTTTTCTTTTGTGTATTTACGCTTTCAGCTTACTCATGACAATATTCTATATTATACACACTATCTATTCAAGACTTTCAATAAACAATTGGTATCGACAAAAACGATAGAATTAATCAAATAGTTGTCTAAAGAGTGGATTTGATATAATATATAGAGTTGACTGCGCGACAAAAATATGGCATTAATTCGGTAATATATTCTGAATAATGATGTGAAAAATATTTTGAAAAACATTCTGTCAGTTAGAGAGGCCCACAAGAAATTGAAGTTATCCTGGTGTAAATTTGATGCTACATAGTCTCATTTTCTAGCACTTCAACTCTATTAACATCCTTTTATCCTTTAAATACTTTGGCTCTCCTCACTTCTTTAGCTTCCTTAATTCCTTCAACAACTCCCTTTAGTCCTCTAACTCTCTTAGCATCCTTTAAGCCGCGTGACTCTCTTTATTCCTGAAGCTTTTTTAGCTTCGTTACTTCCTTTCCACTTATCTATAAACAAAAAAGGTCTTAAAGATCGGCGTGAAGCTAGTACCGCGGCACTAAGGATTTTTTGAAACCGAATTCTCGTCGATAAAACCTATTTTATTCGATACAGAATTCAATTCTGAATCAAATGGTGACATTTTAGTTCATGGGAAAACGTTCGGGGAAAAGTTTTCTTTGATCTCTCTGTATTCATGTATATGCATCGTTTTTCGACAGTCGGCACGCAATATCTCTACCCAGAACGAATTCCCGTTCATGGAAAAGAGTCTATTCGGCGCAGAATTTGATTCTGTATCGAATGGTGCCACTTTTATTTACGGGAAAACGTTTGGGATGGAGCTTATTTCGATTCTTATTTTTTCCCCTATATACAAAAAGATAAAAGAAGTATTCACAAAATTTTTTTCCAAACGTTTTCCCATGAACTAAAATGTCACCATTCGATTCAGAACTGAATTCTGCATCGAATAGAATAGGTTTTATCGACGAGAATTCGGTTTCAGAAAATCCTTAGTGCTGTGGTTAGAGCCCATCGGGCCTGCCCGGACCCGGGTCCGGGTCCAAGGGGGATTTTTATATATAAAAACTTTTTGAAATTTTCCCTTTTTTTATCGTTCAAACTATCTTTAATTCATAAATTGAAAGAGAAAAACAAAAACTAACACTTCGCAAATGTAAATTAAACATCTGGCTATAAATGTCAATTCGTACAAGATATGTTTTAAACTCGACTGCTATCAAAGTTTGGGGCCGGGTCCGGGTCCAAATTTCGTGGACCCGGCGGGCTCTAGCCGTGGTGCTAGTTCGATGGTTCTAGCTTCACACCGATTCCATTTGACATGTAAACATTGATGACTTATCATTCGAGCAAATAGCTTTTTTGTATTTCGCCAGTTAATTTCTGGTTTATCGCATCTGAATAGGCAGATATTTCAATATTCGTTAATCTAGAAGTATAATGAGAAAAAACAAAGAGAACTTGACAAACCTCTTTTCTTCGATGCCAAATCAATGAGAGCATTGAGATATCCATCGGGACAGACAAATCAGGAAGTTCTTACCTAAAAAAGAGAGAACGAGAACAGTTGAAATGTTTATAGTCAATTTTATCTAGTTGCCGATGAGAAATATTGTACATTGTAGTCATAATACGATAGGAAACATAAAAAATACTAACGATAGAGATGAGCAGGATAACACTTTCAACACAAATTATAAAATAGAATTGATTAACATATACATCAACAAAAAGAAACATGACAGTATGTTGAGAATAAAATGACCAGGAAACACTACCGATACAAGCGCTATATTGGACATGGTGAACTGATAAAGAATAAAACGCATTCTTTTGATTTGAATTCGTCCTTGGAGAAGATCGCTGGATATCTGAGTTAGTTTTAAAATTGTTTCATATGTCGTATTGCTTGGTATGCAATAAAAATAGTTGTGTTTGTCCATTAGGGGACTGGACCATGGTTTTCAATCATTTCTTTCAGAATTTTCACTGCTGTTTCCAGATTGTCAGAAAGTGAACTATCATGATGACCATGATCACAAATTTGTCCCACCGGATGAGAAAGCGCACCTACCAGAGACACAAACAAAAACTAAATCAAATATTCGGTCGGCTTGTCCCTAGTGATCCACGATGCTACTGGTGTCTAAAACGATTACAGATTTCCGTTTCGCTTGCGAATAAATATACAAAACATTTACCGGATTCATTAAAAGAATCGTGAATATTCCCCATGAGTTTGAAGAAGATAGTAATTTCATCTTTTTCGAAGAAGCGAAAAATTTTCACATGTATAACTTGAAGCTTGAATTCGAGTATTAGTTCAAGTATTCGAATTGGACACTGTATATCTGTAATGATTTGCTGGAAAAAACGTTTTGGCTTTGTCGTTGTTTATTGGTAAAACTAAAAACACAAAAACGAAACGCGAGCGGACAAACGAACCGAATGAGAAGAAGAAGTAAAACGTTCTGTGTATGTGTGCGCTTTAAAAACAACTGCGCGTGGTAGAGAGAGAGAGAGAGAGAGAGAGAGACGGAGAACGAACGTGGAAAAATCCACAAAGACAAACAAGAAGAGAGAACAACAACAACAATGAGAACACTCGGACAGATATATATCACATGTATGTATATGTGCAGGGAGAGAAAAAAAGAAAACAAAATACGTCATAGAGACGCGTGATACTCTGTAAAAAAAATCGGGTCATACTGAACCTTTTTTTCGGTACCATTTTCAGAACCTTTTCTGGTTTTAGCAAAAAAATGTAGAACCTAAAATGGTTTTAGCCAAATGTGCCGAACTAGAAAAAGTTTCAGATTTCTTTGCTAGAACCCAAAAGGTTCTGAAAATAAGGTTCTGAAGATGGTACCCAAATCTAGAGCCATAAAAGGTTTTAGACGCTAGCTAAAACCTTTTTATGGTTCAGTATCGCCCGGTTTTTTTTAGAGAGTAGACACTACTGTTCATAGATTGATTATTTCATGCTTGTATCCTCAATTCATTATACTGATAGTAAGACAAATACTTTAGCAATCAAACTATGTTAACCGCGAAGTATTTTATCTAGGAGAAAGTGATGATCGTTTTTATCGCGAATATCTGGAATTATATGGCTTTAAACTTATAAGTGTTTGAATATTTGTTTAGAAAAAAAATCTAAACAAAAACACAATTACTTTTAAATTCCGTTAGCGCTATGAATAAGACGAGTTCGATCAATCAAAGTATATCGGCGTATAATTTTCAAGTATCCAAAATTTATAGCTTTACATCATCTACGCGCCCGACTGCAACAATCCATAGATACGTTCGCTAGCTCGTGCGCATCGTGGAAGCTACAGTGCACGAAAACAGAGTTGATCCACTTTAGAGCACACTCTAGGAAGAAATATCAACATCCAGGGCAAGTCCAAGTCGGAGACACCACGATACAACCACTGGTTGCAACCCGATACCTAGATGTGATCTTCGGCAATCAACTCAAGTGGAGAAATCATCTCTAACATATCGAAACGAAACTGGCTACACGCACCGGCCTTCTAACGATATCCAGGTAAGTCAGCGGAAGATTCCAACCCCAAGATAATGATCAACATCTTCAAGTCGATTGCAAGAACAGTTATGGTGTCTACGGCTCCGGGGTGATGCTCACAGCCAACGACAGAGTGTGGGAAAGGCTACAAATCGTGCAAAACAACGCACTCCGTGCTGCAATCGATTTACCATCCTATACTTCTGACGATTATATTCACTGCGCGGCAAACGTACCCCTAAGATCAAGGACCATGCCATAAAGTCTCTAAAACTGTCCGTACAAGCCTCGAAAATGTATGGAGACAATCTTCTACGCAAACATCTCCAAGCAATACTCGACTAACAATGAAAAGCAGCAGACCATATATTATCTTAGTAATAGCGTCGACAGCTTAGACCATGACTGTGCTAGCCGAATCTGTACAACAATTGGCATATCAGAATGTTATACAAGACCCTCGTTCAGTTAACACCGACGTATACGAAATCATACTACAAAACAATTTCGCCTTATCGATTACAACCGAACCTCCATCCAACAGAACATATCTCTGCTCGTTCTTCTCCCTCCTTCTTGTAATACAAAGATATACGACCTCGCGTTATGCGTCTTTGACGAAAATGCAGTCAGACGAATACAAGTGCTTTCTTTGTGTGAACTATCACACAAAAAATGGTACGCTCCAAGTGATCCCAGGACAATGGTTCCTACAGGGAGACATCGGAAATCAACGAAAAATAGAAGTTTAGTCGGATCCTACGAGCGGTTTTGCCCGTTTCGTTTCCGTTCCGGAGAGAACCGGATGATTTTTCCCTTTTCTGAAAGAAAGGGTTATACAGCGTTTAAATGCTGTGTTAAAAAGCTTAAAGTTTGTCTGTCTGTCTGTCAGTCTGTCCTATCCAATCAGAAATCAGCATTTCTAAAATCAATGAAATTGATCGATAGTTGCTAGAAAATGATTACCAGTAGGGTAATCAAGGTCGGAGAACTTGAATATGAGGTTCGTTTCTCGAAATTCTAATTAGCTAATTAGCTAATTAAGTAATGAAAATTTTCTTCGTTGCCCAGTAAGGGTCGACGATCTCGAATCCGACGTTAGTGTTGCTTAATTAATTATTAATTTTTCATTAACTAGCCACGACTTATTAACATCCACTGTCGGAGCAGACCGAAGGATTTCTGACGTCGGGAAATTTGAATTTGAGGGTGAATTTCGTCTTATTCGCTGAGCCTGGGCTTGTTCCTTCCTATTTAAAAAGGAGATATTTTTTCTTTATCTGTTCGAAAATCTTTTGTAGAAGATAGTGAGCTGAACGCTATTCACGGACGTCATATGTACAAAGATAGTAGCTCAAGAACTTACACGAAAAGATCTAATGAATTGTACATAATGATGTTTCTAATTCAAGAAATCCGAAAAAGTGATATGTGCTTAGTATCATCTTTGTTTTGTAGGCTACATCCATCATGTCTTTTTATGGGAATTTAGTAGAAGTAGTTCAGAAAGTGATATACCCGTCAGTGGAATTCCGTCATAGTAATTACAGACGCGTGGACTGTAGAAACAGTATTCTTAACACATGCAGCGCTATGAAAGATTTTCGTTTCGCAGCAAATCATACAATAAGAATTTCTTATCTAGTTTCTTTTGGTAGTCCAATGAATAGAAGATCATGACTGTAGAAGCGACAATAAAAGAAAACCCAATCGTTCAGTTTGAAAGTTGATCAAAGGCGAGAGGAATAACAGAGACAACATGGTAACGGCTAGCCGTGAGTGACCGACCGGAGGGAGGTCGACGAACGACTAGGCGTTTAAATGCTAGAATAATCCTAAAGTGTACGCTTAGAATAAGCTTGTCAGGCTTCAGATAATTTTGAAAGGGATTTGACGAATGAATATTCCTCAATGAAAATATTCGACAAGATATCATTTTGTTGATAGGAAAGAAAAGAATCGGATTATCGCTGGAAGACACAAGCGAATGTTCAAACTTTTCAAGTAGTCTACTGTATATCGTCCGTCTATGAGCGACTTAGTAAAGCATTTATGAAAATTTCCATGCGCGTGATGTGAAAATAGAAAAACAGATGACAAGGACAATGGTTGGCCGTCTGACTAGTCGTTGAGCGATGAATTTTTCAGTCAACATAGTTAGTGCTGGAGAATTATCCACTGAGAAATGGCTAATCGGTCTGATTCCTAAAAAGACTTTTGCATCCTATTCATTCTAGTATGTAGCATACTGCCACGATTCAGTTGAGCACTAGTAGCAGTAGCAGTGCATTTTTGCTCTATCGAAGTCTCTGAATGTGTTCAGCATTCGGAAAAGTCTTTCAGAAAAGGGTCAGCGAATCCAAAGGATGAGCGTTACTTGTAATTAATTTTTTCTCGATCCTAATTAGAGTAGGCACTAAATCGACTGTAGAAACAAGGTAGAAGATGGGAAAGCAGATTGGCACTCTTGAAGGTGTCAACAAGATATTAGCAATAGCTTGATAACCTAATCTTTCTATTAGTAATAACCAATAACAATACTATGCTTTTACCTCTCGCCTACGTTTAAAACTCGTTCATGTTCCCATCGAACTGAACAAGGTTAATGAGACTATACAAAACAATTAATTTCACAATTCACCGGATTTCTTTTATCAAGAAGCACTACTTGATTGTCTTTGCGTTTACTAGATGAAATGTACTACAAAAAACTCATAGGTACCATTCAGTCGTGTTCACTGTATATGTAGGACACGTGAAGTGTCCATGGTGTGTGCTCCATCCATCAGTATTTCTCTTCTCTTCTCTCTTTATCAACTTGAGTTTATTATTACTAATAAGCTTATTCATACACTCACTTACATTGGCGACGAGCAAGATCAATGTTTTCGCTTACAATGATCGAAACAAATGTGTCTTCCATACCTACATTACACGCTTTTGATCCACATACGACGACATGGCAATCATATCGGGATCGTTTTGGATTTTATTTCAAAGCAAATTGGACTATCGAAGACAGTGACAAAAAAGCACCGTTCTTATGGTCAGTAGGTGATCCAACATAGCTAAGTGAAGTTGGCGGCGGATTCGAGTCCTTCCATCAGTGATTCGCATAGGAGTGCGTTCCAACCATTCCAACTAGCGTTCCAGATGCAGCTTGACAAGCTCTATCCATGGGTCACCTTGGAATTGCCTTACTCGCAATTTCATAAAAGAAAAGTAAAAAATAATGAATTTCATCGGATTCCGACTGGAAAAATCCAGTCATTTGTTGAAAATTTTATGAGCCATCTCTTTAGCTAGGTTCTATGATGACTCTTAGAAAATCCAGGAAATCCATGTTTCGGATTCTTCGACCTGAGTAGTCAATAAACATCTATATCGCGGTGAGAAGCGGTCAGCTACTCAACCAGTTTGTCGTTACAGATGGTCGATAGGAAAGACGCAATCTAGAGGAAACTTGACGGAAAATTGCTCTCGGATCTGACCGGCTTCCAAATATACCGTTTTGGATGGATTTTTGCCGGTATGGTCCATGCTCTTCCGTTCGGATTCGGACAGTTCCGTGCTCGGACTTTCTGGCCTGGGCTATGTCATTTTTTTCATGACGGAGTCACATAAAAGGAATTGTGCAATAAGATATGAAAAAAAACAGGACACGACATCCTCTAAGTCTTTTACACGATCAGCTTTTGATTGGTAAACCACGTTCGTAAGATAGTACACCATGACATCATAAAAGACTACTCATATTAGTGGTTTTACTAATATAAAGAAGAAGATTTAAAGCAAAAGAATCTTAGATAAAAGAAAAAAAATTGTAAGCTTAAGCAAATAACAGTTCTTCATTCGAGGATCAAGTGAATTAGTCACAAGACGGCCGTTGTTTAGTTTTCATCGAAAAGCAAAACGCCTTTGTATTTGATTTCGATATCGACGAACAGTCTTGCGAAATTCATTTTTATAAATTTTTGATGGCATAACAACGATCACAAAAGTAATCATTGGTGAAAGAAATGATAAAAAATATCCCGATAAATACAACCATGCATCTTCGATTGAATAGGAACATTTTGATGTAAAAGCAATAATTAGACGTGGTATCGCAAGTAAAATTAAAATAGCTGGTGCCATAAATAAATGTTTACGTTCAAGAATTTGTTTTTTCAAAATGTTCCTATAATTTTCTTTTGTTTGAACTGTATGTGTTTGACGAGATTTAATTGTAATTAAAATGAAAGATGAAATTATATTAATCAGAAAAGGAGCGAAAAAATGAATTATATGAATAATTGAATTATATGTTTGTAAACGAGATGAATATCTAACAATACACCAGATTCTTGTTCCCTTATAATTTTCTTCATTAATTAAACGACGATGAATTGGATCATGAATATTACTTATCATAGAAATTAGAAATATTACTGGAATAACAAATTTCACGGCTTGTCGACTTTTCTTTTTATTGAAACTAATACCTTTAATCGTTGTTACAGCTCGTTCAATAGCCACACTTGAATTTAATAGTTGATCTACATAAAGAAAAGTTCGAAGAAGAAAATCAATTGAACGACATTGATATAATATAAATGTTCGATTAGTTATTATTGACATTTGTATTAAAAGAAAAATCCAATATTTTAGAGCAAAAGCAATCATAATCAATAGTGTATTTATTGCTAAACCAAATAAATAATAACCACAACCAACTTCATGTACATTTTTTCCTGTAAATGTAATCATAGTTGATATAGCATTGATCAAAATTAAAATAATAAAAATAACATTTAATACGGCACTAGTTTGTACGAGAACTGATTGAGAAATAAGAGCAATTTGTGGTTGAATATGATATCCTAAAATACCATCTAATGAAAAATCAAATCCATTCGTTTGAAATTGACATCTTGCACCGTAGAAACACTGAGGACATATACATGTTTGTTTCTCCGGACAGCGATAATTATATGAAAAACATTGTCCATCATTTTCACACTGACTTTGTTGATAACATTGAAATTTCATTTCATGATCAAAAATAAAACAATTAGCTAAACGTTGTTGATCATAATCGTAACATAAACAAATATAAATATCATCATAAAAACAAGTCAAATCAGGACGATATGTTTGACATGGTAATTGATAATATTTAATACGACGAATACGTGGATAAGTAAGAATTGTTTGATTAAAAAGTTCAGTTATATGTCGACAACGATCTTTCGAATTAATTGTTTTACTTAATGGTTCTGTTGCATTATAATTCTTATCGACAGAAATCAAATAATATTTATGTTTGATAAATTCAATTAAGAGAATATGAAATTCGTATATAAGTTCAATAGTTACTATCTTTTGATTAACTGGAATCATTTCAATAATAGTTGTTCTTATTATTCCAATATGGCTGTTTATAAAAATCATATGAACAGATAATGTTTGCGAAACAGTAATGTCCTTCTTAAACGATAAAATAAGTTTCTTTTTAGTTTCTTCACATCTATTACCAGAAAAACCTATTGGACACCGACAGATAAATCTATTTTTATTATTGCCCATTGAATCAACAATAGATATACATTGACCACCATTTTGGCATATAGATTCTTTTGTTTGACAAATTGTATCAGAAAGAAAACATCGAGGACCATATCGATTGACGGGACAAACACATACTGATCGATTCGATGTTGAAACACCAATACAAATCGAATCCGATGAACATATACATTGATGTGGAATATGACAATATTTTCCTGACCATCCATAATCACATTGACAAAAAGTAGCTTTTTCTGGATGATTAAAATATCGAATGCATTTACCATGAATGCATCGTTTATCTGAACAGATTATTGTATAATCATGTGATGGAATGTAAATATCATATGTAAGACGATAAACAGGTAAAAATGAATATTTTATAGGAAATAAGAAACTTGCCCGATAAGCTAAGGATAATTTCTCATAGATATCAATATGTATTGAGTAATTTTTCGTCAAATTTTTAGGTCGTATTGAATAGGTTAAATCAATATTATGAATAGAATAACATTGTGTTGGCGGATAAGTAGTAAACTGATGATAAGAATGTATAATTCGTGCGTGATCATCATCAATAAGTGAAATAATTATAGCAAATGGAATTCGATGTATATTTGTAGGTGCAGTAAAGGTTAATATTAAATTTACTGCTTGATTTTGATATTGACATACATCACCATAATGATCGGATGGGCAAAGACATGATCGTTTTGTTCGATTATTAGTCCAAATTTTAATATCAATTCCATAATGACAACGATGATAAAAATTATTTGAAGTTAAAATTCTAGATGAGCGTGATTGAATCTGTGTTTGAAGTGTAAATCTTCTTGGAGACTTAAATTTGCTAATTTCTAAACTTCGACATATAAAATGATCAATATCAAATACATTCGACGTAACTAATGAAGGACATATATCAACCCATGATTCTATTTGATGAGTTTCTTGACAAAATTGTTCATCGTCTCCATGTAAACAATTCTTTTGACCATCACAAATATGAGTAGCATCAATACAAGGTTTAATTTGATCATTTATACAACGAAAATTATTGTACTTAGTTAATGAATTATTTCTTCGACATATTTTTTGTTCATCAATGCCACCTAAACAATCAATTTTATTATCATTTATTTTATTTAAAGGCAAACATATCAATTGATTTGTAAGTGATGAAACACAGATATGTTCATTTAAAGAACAATTTAATGGTAAATGAATATCACAATTAAGTTCATCTATTCCATTTGGACAATTCCATAATCCATCACAATGTGTATATAAATTATTACATGGCCATTGTTCACATTCTGTTTCATCAGTAAATTCAGAATCAATTGTATCAATTAATCCGTTACATGTCATTTCAAATGGAATGACTTTCCAATCTAAATGTGAGAGATATTTTTTATCTTCATCACATATTTCATCTTGAATACTAACACAAGAACATTGAACTGGACGAAATCCCCATATAAGAACATATTTTTTATTATTCATCGGACATTTCAATGTTCTCCTTTTGAATAATTCTTGTAAAATAGGACTTTCAAATCGAATGTTATCTTCATCATCTCCATAAGGACAATCTTGAATAAAATCTAATAAGCGATAAATCGAAATACATTTCGATGAATTTTGACATTTATATATATTTGATCGTTGACAAAGTTCTACAGAATCATTTATTAAAAGAATATTTTGATATAAAATTTCATTTTGATATCCAAAAAGTGTTAATTCATCTTGTTGTACTTGTTCATCGAGATGCCATATCGTGTAATAATAACATTGTGTCGTATTCAATAATATTTTTGGTCGATTATGAAAATATTTCTCATAAATTGAATTATTTGTACAAAGATAAAAGTTCCAATATTTCTCTTCAGTAATATTTTGTGAAACATTTTTTATATACATTATGTAAATATCACCAAATAAGATTGGAATGGATGAAAGTTTGATTGCATTTGGACATATTTTATCAACATATTGAACATTAACTTCAAGATTCTTTGAATTTTTGCAATTATCAGCAAATAAGTTCAAGCTACAATAAAATGCTGTTGAACAATCATAAGAAATTTGATCATCTTTTATTGATAATAATGTTTTCATTAGAAAAATATGTCGAGATTTCAGACAAGAACTTGTTAAAAATGTTATTGTGCATGTGACATATTTAAAAGCATAGTCTCCTATATAGAAGAGTGATGAACGATCATACTTTTTATGCTTATCACTTTGATCAAGACAACCAAGTGTGCCATAAGTCTGATAATAATGCCATGGTACACACTGTCCATTATGACATCGATATTCATTATCTTTACATTGATTCAATTCCATTTGCCAACAATGTTCTTCATCAATAGCATTATGAAGACAATTAACATGTCCATCACAAACTTCACTCCAATCTAAACATCCCATTCCGTAGCCGCGATCACAAGATAAATGAATATAACATGTTAAATTACTTATTTGCAATTCATTTAAATGATCTATAATTTGATTAATATCATAAATAGGTAAATTATTATCATCAAGAAAATCATATTCATATCGACATTCTGGACCAAATCGTGGTAATGTACAATTATAAAAATATTTATTTGATAAAAGCAAATTCTCTTCTATTGTTGTTGTTAACTGTTGATTTAAATAGAATTGATAATGTTCAATAAGATCAACTGGTGCTGACCAAAGATATAATTGTTCACTTGTTACATTCATTTTTGATAATTCAGCAAAAGTATATTTTGAAAAATTATTATTTTCTTTTATATTGGAGTTTATTGATTGTTCACTTAGACAATAATACACCGATTCTTTCGAATTATGATTGTATTGTAGACAATCATGTTGAAATGCAATGCCGTTTTCACTTCGATCGACTGGATCTGTAAAATGAAGATTCAATTGTGGTATTGTATAGATCATTTGAATATAGATAAAATAAAAGAAAACATGCTTTATTGAAAACATTCTTCTGTAAAGCACTTGTTAAAATACTCTTCTTTTATAGAAGAATATGTATTGACATATATTTTCTCTTGTTAAATATTAAAAAAAATATTATACGAAGGTTTATGTTTTTCATTAGAAATGAACATTAATTCAATTGTTTCAAAATTATGATATATATATATATATATATAGGAAAATCGAATAGATATAACGAATTTATTAGACTGAGAATATATATTCAATTGTACATTATATGTATGAAGAGTTTCCTTTTAATCTATACAAGAAAAAGATCTGCGTAAATCATAAACAAATATTCAACTTTATTAGAAAAACAAACTCATCCATCAATCTTTAAATGCTTTGAAATTCTCATAAAAATTTGCTGCAGATTATGATAGAAAAGAAAGAAAGGGCTGCTGCAAAAATCATCGATGTGAAGCTAGCACGAACAAATGATGTGTTAGGCAAAAACTTTTTCGAAAGTTTGTCCCGTGAGTAGAAACATCACTATTCGATGCAGAATTAAAGTGTGGCAGAGCAAACCCATTGAAAGTTTTCTTTCTTATACGCACTTTCTCAATTGGAAAAAAACGCACATTTGCAAGAGTTAATACTTGTTGAAGTCCATTAATGTCTGCAACTTTACGAGTAATATCACGTTAAATTTTACAGAATGATGCATCATGAGGAAGAAAATTTGAATGCATTAAAGATTCGTGTAAATGGTATTTTCGTGATTGTGAACTGTTAAATCATTGTTTTAGTGAAATCTCAACACCTTTTTTAGAAGCTTTGCCTGCCTAGGCAAGGGTACACAAATTGGCTTGTATCAACCAATTGAGAATGGTTTTTCATATAGAAAAGAACATTGAGATTGTATAGAAAAATTGATGAAATAATAATTTAATGTCGATAATTGATAATTTTCATTCGGCATTCAATTCTACGTTATCAAAAAATTGAAATAATCTTAAAATACTTTCATATCTTTGATCAATTAAATAAATTATTGGTAACGCAGGAACTTTTTGCAAGTAAAATTAAGAAATTGATTTGTATGCAGAAGGTTATCGACATCAGTTTTCTTTATTGATTGAAATGGAAATGAAACTCAACGAATATAAATTTCACAAAATAATAGTTTCCAGGCCATTCAATCTCGTACTCGGATTCGATCGGTTTGTACAGTCTGTATGCTTTTTATACGGGAAAAACTGACATACAGTCTCCAATGTGAAAGACACTTTTATGCGCTACTAGTTTGGTCAGTCCTGTCTGAAGATTTTTCTATTAGTTTTTATGTTATAGAAAAAAGCTGTATCGATTCAGATCGTTTTCTTTATTTATCACTTCTATTAGCGTTTACGGGTCGAGATGATCAAATTAACAGTAGATATTTCAATAAATTTGTATATCAGAAGAAAATTATTGAAAAGAGCATGTCTACGCGAATGAATCGTTGTCAACGAAATGATATTTAAAGTATTCTGTTGACTGATGTGACTACTGGTAAATCGATGACTAACAAAATATGATTATTTTCTGTCGATTTTCGATAAGTACGAATTCGATTTACCATGATGTAAAATAAATATGTATGAAATCATATCGGACGTGAATTTTCCTTCGTTATTGTACAAACGAGCGTCATTTTTGAAAAAGGCATTCAAGAGTAAATGTCCTTTACGCATCAGACTGATGCTCCATATGATCGTATACANGTTCTTCCCTCCGATACACGGGAAGATCCTTTAATGGTTCCGTAGAAATTTTTATTGCGTTTTTGTAATCGTGAACCTGTCTGAAGACTTTTTCGTAACCACGGAACTTTTTTGAGGGTTCAGTAGAGCACTAATTTTTTTTAGAGTGAACGCAAAAAAGCAATCCTGTCAAATCATACGTAAGTCCTCACTTTTGATACCGCGTAATGTTTCAAACACGATTATGTCCGTATGTATGTGTGTGTCCCAGCCATGTTTCATCATTACTATCTCTGTACAGAATTCTACTCTGTACGCGCGCGCGCGGGCAAATCATTACTTTTTATTTCAAACTAAAGAGGTACAGTAATTTTTTATTCATTCATTGCTCTTTTACAATTTTCGATACTTTGTTTTACAGATTTTATGTCAGGGTGATTCGCCGGTAATGCACGTTGACGAATGTCCAAAGCACGTTCGAAATAGGTAAGTGCTTTCGAATAGTCCAGAGAGTTTCTGTAGACCCAACCGATGTTGCTGTACGAAGTAGCCAAATCAGGGTGATTCGAAGGAAGAGTTTTTTCTCTAATTTCAAGTGCTTTTTCATAGAATGAAAGCGCTTTCGAATACTCTCTCATGCTCTTGTACACCCCACCGATGTTGTTGTACGAAGTAGCCAACGCAGGGTGATTCGAAGGAAGCGATTTTTGGTAGATTTCAAGTGCTTTTCCATAGAATGAAAGTGCTTTCGAATATTCTCCCATGTTGTAGTACACCGCACCGATGTTGTTGTACGAAGTAGCCAAATCAGGGTGATTCGAAGGAAGAGATTTTTCTCTAATTTCAAGGGCTTCTTCATAGAATGATATTGCTTTCGAATACTCTCCCATGTTGTAGTACACCGCACCGATTTTGTTGTACGAAGTAGCCAAATCAGGGTGATTCGAAGGAAGAGATTTTTCTCTGATTTCAAGGGCTTCTTCATAGAATGATATTGCTTTCGAATACTCTCCCATGTTTTAGTACACCCCACCGATGTTGTTGTACGAAGTAGCCAACGAAGGGTGATTCGAAGGAAGAGATTTTTGGTAGATTTCAAGTGCTTTTTCATAGAATGAAAGTGCTTTCGAATACTCTCCCATGTTGTCGTACACCGCACCGATGTTGTTGTACGAAGTAGCCAAATCAGGGTGATTCGAAGGAAGAGATTTTTCTCTAATTTCAAGGGCTTTTTCATAGTATTCTATAGCCATTTTATAATCACCTTGATCATCTTTTAAGTAGCCAAGTTGATGATAATAGTGTGCTCTGTCCCTCTTGTCGGATGTTTGTCCCAGTAACACATTGTAGAGTTCTTCAGCTTTATCCAACTGTCCGAGGTTAAGCAATAAGCGACCCAAACGATGCCATCCTGTACTACCTTGAACTTCACTTTCAATACGGTCCGTTAACACACGCAGTTGGGGATCATCATCAGCAGTCAACTGAAGTTGCACCTCATGGTAAAGTTTATTCTTGTCACCTGTTTGTCGAATTGTACCGACTCGAAACACGCTGTGCATGGAAAACAGGATCTCTGCTTCGTCTTTGTAGTAACTAACACCGCCAATCGATGCGAATGGAGTAGTATTAATATTTGGATCGATTGTGATCACGAACAGAATACCCACCATGTCGAGATCACCGAGAGCGCTGTAGGTAAACTCAAGAGATTTCTCTTGTGTGGTACTGGTGGATAAAAAGTTGTTGAAAGATAAAAGACCACCTACAGTTTTTGATAACTGATCAAAATCTGTCTTACATAGTCCCTGTCCACGGTAGACTACGAAAGGTTTTCCTTTGTAATTACTGACCTGTGCTTGATGTAGTTGTTGTATTTGTTTGTGTAGATCATGAAGAAAGAATCCCATGTTAATAATGACTTCGCCATCCAAAGTGCGAAGTGCTTGATTGAGCATTTGGTAGGTAAAACACTCGTATGTATACCAGCAAATGGCATTGTTCGGACGATATTCATCTTCGAACTTATCGATAGCATTTTGCTCTTCGATGTTGTCTTGAAAACGCTGGCGACAGTAATTGGCCAGGTCTTTGATTGCTTGTTTGTCATGCTCCATGTCGAGGAGAATCTTCTTAAATATTTGCGTGTACATAAAACTGGGTTCCAGTTGATTGAGATTGGCATTGGAACTCTCTCCTCCTACGGTAACAAAACTCATGGCGATGGAATCTTGATTATATTGTTTAACACCCGTGGTCAGTGCTTCACAGATTTCTATGATATTTGTGTGAACACCTTTGACTTTTGACCAGCTCTTTGTCCAGGTTTCATGTCTGGATTTGTTGCCACAGAAGATGTAGATGGTATTCACTTGTGGAATGCCGTGAATCTCGGGAACTAAGTGTTGACCTAAGGAACCCGATGTGATAACGAAAGCCTTTTCGTCAGCAATGCTGTTGAGAAATTGAACGCAAGCATCCGGTTGAGTGTATATATTGACATCATTGACAACACTTCGTAAATGTGTCAAAGTGTTCTGACAGTCTTGGTTCTTTTCATCGATGTTGGCATCCACCCAAACTAAGAGGTAGTTTTGAACCATGCGTTGTCGCGGCTGACTACCATGCTTCCTTGTCGTAGAACTTGATTTTGATTTTTGTGCGTCCATTCTGTTGAACAAACTGAAATTCAAAGTATTTCTTTTTTTGTAAAAATGAAGAAATTCGCTTCTCTTTTTATATAGACAGCGGATGACGTCGTTCTCTTCTTGAATCTTTTCGGGGACGAAAATATTTCTGTTATCTGTTGGTTTTTAAATAAACTCTTACAGGAAAAAAATAAAGAAGATAAGAATTCAGTTAGGAACTTGGATATTTTTTCTTCCAACTTTGTCTTGCCGACATTTCTCAGGTAATACAAGTGACGGTCATCGGATGAATTCGCTGACTCTTTTTCTGAGTGAATTACATTTGAG